CATTTTTGTGATTTTTGCAATTTTCAGTCATTTTTGCGATTTTTGCAATTTTCAGTCATTTTTGCGATTTTTGCAATTTTCAGGAATTTTTGCGATTTTTGCAATTTTCAGGAATTTTTGCGATTTTTGCAATTTTCAGGAATTTTTGCTATTTTTGCAATTTCCAGTCATTTTTGCAATTTTTGCAATTTTCAGGAATTTTTGCGATTTTCAATTTTCAGTCATTTTTGCGATTTTTGCAATTTTCAGTCATTTTTGCAATTTTTGCAATTTTCAGGAATTTTTGCGATTTTTGCAATTTTCAGTCATTTTTTGCTATTTTTGCAATTTTCAGGAATTTTTGCGAATGTTGCAATTTTCAGGAATTTTTGCGATTTTTGCAATTTTCAGGAATTTTTGCGATTTTTGCAATTTTCAGTCATTTTTGCGATTTTTGCAATTTTCAGTCATTTTTGCGATTTTTGCAATTTTCAGTCATTTTTGCGATTTTTGCAATTTTCAGGAATTTTTGCGATTTTTGCAATTTTCAGTCATTTTTGCAATTTTTGCAATTTTCAGGAATTTTTGCGATTTTTGCAATTTTCAGGAATTTTTGCGATTTTTGCAATTTTCAGTCATTTTCGCGATTTTTGCAATTTTCAGTCATTTTTGCGATTTTTGCAATTTTCAGTCATTTTTGCGATTTTTGCAATTTTCAGTCATTTTTGCGATTTTTGCAATTTTCAGGAATTTTTGCGATTTTTGCAATTTTCAGGAATTTTTGCGATTTTTGCAATTTTCAGGAATTTTTGCTATTTTTGCAATTTTCAGTCATTTTTGCGATTTTTGCAATTTTCAGTCATTTTTGCGATTTTTGCAATTTTCAGGAATTTTCGCGATTTTTGCAATTTTCAGGAATTTTTGCGATTTTTGCAATTTTCAGGAATTTTTGCGATTTTTGCAATTTTCAGGAATTTTTGCGATTTTTGCAATTTTCAGGAATTTTTGCAATTTTCAGGAATTTTTGCAATTTTTGCAATTTTCAGTCATTTTTGCAATTTTTGCAATTTTCAGGAATTTTTGCGATTTTTGCAATTTTCAGTCATTTTTGCGATTTTTGCAATTTTCAGGAATTTTTCCAATTTTCAGGAATTTTTGCTATTTTTGCAATTTTCAGTCATTTTTGCTATTTTTGCAATTTTCAGGAATTTTTGCGATTTTTGCAATTTTCAGGAATTTTTGCGATTTTTGCAATTTTCAGGAATTTTCGCGATTTTTGCAATTTTCAGGAATTTTTGCGATTTTTACAATTTTCAGTAATTTTTGCGATTTTTGCAATTTTCAGGAATTTTTGCGATTTTTGCAATTTTCAGGAATTTTTGCTATTTTTGCAATTTTCAGTCATTTTTGCGATTTTTGCAATTTTCAGGAATTTTTGCGATTTTTGCAATTTTCAGGAATTTTTGCGATTTTTGCAATTTTCAGGAATTTTTGCGATTTTTTGCAATTTTCAGGAATTTTTGCGATTTTTGCAATTTTCAGGAATTTTTGCTATTTTTGCAATCTTCAGTCATTTTTGCAATTTTTGCAATTTTCAGGAATTTTTGCGATTTTTGCAATTTTCAGTCATTTTTGCGATTTTTGCAATTTTCAGAAAATTTTGCGATTTTTGCAATTTTCAGGAATTTTTGCGATTTTTGCAATTTTCAGTCATTTTTGCGATTTTTGCAATTTTCAGTCATTTTTGCGATTTTTGCAATTTTCAGGAATTTTTGCGATTTTTGCAATTTTCAGTCATTTTTGCAATTTTTGCAATTTTCAGGAATTTTTGCGATTTTTGCAATTTTCAGGAATTTTTGCGATTTTTGCAATTTTCAGTCATTTTTGCGATTTTTGCAATTTTCAGTCATTTTTGTGATTTTTTGCTATTTTCAGGAATTTTTGCGATTTTTGCAATTTTCAGGAATTTTTGCGATTTTTGCAATTTCCAGGAATTTTTGCAATTTTTGCAATTTTCAGTCATTTTTGCAATTTTTGCAATTTTCAGTCATTTTTGCGATTTTTGCAATTTTCAGGAATTTTTGCGATTTTTGCAATTTTCAGGAATTTTTGCGATTTTTGCAATTTTCAGGAATTTTTGCAATTTTCAGGAATTTTTGCGATTTTTGCAATTTTCAGTCATTTTTGCGATTTTTGCAATTTTCAGTCATTTTTGCGATTTTTGCAATTTTCAGTCATTTTTGCGATTTTTGCAATTTTCAGGAATTTTTGCGATTTTTGCAATTTTCAGTCATTTTTGCGATTTTTGCAATTTTCAGAAAATTTTGCGATTTTTGCAATTTTCAGGAATTTTTGCGATTTTTGCAATTTTCAGGAATTTTGCGATTTTTGCAATTTTCAGTCATTTTTGCGATTTTTGCAATTTTCAGTCATTTTTGCGATTTTTGCAATTTTCAGTCATTTTTGCGATTTTTGCAATTTTCAGTCATTTTTGCGATTTTTGCAATTTTCAGGAATTTTTGTGATTTTTGCAATTTTCAGGAATTTTTGCGATTTTTGCGATTTTCATGCATTTTTGCAATTTTTGCAACTTTCAGTCATTTTTGCGATTTTTGCAATTTTCAGGAATTTTTGCGATTTTCAATTTTCAGTCATTTTTGCGATTTTTGCAATTTTCAGTCATTTTTGCAATTTTTGCAATTTTCAGGAATTTTTGCGATTTTTGCAATTTTCAGGAATTTTTGCGATTTTTGCAATTTTCAGTAATTTTTGCGATTTTTGCAATTTTCAGTCATTTTTGTGATTTTTGCAATTTTCAGGAATTTTTGCGATTTTTGCAATTTTCAGGAATTTTTGCGATTTTTGCAATTTTCAGGAATTTTTGCGATTTTTGCAATTTCCAGGAACTTTTGCTATTTTTGCAATTTTCAGTCATTTTTGCAATTTTTGCAATTTTCAGGAATTTTTGCGATTTTTGCAATTTTCAGGAATTTTTGCGATTTTTGCAATTTTCAGTCATTTTTGCGATTTTTTGCAATTTTCAGTCATTTTTGCGATTTTTGCAATTTTCAGTCATTTTTGCGATTTTTGCAATTTTCAGTCATTTTTGCGATTTTCAGGAATTTTTGCGATTTTTGCAATTTTCAGGAATTTTTGCGATTTTTGCAATTTTCAGGAATTTTTGCGATTTTTGCAATTTTCAGTCATTTTTGCGATTTTTGCAATTTTCAGTCATTTTTGCGATTTTTGCAATTTTCAGGAATTTTCGCGATTTTTGCAATTTTCAGGAATTTTTGCGATTTTTGCAATTTTCAGTCATTTTTGCGATTTTTGCAATTTTCAGGAATTTTTGCGATTTTTGCAATTTTCAGGAATTTTTGCTATTTTCAGGAATTTTTGTGATTTTTGCAATTTTCAGTCATTTTTGCGATTTTTGCAATTTTCAGTCATTTTTGCGATTTTTGCAATTTTCAGGAATTTTTGCGATTTTTGCAATTTTCAGTCATTTTTGCGGTTTTTGCAATTTTCAGTCATTTTTGCGATTTTTGCAATTTTCAGTCATTTTTGCGATTTTTGCAATTTTCAGGAATTTTCGCGATTTTTGCAATTTTCAGTCATTTTTGCGATTTTTGCAATTTTCAGGAATTTTTGCGATTTTTGTAATTTTCAGTCATTTTTGCGATTTGTGCAATTTTCAGTCATTTTTGCGATTTTTGCAATTTTCAGTCATTTTTGCGATTTTTGCAATTTTCAGGAAATTTTGCGATTTTTGCAATTTTCAGGAATTTTTGCGATTTTTGCAATTTTCAGGAATTTTTGCGATTTTTGCAATTTTCAGTCATTTTTGCTATTTTTGCAATTTTCAGTCATTTTTGCGATTTTTGCAATTTTCAGTCATTTTTGCGATTTTTGCAATTTTCAGGAATTTTTGCGATTTTTGCAATTTTCAGTCAGTTTTGCGATTTTTGCGATTTTCAGGCATTTTTGCAATTTTTGCAATTTTCTGGCATTTTTGCGATTTTTGCATTTTCAGCCATTTTTGCGATTTTTGCAATTTTCAGTCATTTTTGCGATTTTCGCAATTTTCAGGAATTTTTGCTATTTTCAGGAATTTCTGCAATTATTGCAATTTTCAGGCATTTTTGCGATTTTTGCAATTTTCAGTCATTTTTGCGATTTTTGCAATTTTCAGGAATTTTTGTAATTTTTACAATTTTCAGGAATTTCTGCAGTTTTTGCAATTTTCAGGCATTTTTGCGATTTTTGCAATTTTCAGGCATTTTGCGATTTTTGCAATTTCCATGAATTTTTTCGATTTTCTGCAATTTTCAGGAATTTTTGCGATTTTTGCAATTTTCAGGAATTTTTGCGATTTTTGCAATTTTCAGGCATTTTTGCGATTTTTGCAATTTTCAGGCATTTTTGCGATTTTTGCAATTTTCAGTCATTTTTGCGATTTTTGCAATTTTCAGAAATTTTCACAATTTTCAGTGATTTTTGCAAATTTTGTAATTTCTGCAATTTTCACAATTTTCATGAATTTTTGCAATTTCTGCAATTTTCAGGAATTTTTGTAATTTTTGCAATTTTCAGGAATTTCTGCAATCTTTGCAATTTTCATGCATTCTTGCGATTTTTGCAATTTTCAGGCATTTTTGCGATTTCTGCAATTTTCAGGAATTCTTGCAATTTCAGCAATTTTTGCAATTTTCAGGAATTCTTGCAATTTCTGCAATTTTTGCAATTTTCAGGAATTTTTGCAATTTTCACAATTTTCAGGAATTTTTGCAATTTTTACAATTTTCAGGCATTTTTGCGATTTTTGCAATTCTCAGGCATTTTTGCGATTTTTGCAATTTTCAGAGATTTTCACTCGTCTTCCGAAAGCATTTCTCACTAGTTAATGCACATAAAATTTCAGAAAAAAAGAAAAAAATAATTCCAGCACTGATGGGTTAAAGTAGTATGCTGAAATGTATGTTATTTTAAAAATGAATGAATAAAAAAAATGATAATTGTAGGTGAAGAGATGCAAAACACGTAAAGAAGGATTACAAATGATAAGGCACCTCCTGCACCAATCCCACCTCCTCAACTCCGTCAAATACTCCTTGATGAACGGCTACCTAGGCCTGGACAAACCAGACAACCTCCACCACTGCCTCGACGGCATCGACCTCGTAACCCCGTACCTGAAAACCGACATCCTGCTCGCCCAATTGGCAGTCACCGAATGGTGCGTGGACACCCTGAGAAGCCACATCTTGCGAGACGTGAAAACGAAAGGCGCAAGCGCCAAAGTGAATCTCAACCTGGGCACCTACACGCTGCTCAGGGACGTGCCGAGAGCTAGGATTCTGCTCGCCATTCTGGGGATTTTGGCATCGAATCGGTACAATGCGCTCGAGCTGAGCCCGCTGGTTAACAGCGGGGTGGTTAGTTCGGTGTTGGGGCTGTTGAGGCAGGCGGGTAGCGACCAGAGCATCGTCAGGAAGGTATGTTAATCAGAATTGATAATGTAAATAATGATAATAATAATAATATGTATTTCATTCTTTGCTATAAACATTACATTGCATCTCATATAAATATAATACAGTGCAGGCTCGATAATCCGAACGTTCAATAATCCGAATTCTTCAGTAGTCCGAACAAGCATTTTTAATACATTGAGTACTTTATAATCCGAATTTCATAGTACTCGATAATCCGAACCTATACCTTTAGGCCTATTTATTTCCTATAGAAATTGTGAGTGAAATGTTCAGGGATTCCCCTAATTGTTATTTTGTTAGTATCTTTCACATTACGCAAGCGTGGTTAGGTTTTTCACCGTTTTAGTACGTTGTTGAGCTGTGATATTTACTTTGCTTGGTGATAATATTTGTTTAAATAAAAAAATGCCCCCAAAAAGAAAACACAAGAAATGGCCTTTATAAATAATCAAAGATGTGTTAAGCAAACAAAAATTACAAATTACTTTAGAAACTAGTATTATATTCTTACTTTTATGCATATTTTAGTGTTACTTTTTCGTATTTATGTTTTTTTTTGCATTTCGTAATAAAAAATTAAAAAAAAAAACTGCTTCGGTAATCCGAATTTTTTGGTAATCCGAATCGCCTTGGTTTTTATTAGTTCGGATTATCGAGTCTGCACTGTAGTTATTTATTATACAAGGGAAAAAAGTAGTAGATTTTAGCTCCAGGTTGTGTGGTCTCTTTCGACAAAAAACCGTGAGCTAAAAGCTAATATTTTTCCCGTGTATAATACACTATTTTTTTCTGTGACAGAAGAAAGGACGAATCAATATTGAGAAGATATTATATTATTTCGGAATCTGAAAATTATCGACGTGAAATTTTAAGTTTTTAACAGTAGGGACACCTGCATTGTAGGCATCTTTATCATTCTTTTGAAGTAATCAAATATCTGATGTCACTTCTGTCAGTCTAATTCTGTGATTTGATTTCAAAAAATTGCGAATTTAGTGGTTGTTTAGTAATATACGTACCGCGAAGTTGAATGGAAGATAAAAGGACTTGCAGTTCTTTCTCGGAGACGGTATTATTGACTCATTTTTCGAAACTATAGCACAACAAAAGCCATAAACAGTGAATATATACAGGGTGTCCCTATACCAGTGGGACAGTTGAATATCTTCTGAACCAATAGGAATTTTCAAAATATTATAATTTCACATCATATCGCATTATGAGTGCTAACTTCAGGAATGACTATATTTTATACGAGGTGCGCAAGAAAGGCTCACAAAATCGAACATCAATTTTTTCAAATGGAACACCCTGTATTTCATTGCATTTTCATATTCTCCTTAAAGAGCTTAATTCACCGACCTAGCACACTTGGGGTCTAGCGGGAATGATTTCCGAGATATAGGGTGTGGAAAATCGAGATATTTCATTTTGGGGAATTTTTTGTGTCGAAACTATTCATTATTGGTCAAAACGGCTTACATGTCCATACCTTAACTTTTTATTCACTATTTACTCGTATTTAATTGAAACAAATACAGGGTGGTGTAGAATTCTGACTGAAACTGTTAATTCTACACCACCCTGTATTTGTTTCAATTAAATACGAGTAAATAGTAAATCGAAAGTTGAGCTATGGACATGTAAGCCGTTTTGACCAATAATGAATAGTTTCGACACAAAAAATTCCCAAAATGAAAAATCTCGATTTTCACACCCTATATCTCGGAAATAATTCTTGCTAGACCCCAAGTGTGTCAGGCCGTTGAACTCAGCTCTTCAAGGAGAATATGAAAATGCAATGGAATACAGGGTGTTCTATTTGAAAAAAATTGATGTTCGATTTTGTGAGCCTTTCTTGCGCCCCTCGTATAAAATATACTCATTCCTGAAGTTAGCACTCATAATGCGATATGATGTGAAATTATAATATTTTGAAAATTCCTATTGGTTCAGAAGATATTCAACTGTCCCACTGGTCTAGGGACACCCTGTATATATATATATATATATGTGATATATATCCGGGACAAAAGTACTCACTTTTTTCCCACGGGAAAAAAGTAATTTATGAAAAGTGACATTTTATAACCTGCCAACAGAGATGAAATGCCAAACTTTTTTCCTGTCACAGAAAAAATATATTTTATTAACATTTACAATGAAATAACATGAATAATCAGACAGATTCATACCTGGTATGATATTATTCATGCGTTGTTAAATCTAAGTTATTGAAATAAACAACAAATTCAAAAATAATAATAATAATAATAAAAAAGCTAATGAAAAGTTCATTATGACATGATGAAATAAATTAGTGAATGAGAAATCATTCACTCAGGTTTGATTTTCTCTTTGCAAGAGGCTATGTTTCTTGACTTTAATTTTGAATTGGTGATATTTGTGCAACTTTTGACATATAAACGAAACGATTCACTAAAATATTTATTTCTGTATCTACAGCGCGAAATGCTACTTTGGTAATCGAGATCTGATTTTTTTAACGAGTGGAAGCCGAAAGAATGCAGCTATGATTTGTCCGTACCCTGTTAAGATGACTTTAACGTCAATTTCCATCAAGGGACCCTAATAATAATCAAATAAAAATCAATCAAAAAATGAAGATCGCCTGAAGTCATGTAGAGTTGAAGTACAAGTAATGAGAAGAATAATGGGTTTCATAGCCGAAATTATAATAATTGATAAATAAACAAATTAGCGGCGCATGTGACTTTGATGTAGAAGCAATAACAAAGAGAACGCACTTGCCCCATCAAAATCGAACCTTCTTTAACGAATTCCGAGGTGGGATTCTAACTTTCCTGAACTAAGAGTAGTAGCAAGCATATCTTATCTCCAGTTAATTATTGCTTTCCTAATAAAACAATCGACAGGTGTCCGAGTTCTACGTGCTGTACGCCGACGTGATCGAGAACAGTAAGCCGAAGACTAGTAGCTTGTCGGGGCCCGAGCTGGCCGGGCTGATGAAGCTGGGGACTAGGGTGGTGAGAGGATCGGATTGGAAATGGGGAGACCAGGTATTTTTAATATAAAACATTTATTTCATTCTCTGCTATAAACATTGCATTGCATTTCATATAAATAAAAATATATAAGGGTGTCCCAAAATTAGCCTGCCAAACTTCACCAGCGGCTTCTTCGACCAAAAAGAGGAAGAAAAGTTCCAATGAACTGTTTCCTAAGGGAGCTACGGCCCGCTGACAGGGGGCTCCTGAAGATGACATTTCTTGAACATTTCAATTGTCCAATTGTTTTTATAGCCAGTCATCACTGATCTACGAACCATGAACATTGTAACCTCTATTTCATTTTCTATTGTTAAAACCGGTACCAATAGTCATCAAATCACCCTCAGTGTCAGTTGATGACACCTCATTTTCCGAGTCCGACACATTTTCTCATGAAAAACATCACAAATCGCCCACTAGTTTTCCATTCAATTAGACCTTGACTCTGTATCCAGGGCTCCAATACCAGCCAGGCAAATGAGAAACGAATGAGGAAGAAATGTTGACAACATAAATATGGACTTGACAACAATTCTCGAATGGGGATCCAATAACTTGGTAGATTTCAATGCAAACAAAACACAGGCATGTCTTTTCTCTAGAAAAGCCGATCTCATTGTGCCGAACATAAGCTTGTCAGGAGTTACCATACTTTTGAAGACATCCATTTCGATGCTTGGTATTACTATCAGCAATCACCTTTCTTGGGAAAATCACGTGAGATAAATTGCTAAAAGTGCATCCCAAAAACTTGGTTTTCTATTTCGGGCCAGGAGCTATTTCACTTCCAGTCAGCTGCTTATGATCTATAAGGCACAGATCCGACCTGTCCTGGAATTATTTGGAGTGCAGCACCCAAAATTACCCTGAAACTGTTGGATTCTGTGCAAAAAAGGGCAATTCGTCTCGTGGGTGATGCCTCGCTCACAAACCCACTCACTTCTCTGGAACACCGTAGAAAAGTTGGCGATCTGGCTCTATTTCATGGATATTTTCATGGAAAATGAAATATCAACAATTGGTCCTCCCTTGGCAGTCCACGCGAGATTAACCAGTCGAGTTGAGGCTTGGCACCCCTTCGTGGTCACTTTGGAGACTTGCAGAACATCTATTTTCAAAGACTCGTTCATCCAACGAACAGCGAGGCTGTGAAACACATTGCAAAGGGAGGTGTCCCTTGAGGCATATAACCTTCAGAAATTTGAGAAGAACACCAATTCCTACCTTATTTTCCTTGGTTCTCACGATGTTCTCTGAACATTATAAGATATCCCTTTTCGTGGGAACCAGAACATAAAAGAAAACCGCATTAATATTAAAACAATAAACTTCTTTAGGATGGGAATCCTCCAGGTGAGGGTAGAGTGATAGGGGAATTAGGGGACGATGGCTGGGTTAGGGTCGAATGGAGTAACGGAACCACGAACAGCTATAGGATGGGCATCGAGGGGAAGTACGATCTGAATTTGGCCTCCCCTCCCTCGCCTGTATCTTCAGAAAGTGAAACGGAGGAATCTAGTGATCGTGGTAAGTAAAACTACGGCTTGTTAAAAATATGTCGCTTGATATAAACATACATATAAAATTAGTCATATCTAACCCTTTTCCACTCCTTTCAATGTGACGTTGAATGAAATTTCGAATTGTTTTTTCATTGACTGTATCGGACACAAAATGATAGCTTGTGTATGAAAATTCATCTTTGATTGAACAGAAAAAATGGAGATTCAGATTCGGGAAAATTTTCGTATGTATTTTCATTACATTCATTCAGCTCGATTATGTTTATAAATAGCAATAGGGAAATGTTATATAAATTTAGATTGCATTTATGTTTTCTTGCTATCCTGGCAACATCAATTTTATGCTCGCCAACTCATAGTTTGAAAATGACGGTTGTTCCTTTGCTTCGATTGTTCCGATGAGTTGGAAAATTCAGAAAATAGATTATTATAATCATATATAATCTTATATAATCGTCTCAAAAAATGTTTCTTGAAATTATGAGAACAAAATTTCTCGACATATCAGACACCAGGAATCCATTTCATGTACCTGATACCTGAGGATTTCTGTGAACTAACCAGAGTACTTTTCAAATATAGAAGTGAGTGTATAGTCAAATATAATTCCCAGATAAGTTGTATCATAGTATGAAATTACAACTTAAGGGATCATTGCTGTTCATGCAATGAATGAGTGAAGAAAAATAAGAAATACTGAGGAAGGGTTATAGGTGCACAACCACAACTAATACAAAACTGATTGATGTGGAATATTGAATGCATTATACAGGTTAAACACTAATCAAGGAGTCCATTCAATATAAACTCTTCTTCTTCAAAAAATAATGGCACTTATGTGAATAACACTTGAAAAACGAGTTTGAAACAGTCTTGTTATCGCAAAAATCCACCAATCTTGAGGTTTTTGTCTAAACAGAAATGCATACTCATATCTCATGATCATAACAGTTCGAACAAAATCGACCTGATTGTCTATAATCACAAGATTACATCGGTATTTCTACAACTCACTCGTCCATTGTGTATTTTAGGATCTCAACTCATAAAAGACAATCATCTGATCAAACTGCTTCGCGACATGAGCATCAATTTCCTGCGAAACATAACGCTTAGTGCCGGTCTGTCGAAAAACGATTTGTATCCGAACACCGTCCACGGTCTGAGCAGCCTATTTTGCACCACTTTGACTTCGAATTGCTCCGAATGGATCAATTTGACTCTCGTGAGGAGTATCTGTCAAACGGAACAGTTGTGTAGAGCCTTCAGTACCAAACCGTGGATAAAAATGCTCCTCGGTTTCTTGGGGCCACCTAGTAACGCAGGAGGGAACGAGTTGAATCTACCGAAACAGGTGAATATTATATTATTTTGTTTTGTGGAGACATTTCTAAGGGCACGCTTGATTTTCAGATCCTAACCATACGTCTATTAGAAGCTGTGTTGCAGTCTTGGGATATGGATAATCCCGAAATATCCCCCCTTCTCGAGAAAATTCTCAATATACTCGGTAGAATCGTTCTGACATGCTCGTACGATACTGGCAACAAACCACTCTTCAGCAGCAAATCTCTGGTTTTGTTGACCCAGTCTCACAGCAGCACAGTCGCTCAAGAAATTGTAAACCTGCTGAGAACCTTGCATGGCTTACTAGGTTGGAATCAGATTCTCAACGCTATCCTAATCCAAAAACTCAACTTGGCCGCGTATTTCCTGAGCGAAGCTTGTCTCACCACTATGATGAACGACCAGCCTACCTCCGATCAGCAATGCTACATGGTGGTCGCTTGCTTGAACGTTATCGGTGCTTGGGACGTCAGACCTAGGATCGGATCCGTAGCAGAAATCGATAATAATCAGGGAACTGTCATCAGAGTCACTCCGAAAGGAAAACTGTGTATCCAGATGCATGGCAGTGGGGAGGTGATGAAAGCCACTGTAAGTGGCCTCAAACTGCTCAGTGCCACAGAGTTCAACTTCGAAAGGATGCTACTGGGAGAAAACTTCGTGAAAACCTGGGCGAATCTATTGATGATCAGAAACACGCCCAACAGTCATGACAGGAAGTCGTACCACGGCAAAGTGAATCTAGCTTACCTTCGCACCCAGCAAAACATGCTGTACGCATTGAATGCTACCAGAGTCTTGCACACTAATCAGTACAAGCTTCGCAAAGTTCTGAAGTTCCCTGTCAACGGCATGGATCAGTCCCAAGAGCAACAGTCCATTGAAGAAGAGCTCAACCAACAGCCGATCCTTCTGATTCAGAAACTGTTGGCCAAAGCGACTCAGCCCACGCCGTTGAAGCCGGGTTTCAGTTTGCAGGAAATGCAGTTGGCTGCCCTGAATCTTAGTCAATATTTGGCTGCCGAAGGGAATTTCGAATTGTCGGTGAATATAAACAACGATAAGCCGACGCCGATGAATGTGACTAGATGTAATAGTGAATTACCGACGCCGAACAGTGAATCTTCCATAAACAGCGTTGTTAGCGAAAAAACGAATAAGAGAAGGGAATTGGAAGATGAGCCGTACGTACACCCAATGGTATCTCAAATAGTGGAGATGGGATTCACGAAGAAGGCTGTGGAGAGTGCCATAAAGTCACTAGGTTGGTAACCATTATCACTTATAAAATGTATGTAAACAGTATAAAGAAGAGTATCGTGGATCCGTTTCGTTACTAGTGGTATTCTTTAGTTCTGAACCAATTTGAATATTCCACTAGAACTACTGAATCAGTTAACATGTATTCTTTTGAATTCACTTCCTCCACCTAACGCTTAGTGGTGAATCGATCTGTCTGTTTATTGAAAGAATAAATTCAGAGGTAGGCATAACGGAACATAATACGGATTTATGCATCTCTCTCTTTTTCAAAATGTGGTTGAAAATTTAGGAAATTCGAGTTGACTTTCAAACATTATGAATGAATAGAATTTACTGAACTTATAATTAGCTATACTACTCTTCTATAAACAGGATGAGTGTGGTCGATATCCTTGAATTTTTTTAGTTCATAAACTATGAAATGTTTCAATAGTAAAGTGATATTGCTCGACATCATCGTCCTGTCATTCAAGTACAAATTTCACGAAATCACGAAACAACCATGTGGAAAATACTTCATGTCGAACGTATTGCAGCAGTCTGACTCAGTATTCATTAATTCAAAAAATGCAAAGTTACTATTTATGAATTATAACAACAGACAAATCATTTGACAAGTGAAACTGAGGTTAGGTCGAAACTCGAAACATATTAGTTCGCTGTGCACTGAGATGAAATGTGATTTTAATTTTTTTTTGTATATTCACTGAGTTAATTCACCGTACTGTGTATCCTTATCTTGAGCAAACTGTATGATGGTGAACGATTTCAGCTATAGGACCAGACAATCTCACAACTCCAGAATCAATAGTCAGTTGGTTATTAGAACATCCAGAAGTTGCAGCAGAAGACAGTGATTCATTGAGTTCCGTGTATGACTCCGAGACTGAATCAATATCATACGAAAATGTTTTAGGGGCACAAGCTCTCAACCAATACGTAAGATAGTCAATTCACTTCATTCTAACGGTTTGGTACAGAATGTTTTTTTTTCAGGGTGATGAAAATAATGTGAAATACCAGTCTTTCTGTAGACGCTCACAGTTTCTCTCCAACGACGAATATGCGATGTATGTTCGCGATAATGTCGAAGTCGGAATGCTTGTCAGGTGTTGTAAAAGCTACGAAGAAGTTCAGCTAGGAGATATTGGAAAAGTTGTAAAAATTGATAGGGAAGGCTTACATGATCTCAACTTGCAGGTACTTCACTTCCAGAGCTCCTGATTACAAGTATTTTTGCATCGCATTCATTTTTAGGTTAATTGGCAACACAAAGTGAGCACTTACTGGGTCCGATTCATCCATGTTGAATTACTTGGCTTTCCTCCTTCTCTACCTGCACCTTCAACCATCAAAGTAGGCGATAAGGTTAGAGTGAAATCAACAGTAACTGCGCCAAGGTACAAGTGGGGTTATGTAACCCATGACAGTGTCGGGGTCGTAACAGGTTCGTACAGACACCGATCTCTCGTCGGTAGCAAAGTTGTTTATGCAAAGCTCAACGCCATTTCCACAAATATTTATCAAGAAACGAAACTGGTAGATAACGAGAGAAATAGTATATTGTGAATCAAGTGGGGAAAGTTCAACTTTTCTCACGGCTGTGAAAGTTTGTGGCACGAGCCTGAAGGGCGAGTGATGCAAACACATGAGTGAGAACAGTACTTTTCCCCACATGTTGCACACTATACTTTTTCTACAACTGCACTTATCCAAAGAATCCAAGTAATGTAACTTTTTAGTATTCATTTTATAATGTGGCACTATGCCACATTGAATATTGTGACCAAAGAGTAGACGCCTTTCCTAGTTCCTCAAAGTATTTCAAAAAAGTACACTTTCCGAAAAAGATTTTATTTCTGTATTTTTTTTAGATTCCATAAATTTTCCATATAAGTATGCCAGTCCATACTTTTTTCTTGAAATTTCCGGAAACAATTCCAACTTTCGCAGCTTATTCCATTACCTATGTCTCTGGCGGTGTATTTATCGAAATCGTCACATCTCGGTATATACATCATATTATTTATTATGAATTGTTGGAATAATATTTGATGGAAACTGCGATTTCTATCGAAAGCACTAATGAGAACTACCTTAAAGAATTTAAAAAATTTCTTCTGACAGTTGTGACAACTATTCAAAACTGAACAGCAGCCAATTAAGTTTTGGTTGATTTTTGTTGATTCTCCATGGAAATGTATGTGGTGTTGGCAAAGTGCCGTGAGAAAAAATATTTTCTCCGATTGGCAGCAAATATTAATTTTGCTGACACATATCAATCAGCAAAGTATTACTTTTCCTGCCTAGGCAGCAAAGTGGTTGCTTTGCTGATTGATATGTGTCAACAAAATTAATAATCCATAAATCGTTTATGATTTCCTTCATATTTCATCCGAGACTTCTCCGGCAACAAATTCAACTCTATATTTTTTGCCACCTCCCTTATTTCTGGAGGAGTAAGTTCTTCCAAATCGCTATCACTGTCCATTATACAATAATTTATATATACTGATATTTTTTTGTACAACTGTCAGAAATTTCATGAATTGTCAAACTATAATTATTATGGACAATTCCATAGCAACCAACCATTCCAACAACTGCGATTTCTATCGAATTCTATTTTAATTGAACACTACAGGAAAAATAAAGAGATTGTGGGAATTGTAATAATTTGCAAGTACAATATCCTCTATTCCATCATAAACAATCGGAGAAAAAATTATATGTTCAACTCGGCAGTCAATCTACTACTTTGCTGCCCTGTTAAACAAATAACTATTCTCACATTATGAGCAATACATGGCTTTGAAACTAAGTGAGCTATGAGAAATGCGCTACTTTTCATAGCAGTAGTAGAAAAACTACTTTCTTGTCTATATGCCACGCAGACCATTGAATTACATCCTCCGTTGTCTACCAGTGTCGTCCATTCATGAACATTTATGGAAATGACTTTGAGCTTGGCATATTTATTCAACATTTCATTCAACTTTGAGCATTTTGGCTTTTTCGTAGTTGAAATATGTTTATGTTGTGGTTTCAGCGATATCGCCGAACGGCCATGATTTGACAGTTGACTTTTCGAAACAACAGAACTGGACTGGATTGATCGCCGAGATGGAAATCGTACCATCTTGCCATGAGGATACGACTTGCATGAGTTGTTCGCTGGCGCCGATAAAAGGTCCCAGATTCAAATGCAAGACCTGCGAACGATACGACCTTTGCGAGAATTGTTTCTACACCAAGCGGAATCATCGGCATTCGTTTGTTCGCATTCACGAACCAGGTTGGATTTGAATATTATCAAAGAGTAATATCTGCTAGTAGACTGATTTTTTTACTTTCCAATTCTCGACTTATGCACTATGATTCCAATTATACTTATATCTGCGGACGTCGCGACTTAGTGAATTAAACACAGAGTTGTCAGATATCAAACTACATCTGAAAATATATCACTTCAGTAATAGTTTTTAACGTATCCAGAACTTCATCGAATGTGAGAGTTCTTCCATATCTTTGGCACAAATTGTACAAGAGTCGGCTGCGAATTTCGACCGTCATCTGAGAACGAAATGATTTATCGTGGGCTTAGTGCCAAAACAGAATATGTCAAATTATTCAGGTGGGTTTTTGAGATCTACCATTCAATTGTTATCTGATGGCATAGTTCTCATTTGCTTTACAACACGCATTACGTACTATACTTTACCTACTGCCATATAGTACATCAAAAAAGTTTAGACAAACAGTTTGAATTCTAATTCTTGACAGTTATGTCTCTTGACGGCGATTACGCGATCATGACATACCTTTACTGGCGGAATAAACGGAAACTGTGCAATCTCCTTACTGTGCGTAGAGAGCTACTTACTGAGGCTGTATCTGCTGCCTACTTTCTATAGTGGCCGTAGGTAAAAACATATACGTCAATTGTTTCTTGGGAATAATAAAGATAATGATGATGATGATGATGATGATGATGAACATTCGAAAGCATGACAACCAAAATGTTAAACAAATTTCGAATGGTGTTTACGTGATGTTTTCTCAAAGTTGCGTTTGTCAGAAAAGTATCTAATCTGTGGAAACGCCGCGATTTGGTGAGTCTCCGAGTAAAGGAATTGGAAAACCGTCATCAATAAAAATTTACGTATTCATTAAATTGTCTTACAGACTTACACTCAAGCATTTCTAATTCGATTTTTGTTGCCTTTAGGAATATCAAATTTCCTACTGTATTTGAAATCTTTTTTTTTTCACCTTTATGAGAACCCGCTGGCAAACTTCAACATCAATAATTTAAAGGCATTTGATTTTGAACAACAACAAAATTTCGTCTGCGGTGCTTTTTCGCTTTATGTCACCCCTCCGCATCACTAGTTACCCCCCCCCCCCCCCATGGAACAAAGCTTTATAATATTTCGTCAGATCAGATCAATCAATGAACTTTATTATGCCCAAGAAACAACATTTATTTATAGCAGGGAACATGGTCAATACAGTAAAATAAGACTCACACTCAAGAAGAAATCTCTTTTTTTAAGTTCAACTGAAAATGATTCTTGATGGACTCAGCTGTTTGGCACCCAATGGAAAACTATAATAATTGTACCAGAAGATGTCAATATTACAGGAGTAGATTCATTTTTCATATATATTATTTATGTATTGAACAAATAACTTCCAGACAGAATTGGCTCTGGTATAAGGAAATACAAAATTATATACCTATTTACATTTCATCATTCAAAATATATCAATAACTATAAATTGGCAAGCAAAGAATAATATTTGTGGAAAAAACATTGATATTTCTTGGGTACTTTTTCAAATTTTTCAATCCTATTACTAGGCTTCAAGTTATTCGGTAGTGAATTGTATTGTATCATACCTATTATTGGAGTTTTTGTTTCTAAGTATCCCAATATGACGGTCGGAATTTGCAATTCTACTATGATAGCACCGATTTGAACGTCCGATTTTTTTCAAGGTTCGCCAGAAATATTTGCCGGAAGAGCGGGAAGATACTACAAACACGACGCTATCGATATGGATGGCGAGGTTATAACAGAATGGGGAAGAATAGTGAAAAATGTAACGGTATCTTCTAAGTACGCTGTGCGCTTCGACATACCTGGTACTGTGTGGCAGAGCTGTGGTTCCCAAGGAAAAGTATGTTCATAACAAATATTATTCACTAACAATAGACCATTTTAAGCTGGGTGCTGATTTGGCATATTGGATGTCATCTAACTAATACCATCTAGATTCATTGGATGGTATCAGTTAGATAAAAGTTCGGACACAAAAATGACAAAACAGTTAGTGTTTTTGAATCTTTAGATTTATTAAGTTACACACCTTGCATTGTGACATAAGCAACATAGTCGTCTCACGGTTTTTCATTCAAAATTGTTTGAATTCGACAATACATTTATGAACGTCAGAATGGAAATATAATTTCATAAACTATTGCAAAAAAAGCATAAATGAAAATGTCCTGCTGTTTTATGAATTGTGGGAATTCTGGAGAGAATGGATTTCATTTATTTCATTTTCCAAACGAAATATCAACCATTCTCTTATGGATAGAATGTATGAAACGGCCTGGATGGAAAATTGATTTAAAGACAAACGAAATTTGTGAGATACATACATTAAAATTCACTTCTTATAACATCAGATTAGAATGCATTTACAAAACAGACTATTATAAAAATCCAATATTATCATCAAACGAAATGCAAAACAATATTATCATGGAGAAAGCAAAACTACCTCTGTAATGAAATTGAAAATTTGAGAACGAAACTGAGAAAATCAAGTAAATTGCAACGTGAATGGCGTTTTCAATCCCGACCAAATTAAAAATTTTATCAGTGATAATCTTCATATGAATAAAGTTCTCCTAATTGCGACTTGGACGATGGTATTTCAATATTTCTGCATAATATTGTGTAATGGTGATTTCAGAATCGATTGTGAAAACAATATATTGAGAATACCTACCTTTTAATTTAACATCAATATCTTCATGTTTTATCACTCGAGTACAGTTCCAAATGTATCTCTTTAATCTGAAGTGGGTAAACATTATCTCTATTTTTAATCTACGGCTATGATTAATTTGACAGAAAATTTAATCTCTAAAATCGTATCTGACAATCAGATGCTACTAGGGAAACTAAAATTGTTGTTTTTTTTTGTTCTGAAAAGACAAAGCAGAATATAAAAAATGATAACATGGCGCCGCCTGTAGTGGATGTGAAAGATCTAGCTCCAAAGTCAAATGTGTGTAATAAGTGCAAAAATTCGGTAAAATGAGGATTGAAATGCATGAAATGCGATATTGTATTCCACCCGAGCTGTGCGAAGAATTGTAGCTATGTGACATTCCTCGATAATAACAAAATCGTGTGCTGTGATAGTGCCCCAACCTCAAAAGACGATATTATGGATCCGGAATCAAATGCGGCGTTATTTGATGCCTTGGAAAAAGTGTACCCTGATGGTAAAGTTGACCTCAGCATATTTAGTTATATCATTAGACAAAAAGATACTATAATCAAACAGCTAGAAGAAAAAGTCATGCTTTTGAACAGTCATATCAGTGTCCTAAATGCGAAGCATATCGATTCAATAAATCTCCAAAAAACTGCCGTTGCTAGACCTGTGGCTGATATTGCGATAAATGAACATCAACAAAGTTATAGCGAGGTTGCCGCGTCGTCGAGCTCATCTAGACATTTGGGAAATCCCGAAATGGTGTCCAAGCAGAATGTCGCTGAGGCAGTTTTGAATGCGAACACACAATTGAAATGTAATCACTATATAAATTTGGGAGAAACTACTAGCATACATGCAAATGACTCTCCAGTAAGTCCTGCAATCTCACTACGAAATCATGATGTAGATAATGACGGTTTCCAAAAAGTTACCAGAAGAAAACCTGAGAGGAAATCTAAGAAGATGGGAACCGGAGACGGTGATAAAACATTTCATGGAAAGAAGGATAACGAGAATAGGAAATTATGGCTTTTCATCTCAAGAGTGCCTGACTCAGTTAACTCAGAGAACGTGAAACAGTTTCTGCAGACGAAAACAAATTCCAATCAGGTAGAGGTAAAACTACTACCAACTCAAAATAATAGAGCAGATAATCAATCTTTTATGATCGGTGTTGCACCGGAACTGAAAGATCAAGTGTATAATCCTGCATTTTGGCCTAAAAAAATCACTTTTGAGCGATTCAATTTCAGATTGGGAAAAAGATTCCTCGAAAACCGAGGAACCGATGAGGCAATTTCAGCATCGGTACAGGGTCAACCACAGTCTTTTTTAGGAATATGAATCCACGAGAAAACCTTCCTTATGAAGAACAGAACACCACATTTTTCAAATTGCTACAGCTCAATGCTCAATCTCTTTCAAATAAACTGGTCAAATTAGAATTATTGATTATTCAAGAAACCCCGGACGTAGTGAGCCTGTCTGAACACTGGTGTAGTCAAGAAAACATCGAATTCATGACTTTAAATGGTTATGTTATTGCTTCATACTTTTGCCGTTCTTTCCATATCCATGGAGGAACCATCATTTATATTAGGACTGATCTCAAGTTTGAGCCGATACGAATTTCACACTTGAGCGAAGAAATGCATTTTGAGTGCTGTGCAATATCTGTTGTGGCACCTGATCGCAAAATTTGTGTAGTGAGTATTTATAGGCCACCCACAGGGGATATGGAAATATTTTTAGGCAAGTTTTGTGATGTCTTAGATTTATGCAGTGAATCTCATCATGATGTTTTTGTCTGTGGGGATCTAAATATTGATTTCTTGGTAAATTCAATAAACAAACAATCCTTACAAGATATTCTTGTAAGCTACAATCTGACAGTCACCTCTATGACTCCCACAAGAGTTTTCATGAATAAACTTGGTCAAATGTCATCCACAAAAATAGACTATGTTTTAACTAATGTTGATATTGATTATTGTAAATCTAACGTATATGAAGGTCATTTTAGTGATCACAGAATATTTGCCTTAACTGTTGCCCATTTTGGTAAGATTTTTAAGAAAGAGAGCAAACAAACTTTCCATCGTGACATGTCTGAGGAAAATATTGATAAATTCAAAAACGCACTGTCTATAGAAAATTTTAGCGAAGTTTATCTTGAATCTAATATTGAGGATGCTACAAACACGTTTATTAATGTTCTAACATATTATCTAGATTTCTATTGCCCAGTCAAAACGAATTATAGAAAGTATCAAGTAAATAAAGGAGAGTGGGTAACAGCAGAAGTCAAACAAGCTGGAAAATATTTAAAAAATCTCTACTGGTTGAGTAAAAATGTAGAAGGGCATGATTGTCAACGATTGTACAGAAAGGCTAAAACTGAATATAACAATTTAATTAAGACAACTAAAAGACAATTTCATGAGCAACTTGTGAACAATTCTGAGAACAAGGCTAAAACAATCTGGAATCTAGTGAATAAAGAGACTGGAAGGAAGAAAAAAGAAAATGATATAACAGTCAGCTCCGATGGGGTTATTTCAACGAATCCTTTAGATGTAGCAAATACATTCGCTGAATATTTTGCTAATGTTACAGACGATAATCTTAATAGATATTTTGGGCAGTCGAGGTCTACGACCTGTACTACACCAAAAATGTTCAACAAAACATTTTTCTTCACACCTGTGACTCCTGAAGAAGTTGAAGATGTGATTAATAACTTGCCAAACAAATCTAGTACTGGCATCGATAATATTTCAACCAAAATTTTGAAGGCAGGCATCAAATCTCTTTCTTGTCAATTATCTTATCTTATTAACTTTTCAATTATAGAGGGCAAATTTCCTACATCTTTAAAATATGCAAAAATTATCCCAATTCATAAAAAAAAATGATCCTGAAAATGTTTCAAATTATAGACCAGTCTCGGTGCTGAGTGTTATATCTAAAATATTCGAGAAAGTTGTCTATAGCAGAATGATACATTTTTTGGATTCAAACAATTTGATAGCCTCGCACCATCATGGTTTTCGTGCAAATAAATCAACACAAACTGCTGCATGCAATTTTTTCGAATACGTATACAAGGAACTGGACAGCGGAAAGCATGTGGCAGGTCTGTTTTTTGATCTATCACGTGCTTTCGACTGTCTTGACATAAAATTCATTGAAAATAAATTATACAGTATAGGATTTAGAGGGATTTTTCTTGAATGGATATTAGATTTTTTAACCAATAGAAAGATGCTAGTAAAAGTAGGGGAGGCCATATCAGAATCTTACACTATGGACAGAGGAGTTCCTCAGGGATCTGTGTTGGGGCCTTTAATATTTTTACTTTTCATAAATGACTTACCAAAACATTTAAAACATCACCTTTTAACCATATATGCGGACGATACATCATTGGCAGTCTCTGCACAGACCTCGGAGGAACTCATGTCTTCTATCAAGGATACTGTACGAACCTTCGTGAATTGGTGCAAGTCCAACTGTTTGATGGTGAATGTTGAGAAGACACAATGCGTATATTTTCATTTCCATAATTTAGTTGACAACTTACGTACTCTTACTATAAACTTTGAGAACCAAACAATGATTGAATCAACTGCAACAACAAATTTCTTGGGTTTGAATATTGACTCCAATCTTCGATGGATAGATCAAGTTAACGCTGTTAACACCAAATTAAATAAGGCATATTATGCGATATCTAGAATAAGAGACACCATGCCCACCAGTGCAATAATTAATGTATACTATAGTCTAGTATACAGTCACTTATGTTATAATATCATTTTATGGGGTAACTCAGTCGATGTAACTAAAATATTTGTGACACAAAAGAAGATCATTCGAAAGATGTTCCGACTAGAATATCAACAAACTTGTAAACCCACCTTCATAAAATATAAAATAATGTCTTTCTACAGCGTGTTTATTTATCACTGTCTTCTGTTTGTGAGAAATAACATCAATACCTTCCAACTGAATTCTTCAAATCATTACTATGACACCAGAAACTCAGATCTCCTACGCATTCCCAAACACAAAACAACAAAACTAGAAAATAGTTTTAGATATATGGGAATGAAATTATACAATCATCTTCCAACATTAATTAAAAATATAATTTCCAATTCTTCTTTTAAACGAACTATAAAAAATTTAATGGTCACCAAATGTTATTATAGTATAGATGAATATCTGCAGGATGACTTGTACTGACAATAATTGTACTTTGTGTATTTCATCATGTATTTTATTTTTAAACCATTTTGTAAGCGCTTGACTTGTCCTATACATTTTGTAATGTCTCAAAGGATAAAATAAATATTATTATTATTATATTATTATTATTATATTATGGCATTCTTTTATTCTCTCAAATCATAGTAATATTGAAAATAGAAAAGTGCAGAAGTTCGGCTGTGTCCGAACTCTTATCTAAGTAATACCATCCAGTGACTAGATATCATTATTTTAATTTTCTATATTGGCAACATTTACCAAGGTGCTATCATGTTCAGTGTTGTCATGTCAAAAAAATGTCATTGGAATTATAATTAAAAATTTCGAATTCCTAAAGGAATTGGTATCGAATTTCTATGAAATGGACAAATAAAAAACTTCAGAAAAGCCTGTATATAAATGTGTGATCAGCGGATGTGAAAATACTTCTGGTATAAACAAAAAGTTATCATTTTATAAGTTTCCAAAAGATATTCACAAAAGTAGGGAATGGACAAAAAGGATTGGGGTATCGGCCAAAGGTTTGAATTAAATCAAACCATACGAACACAAACAAGTTTGCAGTATTCATTTTGGTCTAGGAGAGCATGGACGATTGAAAAATCTGGAAAATGAATGTGAAGGGTCCACCAAATAATTTCCCTGGAGAATGAAAATCTGAAATCTCGAGATTCTCATCAGCTAGGTTTATATAATACTGTTACTTCATTTTTTAATCCCACCTTATGATTATCTCGTTTTCAGACAATCAAATTGTAAATGACTAAACAATAATCAAATGTATAACTAATAATATTCAATCACATATTTCTAAATCTGGTGTGGATGATTCCTCGCAAGATTTTTGATTTAGTGAAGGTGGATAGAACAACCTCTATACAAAATCCTCCATGTAATTCAGATATAAAAAAGTTGAAAATGAAACACAATATTCGATTTTTTTCATGGAAACACCCACTTCACCTTTCGATACATTATATTCAGGTTGTGTTCCATAGAATTATAAGGAATTTCTTTACTTTATTCTACTTTAACATCCTAAGCCTTACGTATGCATAGGCTCAGAAATATCCATTTTGTCGTTCCAAATATTCATTCATCTGGATTATCTGTGAAACTATCGACACCATTCTTTGAAATTTTTGTCCAGAACGGAACCTTTGGTGTATTTATTCTAGAAGAAAATGGGCTGTTGGATCATCTAAGGATTGATGGTTTTCTTCTCTATGAAACTACCCAATCAAACACAAATATCAATTTCAATTTTCGAATGACCGGTACTGTAAGATTGATATTTCATTTTCGAATTTGTCATGACGTTGGGTTGCCCAAGTGTTGCTAATAAAAGAATATTCAATTTGATATCCCGAATAAGTTCCAATTTGCGCCACATTCTGCGTATAATGGTCTATTGATAACCGACAGTTTTTCTTGCAGCATTGGATAAGGCTGGAAATATTTCCCGATATTACGATCAAGTCGTTGAAAGTCGGAGTGGATCCAGCTGATAACAGTTATATGCCTTCTGTGATAGTTGTTAACGGTGGTCATTCTATAAACTCCATGACTGAATTGAACACAGTTAACGTGAAAAACCATGACACATCCGTTTTGTTATTGAGTAATTTAGATAAGGTTAGTGCGATTTTTTGTTCAGAAAGATTCTACATAATTGACATACCGTTTTTCTGTCCATTCAGGTTAGTTGTTCTAATTATGAATAACCACACATACAATGGAAACAACATTATCAAATAATCGTAGGGTATTCAATAATAACGTTTGAAATAATAAATAATGGGGAAGTTTCCTTCAGATGAATTTTCATAAAATAACTTCGGAACTCTCCAGTTCTATGTCCACGCTGTACAGAATGGCGACCCATAAAGTACAAGTCGGTTTCATTCTCAAATTAAAGCAATTTCTAATTTTCGGAGCGGCAAACTGTGACGTACATTCTGAATCTAGTCTGAAAATAGCTGATGGTGAAGAATAAAGCTAGCGAATAGCTAACGAATGAAAAAAATGGAAGCAGTTGTAAAACTGGTAAACAAACACATACATAACCACAAATGCATTTGGAGCAGGAATGCAGAGGATAGTTGGCTTCATTCTGACAGGTTATGGTTTTGTTATTTGTCCATCGAAATATCTCGAATAGAGCTCGATCCTGAAAGAAAATAGAATTGAATCAATGTATCACTATCGGCTACATTCAATGATACTATCCTTCCTAATTTACTGTCATCGGTCAGAACAGAATGAAGCCGACACCCATGGCTCCTTCCTCTTGTTGTGCCTGTCAGTATTTTGAGTGGTGTGGATGGACTCGAAGTATTTGGCGCTGTTGCAAGATATAATCTGCAACTTTCCTAGAAAATAGATCCGTTAAGGAACGAATTTATTATCAAAAAAATTACTGACAAGTTATGAATAACATTGCAATATAACGATAGTGAAAAATTATTGATACTATCGCAAAATATCATAATTTATCTCTATTAGTAATCAACTACATTCAGCCAATGAGATATTTATGGGAATTATTCATAATACTTGACAAAGTAGTATTGAAGAAACTATTATATCCTACTACTGTTATGAGTTATCAGTTATTATGCATTCAAAGAACAATTTCCGGAAATCTAGACATATTGATAATAATAATAATAATATAAGTTTATTCAAAAACGTTTACAAAATATACATTGGAATAAACAGACAGGTAATTTGAATAAACTGATGATGCCGGCAACGTCGTACTGGCACAGGGAATCGTATTTTAACTCTGTGTGAATGTGGATTTTCAGTAAATACGTCATAGGAATTATGGAGGAGCCAATTTCCCCTTCTATTTATTGTTTTCTGAGGTGAAAATTGACCTTAAGAAAAAAAGAAAAAATACGTATATATTAATTTTTCACAAACTTCACAGTGAGATAAGAATCTAAATTCAGGAAACTTCCCCATTCTTCAATATAAAAGTCATTGGAATAATCACTAAGGCTAAAATTATCACACATTGCAAATGTTAATTATTAACCTAATATTCTCGTGGATTGAAGCTCATCAATTGAGGATTCATATATGTTACAGACATAGTTAATGCACCCTCAGTATCATCATTCAAAAGTCGATTAGATCGTATTACTGAGTAAATTGTTTTTGTTTTTTTCAGTTTGCATCGCATTATATCTGTCTATTTTATTTCGAAATGTTCAATTTCTATTCAACATTTTTAATTGTTTTTTCAATTTTATTTTTAATCTAATTGTTTGTCTAGTAGCTATTTACATATATATATAATATTTCTTTATGTGTACCATACAACTATGTCATGTATAAATGGGCTTTTATAGGTTCACACCTCAGCCCATTATCACTTTTTAATAATAATAATAATAATAATAATAATAATAATAATAATAATAATAATAATAATAATAATAATAATAATAATAATAATAATAATAATAATAATAATAATAATAATAATAATAATAATGTTCTGGTAAAATGAACGCACATTGAAACATTTGAAACATTTGGTTTGTACAAACCGTTAGTTTATTGAAATTTCAAAAAATCCTCAAGGGAAAAAAAATCATATTCCTAATAATTTTCGAAAAATTGGAATGAGATTCCCAAAATGATAGGGAATTGATTCGTCTTCGAAATACGATCTTTTTACTGCTCCAGTTGGTTCTATCACAGACATATACTATCTGCATATCATTTTCTCACAAAGACTTTACTTACTAGAAAACAACGCTACAATGCAGGAGAAGAAATAGTGTGGTTAATCCTGTGTATACCATTTATCCAGATTTTTTTATTTTTCTGGTCTCTTGTTCACTGTTTCAATTTTTCAGCATTATCCCATGATCGAAATAAATGTTTCAAAATGCCGCAACAATGGCATCGACTGTAAAATCCACGGTATCACAATGGTCGGAATAATGAAGCAGTCCTTTGGTGAACTGAAAACATCTGTATCATTTCTAGCCAATGATTGGGACTTAACGCAGGAGGCCACACCTGGTCCATCTCTAATAACTATGAGTAAGTTTACTGCAAACTAAAATATAAACGATCATGTTGTTCTAAGTTCATGCATTTTTTTATTAGCATTTTTATTATTGTTATTGATAATTATGATATAATATTTACTTTGTATTTCAGCTCAGGAGTGCAACACAGATCTAGCTTCTTCGACTTCTAGTGGATATAGAGTGTATGTTTGGGGTTTGAATGATAAGGATCAGCTAGGTGGAATGAAAGGTTCAAAAGTGAAACTTCCAGTTTTGTCCGAGTTTCTCAGTCATTTGAGACCCACACACATTGCAGGCGGCTCCAAATCATTGTTTATAGTGTCTCAAGAAGGAAAAGTTAGTAATTTCTTTCTTCCTAGCACCCGTTATTAATGTTTTTATTTTTTCTTCTACTTGTCATAGAAGCCACCGTTACTCTTCTTCAAAGTCGTTTTTTTTCCTTTATGCTCTACTAGTTCATCAGACATCCGGCAATCTCAAAGATATGACGAGTTCATCATTTCACTTCGAAATTCATATTGGGCTAGTGGTTATATTATCGATGATGGCTCTTCCTTTGAACCCAATGACAATTTTTTTCAACCACCTGTTTGATTGGAAGTAGACCCAACTTTTTTTTATATGGCACCCCGTATATTTCTGTAATCTATCTTATTCGCCTTGAAATTCTCTATTCAACTATGTATAACAATTTGATATTCGTTCATTGATTGGCTGTTAAATTGCATTTTATTGAAATACATGAAGTTGGCTGTGGCCCGAATACAATGACATTTCGATGCTTGATACTTAGAAGATATTATCAGAATATTCTCCATACCCTTATCGGTCCCAGAAGATTGCCAATAATTTCATTGAGTTTTAAAAAATCATCCGAAAATAACTCACGGTATTAGAACGATGCATTAATTACAACAATTTCAGTTTCATGTATCCAAATGGATGATAAAATTATGGCTACATGCCGAAAATGAAAGACAAATAGTTTCCTCACAAGTAGCCAAATGGAGAAAAACTATCTTAGTTTCGTCAATATCGTGAGTTATTTTCGGATGATTTTTTCAAACTCGATGAAATTATTGGCAATCTTCTGGGACCGATTAGGGTATGGAAAATATTCCGATAATATCGTCTAAGTAATGATCTTTGGATTTCTAAGCCTATCAAGCATCGAAATGTTATTGCATTCGGGCCACAGCCAACTTCATGTATTTCAATGAAATGCAATTTAACAGCCAATTAATAAACGAATATCACATTGTAATACATAGTTGAATAGAGAATTTCAAGGCAAATGAGATAGGCTACAGAAATATACAGGGTGCTGTTTGAAAAAAAAATTGGGTCTACTTCCGATCAAACAGGTGGTTGAAGAAAATTGTCATTGGCTTCAAGGGAACCGCCATCATCGATAATATAACCCTCGTGAATTTCAAATTCTCATCTCTTCAAATGGAAAAACTACAGGCTGTTAGATGTCACCTGTTTCACCCGGTATATTTACCTCTGTTCAACACATGCAAGAAGGAAACATATACATTGAGTGGTTGCTGCGATACTAGCAGTCTAGATAGACTGACAGAGTAATGTATCCGGCAGTACGTAAACAATTTATTCTGTTCCTATAATAGTTGTACGCTTGCGGCGAAGGCACCAACGGCCGCCTCGGCCTCGGCCACAACAACAACGTGCCCAGCCCTAGGCCCATTCCATTCCTCAGCCAGTACGTCGTCAAGAAGGTTAGTCCATGAAAATTAGGTATTTTACCTCGGAATCCTGTTTCGATGGTGCGAAGTGCGTTTTCTTCGTAATTGCATAAAAGTATACATCTTCTCATGCGCCGCTAATTTTTGTATTTATCAATTATTCTGAACAAATTAGGTATTTCGGCTGTTACGAGTTAACTATAAATGTGGAAAAGACTGTTTACATGGTGCTACATCAAGTGAAAAAAAAAAACAGATAAATCCTAAAATAAAAATAAATGACTGTGTACTGATAGAAGTTCAAAAAATATAAATACCTATGCCTTATAGTGATTGAAAATTCAATATGGAATGTCCATATAGACGGTATCCTAAAAAAAATAGCCCCAATGCTGGGTGCAATACGACGATGCAACCATATGCTAAGCAAAAATGCTAGATATATCTTATATAATAGTTTTATTGAACCCCATATACGATATCATATTCCATGCTATGGAAATGCTTGTGTTGAAGTGATAAACAAACTGCAGAGACTACAAAATAAAGCAATAAAAACCATATTTGCAAAAAACTTTATATAAAGAATACCCATTTCTCAAACTAGATAAACTAAAAAACTTTGAACAAACTAAACTTATTTATAGAATACAGAATAATCTAATTAAAACCAATGTGCAACTAAAACAAAATAAAGACTATCATAATTATAACCTACGAACTAGAGAAAGACTTAGAAATACCTTCGCAAGGACAAAAAAGAACAGGATTATCCTATTTATCGAAGTGTATGTACATATAATGCTGTACTAGAGACAGTTTTCGAAGGATGTGAGAAAGTTGTGAACCATAACCTCAAGAAACTTTTCAAGGAACAGAGCCAATAATTGATTGATCAGTACTGTAAATACCTAAATCAAATTTATTTTTATTTAATCTGTTACTATGCATTGAAAGCTAAGGCCATAGTGTCAGATTTATTGTAATCTGATTAGAGGTCAGAAATAAATGTTTCCAAAAAAAAAAGATCAATTCCAATGCGGTAAAATCACAACTCACAGGGCCACAGAGAATCTTCATTTGTTTATTGATTTCAACCTCATTGTTATAAACAAACTAGCTGACCCTACAAACGTTGTTTTGCTATATACGTTATTTCTAGATAATATTTTTTCAGTTGAATATTCATCAACGCACTATTTTTATTCAATTTTCTGTTTCTTTTAAGTTTCACTAACTATAATAGCGTGTTTCTTTAGTTTTTCATCTACCATTCATTTTCTACTCCTGTTCATTTTACTTCAATTTCCCAATTTTGACAAAAGAATCATAATCTCCAACTCCGAAAACCACAGATGTAAATTTTGAATAGAATTCTGCCATCTTGAATTTCCTAATTTTGACGAAGGAATCATAATTTCCGTTCCCGAAAACTCCTACTCACAAATTTTGAGTAGAATCGGAATATAATTACAAAACTCGTCCACCACATTGGATCTACCATCTTGCATTTTCTAATTTTGACTAAGGAATCTTAATCCCCGATCGCGAAAACCCCTATGTACCAATTTCGAATAGAACCGGATTATAATTACTCAACGCGCCCGAGATATTGGTTTCGCTATCTCAAATTTTCAAATTCCTCCCGAATTTCCAAATTTTGACGAAAGAATTATAATCTCCGACCCCAAAAACTCGTAGATACTAATTTTGAATAGAATCTAATCATGATTACAAAACTCATCCGCCATATTGTATCCGCCATCTTGAATATTCTAAATTTGACGAAGGAATCCCTGATCCCGAAAATCTCTAGATATCAATTTTGAATAGAATCAAATCATAATTACACAACTCGTACGCCATATTGTATCCGTAATCTTGAATTTTCCAATTTTCACGAAATAACCGTAATCTCCTATCTCGAGAACCTCCAGATACCAATTTTGAATAGAAGCGGATCATTATTACAATACTCGTACGCTATATTGTATCCGCAATCTTGAATTTTCCAATTTTCACGAAAGAACCATAATCTCCGATCTCCAGAATCCGCCATATTGGATCCTCTATCTTGAATTTACAGGAATACAAAATATCCTATGTCCGTCTCCTGATTCCAAGATACCTCCCCACCAATTTTTATCCTAACCGGTTCAGCTGTTCTTGAGCTATAAATAGTGCATTGAATCAAAGTTGCAAATAACATGTATCTATATGGCTGTGGACATACCGGAAATGCGATGGAAACAGAACAGGTATTTTTTGCCATCTCTGTCGGTTTTTCAATCAAAATGGGTTATTCCGTTGAGAAAAAAAAAACGAAATAGTAAGATTATATTATGAAAATATTCCAAAACTTTTAGGAGTGCAGCAATGATTTATAAATCGGATTTGGATTTTTTTTTCTATTTTGCGATTCGTATTTGTTTATTTAAGGAGTGCAAAAAGATAGTACAGATGGAAGCCTACAACTTTCATATTTAAAGTTTTTTTCCACCTCGTATGGTTGAAGCTGTAGGTAGGTTTCAAAATAGGAGACACACTGTACATGCAATTACGAAGAGAACGCACGTCGTCCCATCGAGATCGAACTTTCCCTACCGAACCTCGAAGTCCGCCCCTATTTCCATTCGACTCTCGTGACCTAGGTGGCCGTGCACTCGGGCGGCAAGCACGCGATGGCCTTGACCCTCGATGGCAAGGTGTTCTCGTGGGGCGAGGGCGAGGACGGCAAATTGGGCCACGGCAACCGGCTCAACTTGGACAAGCCGCGCATGATCGAGGCGCTGCGCAGCAAGAAGATCAGGGACATAGCTTGCGGCAGTTCGCACTCGGCGGCCATCACCAGCGGCGGCGAGCTGTACACTTGGGGCCTGGGAGAGTACGGCCGGTTGGGGCTAGGGGATAACGTGACGCAGCTGAAGCCGAAGCTGGTGAAGGCGTTGGTCGGGCACAGGATAGTGCAGGTGAGATTCTATTATAATATAGAAAATAAGCGTACGCCACCAATCGGAGTTCTTGAAAACTGTCCAAGCGGCATGTTTACTCTGTTTTCATTGGTTCACATTTGTTTTTTGTTTGTGCTTATTGGTCATATCATCAAAACAAACCGCTCAGAAGTGTTCAAGTTGCTGCCGTAGGTGGGGCGACGTGTTTTTTTTTATCGCGAATTATAATATAGTACATTTTTCTGTCGATTTTGTATTAACAAGTTGGATTAATGTGAACGAAATTGATCGTTCATGTCCCTCTATAAACTAGATTTCCTCAATGTATTTGACACTATTGCTTCAACGTTTTTGCGTATTTAGAGTACGGGCACTCTGACAAGCACTAATAGACATAATCTCAAATAAATAGATGAAAACTGCAAAAATACTGGTAATCGATTCACTTCATCCAAATTCTCATCAGATGGGACAAAATCTGGTAAAATTTTATTCAAGAATGCGCTCAAATCATCATTGATCACCCTTTAATTCACCACATCTGGTGAAGTAATGTCAGAATCAACGAAGAAGCAATATCATTCAATTATTCAAATTGTTAATTACACATACACACAAAATTTGGTCCTTCGAGTCTGATTCATTTGAAGAAGCATTGAAGGATCGAAAATGTCAATTGGTGTTCAGTTAATCACAATTTACTCATCTGCTTGATGACCGTCTTTCTTGTGGGGCACAGGATAGTGCAAGTGAGAATGTGTTAACGGGTCTTCAACAGTGATTGAACACCACGTGATAGATTACTGTGCAAACAAGAATACGTTCGTATATCTTTAACGTGGGTGGAAGAGAGACCGCATCGAAAATGGTCACGTGGCACTCAATCATTATTGAAGACCCGGTATAATATAGTACCTTTTTCCTGTCGATTTTGTATCAACAAGTTGGGTTAATGTGAACGAAATTGATCGTTAATGACTCTCTATAAACTAGAATTCCTCAATGTATTTGACACATTTGCTTCAACGTTTTTGTGTATTTAGAGTACGGACACTGACAAACACTGACAGTCAGACATAACCACAAATAAATAGATGAAAACAGCGGGAAGTGACTAACGTAGAATACATCAATTTCAATTCAAAGGTTTGTCATACTAAGAACACACTAGGAAAATGATTCTTCTTCTTGCTTCTAACAGCAAAAATACTGGGCATCGATTTCCTTCATTCGAATTCTCATCAAATGGAACAAAATGGAGAGAAAACATGAAGCGGCCGACGTGGAACAGGTTCAGTCAAAAAAATTTGCGAGGTATTCAAACTTTTAGGTAGAATATCAATCAAGGATGCGCTCAAATCATCATTCATCACCCTATAATTCGCCACATCTGATAGATGCAAGATTTTAGAAGAGTGCTGAGCTGTCATTGTTAAGGAATAGCAGAATGAACGAAAAAGCAATGCCATTCAAATCAAATTGTTGATTAATAAACATTGTAATCCGATTAGAAGTCATACACTCCACATACACACAAAATTGGTCCTCCGAGCATATCTGGAATGATATAAAATCATTCCACGACAATATAGAGTACCTATTTTTGGTATGTCGAATCACCCTGTGGATTGATATTCGCTCGGTATCAAAGAAATTGAAGTGATAACTTCTTTCCTGCATCGATTTGATTGATTGTTTTTATTACCCCATGAAAAAAATCTGTTTATAATAGGGATACATGAACACATTTAAAAATAATAATAATATTAAAAGGTTAACTAATGAATTCCACTCAGTGGAAACAGATTCATACTTTTTCTTAAGATGAAAGTTATATCATTTCAATTCTGAGTAATCAAATTGTTTGATATTGACTTCAAGTCTTCTTACATCATGTATATTTTTCAATTCATTCGGTAATAATCCATAATCATATGCAGGTGGCTTGCGGTAGTCGAGATGCTCAGACCCTGGCGCTGTCAGACGACGGAATGATATTTTCTTGGGGCGACGGCGATTTCGGTAAACTGGGCAGAGGCGGCTCGGAGGGTTGCAACGTTCCCCACAACATAGAGAGGCTCAATTCCTGCGGGGTCATTCAGATCGAATGCGGAGCTCAGTTTTCTCTGGCCCTCACGAAATCGGGGAATATCTGGACATGGGGAAAAGGCGACTATTTCAGGTGAGCACTATTTTCGTTACCTCTGGTGTCAGTTTTGTAATAATTAGTCTAACATACAGAAACATATTATTTGAATTGACTCGGCAATCGCCAAAATTCGAAAAATTACGTTTTTTTCGCGGTTTTTTCGATTTTTGACATAGTTGCGTTCGGTGCTCGAGGTCACAAACTTGGATCATTCATTAGGCCAACATCATGAACAAGTCTGCAAAAAATCAGAACTACCGGATTTGACGCATACTACCCCCATATGTTCAGGCGACGTGCAAAGGGTATTCCCAGCCAACAATCGTGTGACATCAACATCTGTGTGATGTAACGACCTTGCATAAATGCAATATCTCGTTAACACATCTTATCGACGTAGATTCGATATCAACGTCACAAGGTGACATCGCGACCAGGAAACTATGTAATGTGGCAGCGAATTCTTCAAACTACATCTCTTCGACGTTAACTAAATAATTCACATTGATATCCTCATGAGATATCTCTGTGACCTGTGAGTGTGACGCAGACATGCGCAAAACGAACGCACACGCCAGACGCCATGTTGAGCTGTGCATGGCCATGTCAGTCAGTCAGTGAATGAGTCCGACTCCGTAAAGACTATTTCCTTCCAAATTCTCTGTTGAAATATCTGAGATAATTTATAGCACATATTATAGCAGCTTCAAATTGGTGGTATACAATCATTTAGCAACGACGGTGAGTTGATTGATTGATTGATTGTCTTTATTACCCCAAGAAACATTTCTGTTTATGATAGGCATACATAAATACATATAAAAAAAATAATAATAAAGGGTTAACTATAATGAATTCCACTCAGTGGAAACGAATTAATATTGTGTCTTATAAGATTAAAGTTATATTTCATTCCTAAGTAATCAAATCATGCCACATATTTTTCTTTCAAATTGTTCTGAGCAAGTATTTTTTAAGATTGATTTTAAACCTTCTTGCATCATGTATATTTTTCAACTCATTCGGTAATGAATTGTATAAAATTATTCCATTGTGAAAAACAGATTGTTTGCCAATGTTTGACTTGAATGTATTTGCTATCAAGTAATTCAATTGTCTAGTCCCATAATTATGGACTGTATTGACTTCATTGAAAGCTAAATTTGATATTTTCAACTTATTCCTGGCAAAATGAATAAAGCAACATATTTTAAGTTTATATAACGAAATCAGGTTCAGAAAATGTCTTGGTTTGTATAAATTTATCGTTGGTTCTAGAAAATGTAGATGAAAAATGCACTTAATTGATTTGTTTTGTAATTTCATCAGTGGTTTCAGACGTGAAATATTTGTACTCCCCCAAATAGAAATTAAATATTGCAAATTTGAATAAATGAGGCAAAAGTAAATACATTTCAAGTATTTTATGGGAATAATATTTCGGATTTTGAATAAAATGCCTATGATCGGATTTATTTTATTTCTCAAATCGTCTATATGTTCAGTCCATAATAATTTTTCGTCGATATAGAGACCTAAAAATTTTGTCAATAGGTAATATTGTGATTATCTCTGAGATAGGAATATTGCAATCTAAAACAAGGTGGATGAAAGATCCCAAGATAATGTAAGTGTATTTGATATGTATCATTTATGAATAATGTATATTTGTTTTGTATCATCTGTTTTTACTTTCGGAAAATAAACATTTTCTTCGTAAAGTTGAATGATTATTATATATCCCACGAATATCACAGAGGTACAGCGACCACATCATCGATGTCGCAGTGTGATGTATTTGTAATATGAAATGTACACTTGTATGTGACCTGGTAGTGATTTTGCATGTAATGTCGCATTTCATGTCTGAACGACGTCACAGTGATGTTGCTTGAGTCGGACATTTTCACATCGCCACGTTGTATCGGTAACATGTTTGTGACTTCAAATGCGATATCGCATGTCACAAAGTGATGTAGCGTATACAACACTTATACATCTCATGGTTGGCTGGGTTCCGTCTTCAAAAATATGTTATAAGAAAAATTGCTCAGCTAGGATACAGGGAATCATGCAGAAATGCATTCAAAGAACTAAATATTCTGACAGTCGCCAGCACATATATATTGGAAGCTTGTGCATATGTATTCAAACATAAATGTATCTTTCAACCATATCGTCATAATCACAATACTCGTTCCAGAGGTATTTCAATGTCAAAGGCTCATAGAACAGCATTGTATGAAAAAAGTGTAGATTATAATGGCTGTAAATTCTACAATATTCTTCGCACATATATCATATTTTCAAATTTAGGTTGAAGAAACTGTTACACTTCAAGAGTTCATAGACTATGGGTGACTTATCATCATACAATAATGTGATGGTGAATTATTCAATTAATTGTATTTTTCTACATTCATGCAAAAAACAGAACTTTAATGAACTATATTCAGTGGAAAAAGAAGTTCTTTATTGCACTTAGTGCAATAAAGTTTTTATTGCACTCATCTGACATTCTACTTCACGTGGTGTCATCATGACACACATTTTCTATTATGCAACTGTGGTTATAGAAACGTCAGTCAAAAATTAATTCTGACAATTAACAGAATTGTACCTAGTGCCGCACCTCAATGAATCATTTTTTGCTTTTTGCATGAACGTAGAAAAAATGTTGTATGCAACTCGTGCAAAAATTGTTTATTGCACTCGACGTGTTGTCCAACTCACTTTTTGCACTTGTTGCATAAATAACTATTTTATTTATTTACTTGTTGTTTGTGAGTTTATATGATTTCGTGTTTTATGATGTGTATATGTATATATACGGTTTTATTGACGTTTTCTCTTATTATTGTACATTTTTAAATTCTTGCATCAACTGTACTTTTCAATTTGAGAAATTAATATTATTATTATTATTATTATTATTATTATAGAGTTACTGGACTAAAATGTTTACGGTAAAACAACGTTTGCCGGGTCAGCTGGTTATAATGAGAAGTATCTGTTTCTTTTCAGACTGGGCCACGGCACGGACCAGCACGTGCGCAAACCGACCGTCATCGATACGATGCGCGACAAGAAGGTGGTCCACGTGGCGGTGGGGGCGCTGCACTGCTTGGCTGTCACCGAGGACGGGCAGGTGTACGCGTGGGGCGACAACGATCACGGCCAGCAGGGCAACGGGGCGACGGCGGTCAACCGGAAGCCGGCCCTGGTGCAAGGTCAGTGGATTATGATAGGTTTGTTTGCGTTCACAAAATTAACAGTCCGAAACCATCAGAAGCATGCGCAGTGACAAGGAAGTAAGTGGTCGCGTTTTCTCGGAACTGTTTCGTATTCCGAGGGAATCCCACCGATTGTTCTCAAGAAATGTGCTCCCGAACTAACACCCGTTCTCTGCAAGTTGTTCAACTACTCTTACAAATTGGGGATATTCCCGTCCAACTGGAAAATTACAAGAGTACAACCAGTTCCTAAAAAAGGCAAAAAGACCCTAACTAGCAACTACAGACCGATCGCACTGCTATCTATTATTTCAAAGATCATGGAGAAAGCTATCAACATCGAGCTCATGAAATACCTGGAACATTCAAGTATTATCAACGATATGGCTTCCATCATCAGAGATCAACTGGTGACCTGCTCGCTTACGTCTCACATATATGGCAGCAATCTATTGAAAAATATGGTGAAACCTTAGCCGTGGCACTTGATATCTCCAAAGCATTCGATCGAGTCTGGCACCACGGACTTCTCGCCAAGCTTCCATCTTATGGCTTGCCTCCCCAGCTATGTTCTCTGCTAGCTAGTTTTCTCTCAAACAGGTCTCTCCATGTAGTGGTCGACGGAGTTTCATCTGACTCTCATCATGAATGCTGGTGTTCCGCACCAACACTAATTCTACTCCATATCAACGATTTTTTGGAAGCAACTTCATGTCCAGTACACAGCTTTGCGGATGATAGTACCCTCCATACCGCCTTCTCTTCCAGGGCTCCAATACCAGCCAGGCAAATCAGAAACGAACGAGGAAGAAATGTTGACAACATAAATATAGACTTGGCAACAATTCTCGAATGGGGATCCAATAACTTGGTAGAATTCAATGCAAACAAAACACAAGCATGCCTTTTCTCCTGAAGAGCTGATCTCATTGTGCCCAACATGAGCTTGTCAGGAGTAACCATACCTTTGAAGAGATTCATTTCGATGCTTGGTATTTCATGGTATTTCTATCAGCAATAACCTTTCTTGGGAAAATCACGTGAGATCAATTGCTAAAAGTGTATCCCAAAAACTTGGTTTTCTGTTTCGGGCCAGGAGCTATTTCACTTCCAGTCAGCTGCTTATGATCTATAAGGCACACATTCGACCTGTCCTGGAATACTGTTCCCATATTTGGAGTGCAGCACCCAAACATACCCTGAAACTGTTGGATTCTGTCCTAAAAAGGCAATTCGTCTCGTGGGTGATGCCTCGCTCGCAAACTCACTCACTTATCTGGAACACTTTAGAAAAGTTGGCGATCTGGTTCTATTGTATAGATATTTTCATGGACGATGCTCTTCTGAAAGATCAACAATTGTTCCTCCCTTGGCAGTCCCCGCGAGATTAACCCGTCGAATTGAGGCTTTGCACCCCTTCGGGGTCACTTTGGAAACCTGTAGAACATCTCTTTGCAAAGACTCATTCATCCAACGAATAGCGAGGCTGGAGATGTTCCCCGAGGCATATAACCTCCAGAAATTCAAGAAGAACACCAATTCCTACCGTTTTTCCCTTGGTTCTCACGATGTTCTCTGAATATTACAGGATATCCCTTTTTGTGGAAACCAGAACATAAAAAAAAATCGACAGATCACGTGTTCACCTTTTATACCAACTAGTTCGGGATTAGATTAGATTAAATTAGGGGGGCTTCGTAGCTTTCAGAACTTTGGGCTCTTGGTTTTTCCTCAACCAGCGTAAGGAACCTTAGTCTTAACAAGCCCCCACAGTGACAAAGTATGTGTACTGCTGTTTCCTCCTCTTTCGGACAGAACCTGCACAGCAGTTCTTCAGTCAGACCTATCGAACTCATGTGTTTGTTGAGCCTACAATGCCCTGTGAGAAGTCCCACTAGTATTCTAGTTGTACTTCGTTTCTGGCTCAGTAGATATTCTGTGAACATTGACGATGTTTTTTTAATAAACTCTTTTGCCTGTCTCATTCCTGGCGAGTTGTTCCACCATTCTTGAGATTTGGTTTGAATCCATGATTCGATACTTGTCATTTGTATAGCTTTCGCAATACCACAAAAGGGTTCTGGGCCATTCAGAGCTTTGTTTGTTCTGCTCGGGCAAGTGAGTCTGCCTCTTCATTGCCCTCGTACCCTGTGTTTGCTGGTACCCATGCTAGAGTCAGTCTGTTCTGACTTCTCAGTTCATTTAGGGTTTTTGAGCAGTCCCATACTAGCTTTAAGTTAACTGCTTTGATTGCCGTCTGGCTATCCGAATAGATTGCAGTGGTTTTCCCTTTAAACTCTTGCCTTATCAATTCTTTCACGCAATGATGTATTGGAATAATTTCTGCCTGAAACACCGTCGTGTATTTGCCTAAGCTCAGTGAAATTGGGATAGTTTTCAATCGGTCCAAAGCAGCCTCTGGGCAAGAACTGCCCATGACTGTCGTGAATAATTTTTGGATTCGCATGCGTTTATGCAACAGATTTTTAACCTTTAAGCGTTCTTAGTTGAGTGGTGCACTTTCAAACAAGATGAAGAATTGAATTATTGAAAAAATCGTCCTCTATTCAAGTTCGGATTATAAATGGTGCTATGAGTAGGCTTTGATCATTATTTTGTTGAGTTCCAAATGTAACGTCAGCGACTATCAACTTTTTTTATTATTAAGGTCTCGAAGACGTGAAGATCAACCGGGTCGCTTGCGGCAGCTCCCATTCTATTGCGTGGACGATGCAGGACACGCAGACCGTATCCAAAGTGGAACCCGTTATATTTCCGGTAAGTAGACATTTTAAGGATAATAATTCATACATGGTCATTGGAACATTCAATAGTACATTCCAGTTCTACCTCGTTTTTCACTGGTCTAGACAGCTAGTGAATTTATAAAGTACATAACAGTTTTGTGAATATTCGCGATAGAAAATAAGTTTACGCCACCTATCGGAGTTGTTGAAAGCTGTAAAAGCGGTCTGTTTACTTTGTTTTGATTGGTTCGCATTTGTTTTTTGTCAATGCTTATTGGTCATATCATCAAAACAAACTGCTTTGAAGTTATATCGAAGACTGGAACCTTTGGCACGATAATACACTACACTGTTTTACCACTAACCAAACCGATTTTTTAACGCCTCGACACGTGTTTCGCTAACTATCTTAGCATCTTCAGGTGAAGGTTAAAACTAATCTTCTCCTGGTAAAACAGTGTAGTGCTTTGAAGTGTTCGAGTTGCTACCGTCAGGTAGGGCGACGTGTGAATTTCCTTTGCGAATAGTGAATAGGGTCTGTTGGACCATATTTTTCACTTATGTAAATACCTGACGAATTATATTTTAGTACATAACAGATGAGAATATAGTATACAAGGACTGTTGGACCTTGTTTCTCACTGGTCTAGACACCTAGCGAATGTATTTCGTTATCTATCATGAATAATGGATTATAACATTCTTAAGAATTTAATTTTCAAGTCTCATTAGTATTATTTGAATATATGTTTGAAGAAGGAAAATGTAGGTTATTTTGAAAACTATTACATTCCACGTTTCTGGAAATTTCTATGTGAGCGATTGATTGATTGTGTGTTTAATTGATTGATTGGTTATTCCAGTAATAATATAATTTCGAGATCAATTATAAAAAAATCGTGTAACTAACAGTTTCTTCTGACAACTGTCACTGGGATGTGACAAAACACAAAAATGAAGACATGATTACCAAGAGTATTATTTTTCATTGTTTAGTTGAAAACGAGAGTAGATTCGAACCTGAAACGCCCAAAGATGAGTAAGATCTATCATCATTTTTCAAACAAAGTGTCATTGACTAGCGATTAATTTTTTTTCTAGGTCAGGTATATTGAAATATTACTGGTATTTTTATTTGTAGAAACTAGAGTTCCTTAATGTGCTTGACACTGCTGTTTTGACGTTTTTTGTATATTAGAGTACGGACGCTAGACAAGCAGTGACAATCAAACATAACCACAAACGATTTGGAAGCAAATCATATGTTTTTCCAGACAAGGACAAGAATATGTTTTTCGCTTAGATAAATGATCCTCGCATCTTCCTCTCTCCACAAGTCCTGGGAAGAGCATCCATATATCTGTCTCTGTCTTTGATTTTTATATGAGAGTGCATAGCGTATCCTCGAGTTGCTAAAGGGTACGAAAAATTGATAAGAAAATTATTTCTTCTCGAAATATTGAATGATAAGGCTGAAGGACCTCAATGGAGGTGGATATCAAGTTGGTATGTACATATATACCAAAGAAAAACATAATATTCCTATGAAATAAGTCTCTTATATGTAGGTATATAGTTATATACGTTCAGTTGAATATTTTTACATCACAAAAGTTCAGAATGGGGTAAAAATGATAAATTTCAACCAATGAAACATACTTTCATTTCGTATGGAACAATTTCACTTGTACAAGAGTGGTAGGCAATAAGTAATACAAGCGCTAGACTCACTATAGATCGCCGTTCACATTGCTAAAGGGAATTTTTGGTTTGAACTCAGCCATCGGAAGATCATTTTCAATACCTAACATAAATGGTTCACTCGGTAAGCGTTCTTGTTCTGTGCTCTTATAATATCTTGCAATGTTCTAAATTGAAATAAGGTTCTTTTTGATACTCGCTCAGTTTATAAATTGTGGGTTCGGCTCTTTCTCTCATTGCGATCCTATTCTTCAATCAAATCTTCCGTTCTGAAGTGTACCTGATAAAATTGCGTTGACAAATGTTCTATATCCTACCAAGAAATTTGAATACCTCGCAAATGTTGTGACCTGAACATATATTCCATGCCGGCCGCATCATATTCTGTTTCCATTTTTGTAGAATTACGTTATCCGATGGAAATTCGGATAGAGTGAACTGATTTCCCGTGTTCTCACAGTTGGAAACTGCACAAACTTGCATTTTTCTCCTAATTCTCTCAATTTGTCAAACCTTTGACATTTATGTCATGTACGTCCGTGTACTGTCAGTTCCCGCTTGTTCCATCAATTTATTTGTGGTCATGTCTGATTGTCAGTGCTTGTCATAGTGTCCGTACTCTGATATACAAAAAACGTCAAAACAGCAGTGTCAAGTACATTTAGGAACTCTAGTAGAAACTAGAAGAGAAGACAGTATTTAACCGGTATGATTTTTCTTCACCTTAGTTCTTTCGTTTAGATGAAACTGTCAAAATCTGAAAGAAATGCAAGCTTCCACTTGTTTTTTTTTTTTGTAAAAAATGGCCAACTACTATTTCCCAAAGCATAACTCCCATATAAGTTATGGCTCCTATCAATCTTATTCGCCATTTTTTGCCTGATTTCCAATTTACACGTACCAGGTGGCGAAAGATCCTTTAGGATCGAGCATTTTGGGGCTGTACGACGGAGAGAAGCCACAAACTCGTGCGGCCAACAAAAATGTGCCGACGTTGAGCAGCATTGTCATGTCTCTGGAGAGTAACACTGCCAAACAGCAGGCTTTACAGCACATTTTGAACGCTATGCACATCCAGGAGCTCAGGCAGTGTATAGTCAAAGCCCTGTGCAGTCACACCAACATAACGAATAATAAAACCAAGGTGAGTGCAGCTCAACGACAATCAACTGTATCTGTACAGGTTGTCTCAATCAATGAACTCAATATCAACACCTGGAAGGGAGACTGCCTTTCTCTCGAATAGCACAAAGTGTGTCAGGGGCAGCTGCAACAAAGATAGCTTGTGTTACGGTAACCTGTCTCTTTCACACTCGTGTTGTTTAATGGCGGATTAGTGTATACATTTTCTTTTATCCATTGATTGGAGTACGTGAGATCTTTTTTTTATCTAAATAGGCAAAAAAGTGAACACAGAACTTCATTGTTTTTTGTTATGTGAAATATCGCTAAATTTGGCGTGTTTTATTTCTTCAAAAGGACTGAATTTGTTGGTGTGAATTGATTATTGTTGAAAAGATTTGTGATTTTGAATCAATAATCAATGGTTATTTATATTGTGTTGCCTTTGGATGCAAAACAAGCAAGACAAACAGAAATTGTCCTCCTTGGGTAAGTTGAAAATTGTTCAGATGCTTGGAAAAACTATAGTAATTCATTTTCAGGATGTGTCTGGTCTGTAGATGTTCATAACTTGGATTCTAAAGACAATGTTTCTCATATGGACATTGATTTGCTGACAACATCCAGCTCCCATGTAAGTTTCAAAGTTTATTGATAATGAAACCCATAAACTGTTTCATTCGAGAAGGCCTATTCCATTGCAAAGAAAAGTGAAAACACTGAAACGAAAAGTAAAAAGGACAATGACAATCTTGATGAGGTACTAAAAAAACATTTTAAAGGTAAAGTTCAAATTTTTACTCATGAGCTAAGTATATCATAATATTGTCTTTTCAGATTTGACTTTGGAGCTTCTACTTCTCCAGAAAGGAAAAAATGAAGGTGTCATGTCGCAATTGCCGCGGTAATTAACAGAGCTAACACCGTCCATGTGCGACATGATCTCTGAAGATGACTGTACTTTTATTCACTTTCAATTCACCTTTTATTCACCTTCTAATAGTGAAATGTTTGTGGAAAAATAGGTACTCTTGAAAATTAGGCTTAAAATAGACCTTGGTACTCGATACCATTCAAGAACCTCTTTTCAAATTTTTTCTATCGTTTTTCTATGTCTTCTGATAGTGCTGAGACATTGAGCTTCGCTCACTCTATACAATATATTGTGACATTTGAATGGGAATATATAATTTCAATTTTGTATTCATTTGGCTTCCTAATCCTGTAAGAATAAAAATGGAATCCCACTTTTGAGTCAATTAATAAAATCAATAATTATTTTCCAATAATAATTGATTACAACATTATACTTTTTCCTAAATGAATATTCATATTTAATCACGTACAGTCTTAAATGAAAGCAAAAAACTAGGAATTATTTCAAATAATGCGAGCGCTTCTCATTAGCCAACATAAGATAGAAAGAGCTAGGTATTCGTAACCACTGCGGGTTGCCTGAACAATATTTTTGCCTCACTCGTCGTTCACAGAGGATCCCTTCCAGGAGTTTATATTAAGTTCATTGGTATCAATCCGCTTTCATCATCCCATCTATGACGTCAGTCCCTGCTAGATATATATAAGGTATAAGGTTCGGCTGACGTCACTGTGAATTTCTGGTTGTATTGAATTCGAGCCGTACTATACAGATACAGTTGAATATACTTGACTTAAAGCCACGCCTTATTGTTATTTTTGTTTGTAGCCTGACAATACTTCTGATAATTCACTTGAACAACCTTTGGGGTCGATGACGATGAACAATAAAGAAGGTGAAATAGCCCTTGGTGGAGGAGAGGCACCTGTTTCGCTTGCTGAAGTCGTTGCGATCAATGTAAGTCTTGAACGTGGGTGGTTCAGAATTGAGATTTTTGACCACCCTGTATCTATTTTAATTGAATACCAATCGATAGTGAATAAAAAATTCAGATAGGGATATGTAAATCATTTCGACCAATTATGAATAGTTTCGACACAAACAATTCCTGAACTTGGAAATCTCTATTTTTCACACCCTATATCTCAGTAGTTATTACTGCTAGACCCCAAGTACGATGGGTCGTTGAAATCAGCTATTCCGGGAGGGAGAATCTCGAAATGAAATAATATACAGGGTGTCTGTGTCTGGATATAGGTAAGCTGGCCTAAATCAACTTGTTTTTATCCCAGGAGTCCACAGCCGAGCCATGTCCCAACCTTTTACAGACACCCTGTATAGGGTAGGGTATAACTTCAGTGGATTTTTTTGTGAGGGATATTGTATGTTTCGAAATAATTTCAAATGGTAGCCTATGTTGACATGCAACGTCCTTAAGATGAGTGGTTGGCCTTCTAAAGACCGAGGCGTTACTGGTGGCCCACCCTGTAGAGTTAACCCCATTTCTAGAGTCCGAATCCGACTCCGGATACCGAAGACACTCCCCTGGCCCTGCACCAATCCATGACTGCGAGCAGTTGCTCGGCCAGCATGTCGTCCAAGCACTCGAGGATGTCGACCAGCGCCATGTCAGTGATCGCCGCCACTCTGACGTCACACGCCGAAGTGGTGGGGGACGGGGGACAGAGCGGATTGGACGAGTTCACTTCCCTGTTGACGGAAAATGACGCCAGGCTGTTGGTGGATCTGCTGAAGCTGGCTGTCGCTGATAGGATCGAGGATGATCAGGCGAAAGATATCTTATCGATGGTGTTGATAAGTAAGTAAAAAAAATTGTATATCGCTACTTCAAAGTTGGGAACCAATTCCCCGAAGCCGAAACTTGTGAGGGGATAGGACGTGCGGGACTTAACAGCAAATAGTGGTTGCAATGTTATGCTCGTGAACGTTCGCCAACTGTCTATCTTTGACTGATTGGATGCATGATGTTAATAATAATAATAATAATACGTTTTTATTCCCCAAAAACCATCACAAGTATAAGGTTGTAGGTTTATCATACTTAATGTGGCGAATAAATGGCCAGAGTTCAGTTACATTCTACCAAGTGGATTGAAACTGTTCTTCCATTCTGGCCAGACCTAAACCTAACAAGAAACTATAAATCTAACGGCTAGAGAACCCGAGAGAATTAGTATATGAGGAGTTAAGAAGAAGAGTAAGAGGAAAAGAAATGGGAAAAGAAGGAGTATCACGAAATAATAAATGGAAACGATTTAATCACATATTTTGATATATCGAAGACTGGAACCTTTGGCACGATAATACACTACACTGTTTTACCACTAACCAAACCGATTTTTTAACGCCTCGACACGTGTTTCGCTAACTATTTTAGCATCTTGAGTTTTGATCTTTTCCTGAAGATGCTAACGTAGTAAGCGAAACACGTGTCGAGGCGTTGAAAAATCGGTTTGGTTAGTGGTAAAACAGTGTAGTGCACATATATTGACACCAAACAAGAATCAGAAATATAATATGGTGTGCTACTCAAGTATCTTGAATTCGTCTTTTCTGTGCATAACGTCATTGCGAGTCTATACTCACACCAATAATGATCACGGCCACTATGGCGAATTGATAAATGTGAGCTCAGACTGCGAGCAATTGTTTTACTCGCAGTTACATATACGAAGATGCGTCGTAGCACGCCATATTGTATTTCTATCATGATGCAATGTGCTACTTCCATCTTTGTACCTCGTAGCATATTGGACTATTACTAATAGGTTTAATTTACAAGTATGACGGCGTTTGTTTTTGGTTTGCGCTGCAGACGTACCTACATGATTATTCACTGTTAATATTCTGTCTTAGTTGTGAAGATGGTACCAAAACGTCTGCACAATTTCAGAGAACGGTTTTCCCAATTTCAATGTATTCGTGATTTATTAATTGTTCATGTTTGATTTAATTTCCAGCTATGGGAACTGTGAATCCTAGTATAGGTGCTATGCTCTTGGAGTTGTGCATCACAGAACTAGAAGATACGACGAACAGTACCCAGAATTTGTCGACTACTCCACATCCGGTTGTTCAAGAGTCTAGTCATCCATATGTTGATGATGTCACTTTGAGAGGTTAGAAACTAAGCATTATTCAATTCGCGTTATTTATTTATTTCGATTTTAACTGATTGAAATAATTCGGTGATCAGCAATGATTATTCATCATACTTTGAGTTAATTCCCAGGTAATTTTCGGAAATGAAGAGAAGTATTGCTTTCAGAAATAGATAGTTGAATTATTGCATACTAAGAACTCCAAATGATTATCCTGATCCTGATGGTATTATATCAATATCAAATCAATTTTCCAGAATAACGTTATTTGGCTAAATTTACTGATTGTCAAATATTTTTTTGCCTCAATATGACATAATCCAATGTGAAACAGAGGTAGATGAGACATTTGTCGACATTAAGCAATTTAGGAACTCTAAACAGTAGTAGTAGAAAATGAATATTCTCAGATAAATTATGAACATACAAAAATGGATATATATTTATATAAAACAAAACATTGAGAATTCGCATTCTCTATGTGATGAGAATATTTACTCTTTTTCAGTTAATTCAATAGAAAACAACTACTTTCCTGGCTATATGCCACGACGAACATTGAATTATATCTATTGAACACACACGATAAGAGTTTGAAAATAAAATATAAAAATTTCTGAAATTGAGAATTTGCATTCTCCTTCAGAATTCATTTCCACGCCCTGTATGATGAATGTCAATTTATCATACACCCAAAAGTAGTAGTAGCTTTGAATTTCTGCACCAGTGGCCAACAGTAAATTTTTAGCCTCTAACATGGTTCCATGCAATGACGTTGCTACTAAATTTCAGTAAAATTCGAGAATCCATTTTCAAAAAATCATAATTAGCATTCTTATATTCAAATTGATCATGTGCCTGCAATCCAAGGAAAATGGCTGCCTTATCAAAGTCACCTATGTTAAAATGATTTGATTGAGTAATAAAAATGAAGTCTTATAGTGGCTGAAAGTTTTCTAAAAGTTGAAATTTCGTAGTAGTATTTAGGGTGTATAGCAATTGCCTGCCGTCAGTCAGCCAGTTTCGTTAGCGACTAGCGCAGGGGCGGCTTCGAAGTTGTTATAAACCATGTATGTCGCAACAGTTTTCGAAAATCTGAGTAGTGAATTAACTAAAAATTAGTCAGTAGTAGTAAAAAAGTACTCAAAACTATTTCCATGAAACATTTACTTTGTTCTTAATTGAAGTTAAGATAAAATTTCAGGATGCGGACAAGTTATAAACGAAGACAAACCAACTTATCCGTTTCAACCTCCAACAATAATTTCATTATAATATTATTTCGTATTCCATTGGGGATGCACTAGTTCACATTTTGGAGAGAACTAACGTAGTGCGTGTGCAAAACTTGCAAAACCAGTGCACCACCAGGTTCACGAAAAGAAGTCGCTATTAGATTCGGTATTACTATGGGAAAATTCCAGGTCACGTGAGATTGCCTGGAGCTGACGCTCTTCGAGTGGAATTCGACAGGCGATGCTCTACCGAACGACGGCACGATCCTCTTCAGATAACGGACGGAACGGGGCGAATCGTGGCCACTTGTTCCGGCAGGGAATGGAGCGATTGGTCCTCTGAATTGAGAATACCAGGTATTACGCATGATCTATATAAATTAATCGAACTTTTATTGAATAAGTTTTATGAATTGCCAACAAGTCTCAAAAAAAATATCAGTACCAAAAAGAAAGAATTTTGTCATGTCATCCATATAGAGATCATATAACATATCAATTATTTTAATCATTCATTCACTCAAACAAGGATCAGCTCAAACTCTGAGAATTACTAGAATAATGATTATACCTATACCTACTACATTTCAAATGTAATGTAATACATTATGGTTTATTTTTTAATGTTCCCTGTGATAAACATATACGTCAATTGTTTCTTGGGAATAACTGAACATGTATATATATAGACCTACATATAAGAGACTCATTTCATAGGAATAGTATATGTATTTCGTTGGTATATAAGTACATACCAACTTGATATCGACCTCCATTGAGGTCCTTCAGCCTCATCATTCAATATTTCGAGAAGAAATAATTTTCTAATCAATTTATCGTACCCTTTTACCCACTCGAGGAGACGCTGTGCACTCTCATACAAAAATCAAAGACAGAGAAAGATATTTGGATGTATTCTTCCCAAGACTAGTGGAGGAAGGAAGGATCCTTTATCTAAGCGAAAAACATATTCTTGTCCTTGTCTGGCAAAACATATCATCTGCTTCAAAATCGTTTGTGGTTATGTTTGATTGTCACTGCTTGTCTAGTGTCCGTACTCAAATACACAAAAAATGTCAAAACAGCAGTGTCAAGTACATTTAGGAACTCTACCGGCAGCCAGAGTATTATTATTGGATCTTTCTTTTATTTGATTCAGACCAGGAAAGAGTTCCTCTTATCCTGATATCTATTATGAAACAAAATAAAAAAAACGGTATTGAAGTTTGATGCGAACAGCCCTTCTGCTAGTTTCAGAAATACATTCTGGGAATTGAAAAAGATGGAACGGAATAAATAAATATCATAATGTCGATATTTTCTCTAGTTTATGGACAATCTCGGTCTTTTGAACTTTGAATGATCACCTGGGTCATAATCAAGTGCATTTAGAAGAAGCTGATTCTCATGAACCTCAGTTTTTTCGAAAGTCTTGATGTTTCGTTCTCTAATGACTTGACACGAGTGAAGGGAGTTTCAGATCCCTGGCGATCTGGTTATCCCGAACATACCAAGGAGATCCTGTCACCATTCTCGCGATTCTGTTTTGTAATGTTGGTAATCTGGTGATATGAGATTTAGCTGTGTGGCCCCAGACTACCGAGACATATGGTAAAAGTGGCTTGATAGCCATGATGCAAATATTCAATTTGTGTCTCAAACCCAATTTACTTCGTCTGTTTAGAAATGAATACAGAGTGTTAATGGTCTAAGTTTCCTATCTCTCCCAGGTGACGAGCTGCGGTGGACCTTCACCAGCGACAGCTCCGTGAACGGCTGGGGATGGCGCTTCACCGTCTACCCCGTCATGTCCAATCACGGCCTCAGCGAGCTCGGCTCCGATCGCGCCGTGCTCAGCCAGCCGTCGACCGTCATGGTGATGCGGCTGCTGGACGCGCGGCTGTATCCGTGCGCCGATGCGGCCCTGATGGCGCGGCTGGCCGCCGCTCTCGCCGCTTGCTCGCAGTTGAGCTTCCTCTGTAAGAACTAAATGTTTTCCATGATTAATTTTTTGATTTTTTTCATTAACCTATCCACAACTAGGGTCCCTTGATGTAAATTGACGTAGTTGTCATCTTAACAGGGTACGGACAGATCCTCGTCTCCTCTCACTCTAAAGTGTTTGTGAAACAGTTATATAGTTCCATCTTTATTAATTTCTGGGGATAGACACTAGATTTCTGACATTTGTTGTTTTTTAGGTAATATTGAGGATATTGGCGTATCATACGTGATTTCCACATGTAATTTCTCATTCAACTTTACATATTATATCCAAATGATGATGATAATATTCGAGTTTTTGATTTTTCGACTCCAGCTTAATCTTTGTGAGGCAGTGAGCAAATTTTCCTGAAAGTTCAATACGTTTTACCAAATGGGACTGTTCTTAGGCAGTACTCATCAATAATTATATTTTGATGTCAGGCCTAGCCTTATGGTTGAGACAAATTGTATGTAGGCATTCAAACTAATGTGCTCATATGTCATGTGCTCTATATATTCATGCTGGGAATCATTTTTGCAGTTTTTCACGAACACTTAATATTTCCTGAATGTTGGTATAATTTTTTAAATGGTAGGGCATATGCCTCTTCTTTTAATCCTCCGTTTTAATCAAAACTGTTTCTACTAAAATGCATTCAAAAACTTGTGGAGTGGATAATTATAGGCACAATGAGAAAGTATAATATGTGATTTCGTATTATAGTTTTACCTCGAATATTTTGCTGATGTATTTACCAATTTTCCCCATTCAGTCACTTCACTTTCCATGTTCTTAGTTCATTTGCATTTGATGGAATGCTGACAAATTCAAATTTGTCATCCAACTGATTGATACAGCCTAACGCAGCACATTTTACCATCCTTCCAAAACATAATTGAATAATGTCGTATTAAGATCAACTGTAAAATTAAAATTTTGTAAGATCTCTTTCAACGCCTATGAATGTGACGTGACAGCAATGTCATGTCAGGGACGCCAATACACGAAACCAAAGTCACTAGATGATTAAAAGGGGAAGGAGCTATGATCTGTACGTACCCTGTTAGATGACAAATACGTCAGTTTGCATCAAGGGACCCTAATTAATAGTTGTATCATTCGAATTCGAGATTTCTATAACCATGAAAAAGGAGAATTACAGATTGTACAAGTGTAAAATTGTGAATGATATAATTGATGTAGATAATTACCATTCTGAAATATCCATTTTCTTATGAATTTATCAAAACCAACCCTGAAATGTGAGGTTAATGAGTAGCTATGAAGTTAGCCATCTATCAATATTCAGTAAGAGGACAGGCGGGAATTCCGACACGACTATTAAATTAACAGAATCTGTAAGTATGACTGTTACAGACTCTGTATCGTACCTAACTTACATACATATTTAAGTTACATAGATGGTCGGCAGAATAGCAGCATAAATGTTTTCCATGATTAATTCATTGTTTTTTTTTTTTCATTAACCTATCTACAACTATTGAGTTTATCGCCGATTGCTGACTTACCTGACTTCCTGATTTTCAACAGTTAATGACAGTCGTTGCCGCTGTGAATTTAGTAATAATGACATTGCAGGATATATTTCGACATTCATCGCTCTCAATATTCATCTGTTCATTTTTTTTTCTTCCCCTGGATTGTTACATATTAGAATAGAATAGAATAGATATTATGACTTAGATATTAGAGCGATATCATCAGAATTTGGGGTTCAGTTCAGGTTCAGTTCATAAAAACAGGAACAAGTGAGTTGTTGAAATCAGTTCAGTCTTGAGAGAGATGAATGTTGAAATATCTAAAGAAGATACAGAATCTGTTGAGACGGCAACGCGGTTCATCGCACTCGATAGTGAATCATTTATTCTTCTCGACTACCAATAGATCGTCGGCGCGTTAAAGTACTTGGTGTGACGTCACGACGTAGGTTCCACTTTGGGAATTTATTTTGGGAAATATAGAAGAAATAAAAAAATAATCTCTGTGCCTTTTCTCATCGTGATGAACGTCAGTATTTTTTCACTACTGATAAATCAAAAACTATCTCTGCCATTTTTCATTTACTAGCTCCCAACCAACGGATGTGGGCTCTGCAAAGGCTTCATAGACTGTTGACGGGTGTCAACAATAAGACTGAAACTGTGGCTATTCAGCTGCAAGAACTGAAAGCACCCGACAGTGCTCTAGGCTCGTTATTAGAAGAGCTGCCTCAGGCGTTATTGAGGCAATACGAGTATGAAGATGGGTCAGTGAGAGCCGGGTTGCATTTGATGCATTCGGACTTTTTCAAGGTAATGTGCATATTTTTTTCAGCAAATAACATTTGCTGTTCTGTTTTTCATCCAAATGATTTTATCTCTTATGCTATATTTCAGACAAAAACTTCATATTTTAATTAGGTCTATAAATGTCAATCCACATTATCTGAGCAGTCTGATCTCCAGGAAAACTAAAACATTTACTATTGGTCGTATGAAAATCATAAAGTCTTTCTACCTATGAAGAGATTTATCCTTCCCTAATTTCTGAGAATTTCGAATTTATCCATTAATCTTCTCGTGGTTTCGATTTTCCCATAGTTTACATCCATTTTTTTCATTCTTCCGGAAGCAATGATACCAACAACATTTCTAGGTTCTGTTACGAGGGGTTAGAAAGAATCTGACTGATTCCAGCGACAAACATTGACTAAACTATTGATCGTATAAAAATCATCAAGTCTCCCTACCTATGAAACGATAAGTCCTTTCCAGTTTCTTAAGAATGATTTCTGAGTATGAAGCAGTACACCACATTGGTAATTATTAAGTTATCAGCTGTATTGAGGGAGATAACGGGTCTTCAACAATGATTAAACACCACCTGACAGATTACTATGCAACCAAGAATGCATTCGTATATCTTTAACATGGGTGGAAAAGATACGCCGCATCAAAAATGATCACGTTGTGTTTAATCATTGTTGAACACCTGGTATAAGTTGCCTATCTATATTTGAGTTGAAAAACTTCTGACTGCACTCAATTTATAAATGACTATTCCATTCTTGATCATGAGAACCAATCAGAATCGACCATTTTCATGGTTTCTTCTGTATTCTAGCGATATTTTTTGTTTATTAAATTTCATCGGACTTGCTCTACCAATACAGAAGCCGAATTGACCCACACGTGACCAACTAACCTCGTTTATCAGCGATAAAATTTTGACATCGTGTGTCTGGTCAAGATTGCTTTGGATTCAAATCTGAGACAATAACTTAAGTTTCTACTTTATTTTATTTACTTATAATTCGCGTTAGTGAGATATTTTGTACGAAAGGCGAGACAATTTCATTCTGGCTGGACGTTTCATGTGTAATTTAAAAAGTTTGCATATTTGTTGACGGTCTGACACAACAATAATAGAATTCAAATTCCTTTTTGAAGTAATCTTCTTCAACTACTGAAGTTATTGTGACTGACTGATATAATTACTAGCTGATGTAGCGCAACTGTTAGGGTAGTTGCGCGAGGATACGAAGGTCGATGGTTTGAGCCCTTGGCGACGATATATATTTTTTTAATTATTCCATGTCACATAAATTCAATTTATTTTGTTTGAATTGGATAGTAATCGTATACACTCTTTTTAGAGCAACCATTTTCAAGATAATAAAAAAAATACTGTTTATCAAAATTGTACATTCCACTTTGTGAATAACTATAAGTAGGTAGTTAATTTCTAAAAGAGTGAATTCTGTATTTCATTACTATCATTATGTTCTTCTTCGCAGTTCGAGTTGGAATATACTTGAATTATGTTTCCTATTTCTTATAAATATTGTCTCATTCAATCATGAAATAGTCATACGAATACAACTCGTGATACTATTTTTCCTGGAAATATTCGTCGATTGACATACTCCAGCTTGCTGCTCTAATTTCGCTCATGACATTGATCCAAAACTACTCGCCTACGGCTCGTAGTTTTGATAACAATGTCATTCACGAAATTACTAGGCAACAAGCTGTCGTAACAATCACCGAATATTTCCGGCAAAATATTATCACTTGTGGTATTATAAATGAATATTTTCTTGTTTGCTATCATCCAAGTATCATAAGATGAATATTTCATCATCTATCTTCTTGTGGCTTCGAGTTTCCCATTTTTTTCCCTTGGTTGATGGTCCTGTCACCGGCTACACCTCAGCCTTCTGGGCTTTTTGTGCATTCCAGTTTATTTTACAGCACCCATTCCGTAGCTCTTATTGCCTGCACCAGTATGTACAGGTTCTTCACCGGTTGGCTGTTGTATTCTTCGGGAGTCAGCCTAGGCTGCCCGAATATTTCTTGTCTTTTGCGATCCAATGCCTCGCATTCTATCAATAAGTGTTTGGCCATTTCTGTCCCTTTACCGCATTGTCTGCAGAGAAGTTCTCCAATAGTCACGTTCGGTATTTACATCGCAGATTAGAGCAGATTCTAGTCACGTGGTCACAGATAGATCGGAGCAATCGGCAATAAACGAACGAATTGGACATTTTGTTGACAGTCTGTGACGGTAACCTAACCTAACCCCATTTATTTATTTCATTTATTTCCATTTCAATATGAGTATACCAGAAATTTTCTTTATCTTGTTCTTTTTCCAAAAGAATCGCAGCCAGAGTCAAATCTATAAGAAGAAATATATAAAAAAAAAATTTTGAATTTATCATCTGAGCACAATAGTTGAATGTGTTCACTAATTATTATTTGTGACAATTTCTTCATAATTCTCATCTGACACCATAAAGCTGTGTGTTTTGTCTTGCTCAGAATCAAAAAGTTGTATTTCTTTCAATATGAGAACGTTATTTTGAAAATACGAATACGAGCACAATGGCCAGTCATACATAAACATTTGAACATTAACCTCACAAATTCAGATCAATTGCTTTGCTCGGTCAAATTTCTCCGAGCATTAAGATCTTTGTCAAATCGCTCCGATTTTAATTGCCGAACGGATGAAATCTACTTCCCCTACATCTAGATGTCATAAACGAACGATTCAGATTCATCGGAGCAGTCTGATGTAAATACCGAACACGACTATTGTACAGTCCCATTTTTTTCAGGTGTCCTCTCGTTGGACTGTGACCAGTGAGAAGTCCCGTTATTGTTCTGACTTGGTTCCTACTCATCTCGAGTAGTTCTTCAGATTTATTTTTCGATGGTTCTTTAATGAATACTTTCCCGTAGTGCATGTGAGGGGCTTCAGTCCATCGCTCCTTATGTTTTCGCTTGATCCAGTCAGGTATGTAGCCTCGGATAGCTGTTTTTGTAGTCCCGAGTACGGGATCTGGGCCAATGTATTCAGTTGATGAGCCGGTTCTTGCCAGTTCATCAGCTTTTTCGTTTCTTACGATGCCTCATGGCCTGGAACCCATAACAGGGTGATTTTGTGATGTTCTGACAGGACATTGAGTTCTTCTCTGCATTCCCGTACCAGCCTGGATGTCACTTTCTGGTTCGTGAGAGCTTTCAGTGACGCCTGGCTATCGATGCATATTTTGATTCGTGCATTCCTCATAGTGTTTCTTCTTTCACATTGCAAGATTGTGTACATTTCCGCTTGAAATACGGAAGTGTTTATTCCCAGTAAGAATCTCATTTGGGATTTTCTCCCTTCACTGTAAATTTCAGCACCAGAGCCTTCCTTGGTCTTGGACCCGTCTATGTACCATATCTTCTCTCCAAGTTTGCCCTTGACAAAAAAGTCATAAACATAGTACTTCATTCTCATATACTCAGTCGTATTACCTATATGTTAAACGTTTGGGGATCTTGTTCAAAAAATTATTTCAGTAAAATATCTGCACTTTATAAAAAAGCACTGGAAGTAATGTATCGCCTCTCATTTGATATTCCAACAAATGATCTGTATGCGATGACAGAAAAATTTTCATTGGATGAATTATATAAAATAGATTCTCTCAAAGTTTCATATAATATAATAAACAATAATCTGAAATCCAATTTTGTTTTGGTAAGAAACTCAGAAATTCATGGTCATCACACGAGACAATTAAACTTATTTCATCTTGATTCTGCTACTTCTATAATTGGCCAAAAAAAATTTACTCACGCTGCTCTAGCTGAATTTAATAAATTCCCACATAATATAAAAAATTGCAGACATATTTCAAAATTTAAAATTGAATTAAAAAAACACATGATTTCATTACGAAATGGATAAAATTGATACTTTGCCATCTACTGATTAGTCCCTGTGGCTATTTTTATGACTTGATCGATTTAGCATTTTTAGATTTTTTAGATTTTTATTGTTGTTGTTGTCACCTTATATATTATTTTATTATTGTTGTTGTTTGTAATCAACTTCCTCATACCAGAATTTTATTTCTGACTGGAAGCTAGTTTTTCAATAAACAATAAACAATAAACAATTATCTATCTTCTTGTGGCTTCGAGTTTCCCATTTTTTCCCTTGGTTGCTGGTCCTGTCACCGGCTATACCTCAGCCTCCTGGGCTTTCTGTGCTGTGCTGTGTTTCCAGTTTATTTTACAGCACCCATTCCGTAGCTCTTATTGCCTGTACCAGTATGTACAGGTTCTTCACCGGTTGGCTGTTGTATTCTTCGGGAGTCAGTCTAGGCTGCCCGAATATGTCTTGTCTTTTGCTTTCTATCAAGAAGTGTTTGGCCGTTTCTGTCCCTTCACCGCATTGTCTGCAGAGAAGTTCTTCCATTGTACAGTCCCATTTTATTCAGGTGTCCCGTTGTTGTTCTTACTTGGTTCCTACTCATCTCGAGTAGTTCTTCAGATTTATTTTTCGACGGTTCTTCAATGAATACTTTCCCGTGGTGCATGTGAGGGGCTTCAGTCCATCGCTCCTTATGTTTTCGCTTGATCCAGTTCCGTATATAGCCTCGGGTAGCTGTTTTTGTAACCCCGAGTACGGGTTCTGGACCAATGTATGGAGTTGATGAGCCGGTTCTTGCCAGTTCATCAGCTTTTTCGTTCCCTACGATGCCGCAATGTCCTGAAACCCATAACAGGATAATTTTGTTATGTTCTGACAAGACATTGAATTCTTCTCTGCATTCCCGTACCAGCCTGGATATCAGTTTCTGGTTCGTGAGAGCTTTCAGTTACGCCTGGCTATCGGTGCATATTTTGATTCGTGCATTGCGCACTTCCCTCATATTGTTTGTTCTTGCACATTGCAAGATTGCGTACATTTCCGCTTGAAATACGGAAGTGTTCATTCCCAGTGAGAAGCTCATTTGGGAGTTTCTTCCTTCACTGTAAATTCCAGCACCAGAGCCTTCCTTGGTCTTGGACCCGTCTGTGTACCAGATCTTCTCTCCAGGTTTGCCCTTGATGTTGTCATCTGTCCATTCCCATCGATCTTGCATGATCACCTCGAAGTTCTTGTTGAAGCAGTATATTGGGGTAATGTAGTCCGTTGCGAGTTACCCATAGTATACATTCCACTTTTTTCGTTGTTCTGGAAGCAATCATACCAATATTTCCAGGTTCTGGTCGCCTTGGCCTCCGACCTGGAACTCGACAAAATGGCCGGCATCGCCGACAACCACAAGTGGCTGTGGTTCAGAAAGTACTGCCATGCCGCCCGAGTAGCCAAATCCCTCATACACCGCACCCCCCTGCCTCTCAGCTTCTGTCACGAGGTGAGAAAGAAGCTAACCGACTCGAGCGACTCCTCCAGCACGGAAGAGTACTGGGACCACGAGAAGCACAGCGTGTTCAGGAAGGAGCACGACGAACAGCTGCTGATCTGGCTGAACAGGCGACCGGAGGACTGGACGCTGTCGTGGGGCGGGTCCGGGACTATTTACGGGTGGGGGCATAACCATCGAGGGCAGCTGGGCGGGGTCGATGGGGCCAAAGTGAAGACTCCGACGGCTTGTGAGGCGTTGTCGTCTCTGAGGCCGGTTCAGTTGCTGGGAGGCGAACAGACGCTGTTTGCTGTCACGGCTGATGGGAAAGTGTATGCTACAGGTGAGCAGTCGTGTTCGCAGACATTGTAATCGATTGAATTAGATTGTGAGAGTCATTGTAGTCTCATACGATAAAAAAAAGTATCAATAGAATATGTTCGGTTTCACTATTAGTCATCAGAAATAGCTTTCCATTTTTCACCAAATATGTTGTTTTATTCAATTTGTCCTATATAATTCGAAAATTTCAATGAAATTAATTCATTACATAATCATGGAACAAGACTATCAAATTTACAAATAGGAAATACGTATAAGTCAAATATCGGCAAACAATACATTTTTCACACAGACATCGTTCAATACAACTCATTTCCATTTTAATTTAGGAATATACAGGAAGCAACTAGATTCAAAATTAACTTGAAAATATATCTGCTTCAGAGACTTTGATAATTCCATTTCTTATCGAACACAGGTTTTAATAGGGTAATGAGTAACGATCAATACCTCAAAAATATGAACCTCAACTTTGTTAACTCGTTCTTTTTTTCACCGATAACTGAAAATGATATGAGAACCTGTATCAATGCCCAAAAACCGAAAAGATCTACTGGTATTGATGAAATCCCAATGACGCTCATCAAGAATAATTGCGAATTATTAATAGAACCCCTAACTTTTTAGTCAATAAATCTTTATCTATTGGAACATTTCCCGACTCTTTTAAAACGTCGATTGTCGTACCTATTTATGATAAAGATGATTAATTCAACACAAATAATTATAGAGGGATTTCACTGCTACCCAGTTTTTCGAAATTTTTCGAATGGATTGCTAATCATCAATTGTTGACGTACCTTAAGCAACACAACATTTTGACAGATTCTCAGTTTGGATTTCGCCAAAACCTCAATACAACCGATGCCACTTACGCCTTACTTGAACAAGTAAACACATTGTTAGAATCAAACAAACATCCACTGGGCATTTTTTGCGATCTATCTAAGGCGTTCGATTGCGTCGATCATAATATCCTTTTGAACAAAATGGAGTATTATGGTGTACGCGGTATCCCGAAACAGTGGTTTGAATCATATCTCGGCGAAAGGAAGATGCGAGTGAAAATTGAACATGAAAGCAACCGATTCATAACCGACTCATACTCCGAATTGGCAGATGTGAAAATGGGTGTCCCGCAGGGATCTATCCTTGGGCCCACTCTATTCATCATATATGTCAATGATATTGTGTGCAACTTTCCTGATGTGACCTTTTCCCTGTTTGCCGATGATACTAGCATACTTGTTAATGACGCCAACATACAACCTCTACTTTGTCTCTCTCAAAGGACGGTGTATGGTATCCTAGATTGGTTTTTAGCAAATAAGCTCTCTCTCAATATAAGTAAAACGCAATGTATTTTTTTCAATCCATATAGAAACATTAATGATGATATTCAATTGATTGTAGACAATGAAACAATAAATACATCACAATCCACGAAATTTTTAGGACTCACCATTGATAAAAATCTTGATTGGTCTGAACATATAAAGCAATTGAACACGAGATTGAGCGAAGCTATATTCGCCATTCGAACAATTAGAATGAATACTAATAGTGACGTCGCAAAAACAGTTTATTATGCCTATTTCCACAGCCTTCTGCAGTTTGGTATTGAGTTTTGGGGTACTTCTGTTGAATCAACATCTACCTTCATTGTACAGAAACGGGCGATTCGAACAGTATTCAATCTGAGGTACAGAGATTCATGTAGGAATTATTTCCTATGAAATATTTACTTTAACCACCTTATATATATACAAAGTCTCGCTTCTGATCCACAAAAATAGTGGTTCCATGTTGCGCCCAGCAGATATCCATTCATACCCAACCAGGAACCAGTCTATAATCCTTCCAAATTATCGACTCAATAGAACTCGTAAGGGACCCCTGTATACAGGGATTAATATTTATAATCACCTACCGGAAGTATTGAAAGCACTATCTATGAATAAATTCAAGGTCGAGTTGAAAAAATTATTACACCAACATAGTTTCTATAACCTGGATGAATTTTTCAATATCATTTTTTAATATTACCATGCATATACTATAATCATGTCTGTAACATTGGTTTTATGATATCTAGCTTTTTCAGTCATCTTTTCTTCACATAGATAACTTATATTGCATGCGACTTGTCTAGCCATTTTCCCTAAGCTCTATGCGATAAAGATACACCGAGATATAATTTCACTGTTATACTTCTTAATATTATGTGTCTGTATATACCTGTTCTCTGCAGATATATTACAAATCTGTATCTTTTGGGAAATAAAAATCTATCTATCTATCTATCTATCTATCTATCTATCTATCTATCTATCTATCTATCTATCTATCTATCTATCTGAATCCCTATTTATAAAAGAAACGGTTGATATTGCATATTCATTTGCATTTTTTTTTTCAACTTGTTATATCATCAATATTTCATAATTGTATGCATAACATTATGTATATTGTTACTGATTATTACCTACAAATATGAGAATAATGATCCCATATTTGAACATACTCTAATACTTACCGACATCTTGGCTATCTTTTTATCACAACTTTGGAGTGGATCAACCAATTTTCTATTCCTTTCAAGATTATGATAGCTCATTCCATTGGGTACAACGTCAGTACTTTTTTGTTATTCCACCTTTTGGACATGAAGACCTACAGGGTGATATCTGAAAATGTGATAATTTTCGAAAAGTTTGGGATCACCCCGTTTCACCGGGAATTTTTTTTATGTTTTATTGAGAGCGATGAAATGACGAACAATGAGTTTTCTCGAAATGGTTTTGGATTCAGGGGGATACATACAGGATGTTTCGATGTACGGAATTTCTCACATTATATTGCAATTTTCATCCATATCTAGAAAATGTCTCGCTTTTGTATCTGTATTTTTTTTCTTCTTGACAGGTTATGGGGCCGGCGGTAGATTAGGCATCGGTGGTACCGATTCCGTACTGGTGCCCACTCTGCTGGAATCCATCCAGCACGTTTACATCAAGAAGATCGGCGTGAATTCGGGCGGCAAACATTGTTTGGCGCTGTCCGCCGACAACGACGTCTACTCTTGGGGCGAAGGAGACGACGGCAAATTGGGCCACGGCAATAGAACGTAAGCTGAATCATTCCTAAATTCAAACATTTGAAAAACTTATTCATTATTCGTAATTTAGAAATGATATATTATGCTTTAGTTCAATCTCAATTAGTTAGTGGGATATTAGGATGGGGCGGATTGAAGCAGATATATTTGAGGAGATTGGAAATTGCACGAAAATGGATTTTGAAAATTATTTATGGAAAAGATTATTTGTTTCCAACTGAACAATTTTTTTAATGTTTATTTATTCATTTCATTCTTTGCTATAAACATTACATTGCATCTCATATAAATATAAATATAATCATTAACATTTACAATGGAATAACATGAATAATAAGACAGATTCATATCTGGTATGAGATTATTCATGCCTTATCAAATTAAATTTTAGTTATTGAAATAAACAACAGAATAAAAAAAATAATAGAACGAAAAGCTCATGAAAAGTACATTATGACATGATGAAATAAATTAGTAAATGAGAAATCATTCACTCAGGTTTGATTTTCTCTTTGCAAGAGGATATGTTTCTTGACTTTGATTCTGAATTGGGTGATATTTGTGCAACTTTTGCTATCATCAGGTAATTTATTGAATTTTGAGATAGCTCCGTGAGTGAACTTTTTTTGACCAAGTGTAGAATTAGCAGCATCAAGATGAAACAAGTCATATTGTCTAGTATGATGTTCATGGATTTGAGAATTCCTTTATTCCATATTTAATTGAAATTATTCTTGGAACATGAACCCCAACTATTGATGAGATAGTTCATTTTACTAAGGATGTGAGAGTATAGAACGGTATTTGCTATATTTGGGATAAGTTTTGGACATCTTCTTAAGGCACCAACTATGGGGTAAATTTTTTATTTGAGCATGCCATCTTATCTTTTCATCAATCCAAATACCAAGGTACCAAGGAATCAAGTTCTGGTATGAGGAAGTATAGTTTATATATATTTATATATATTCAAATCAATATTTTGTTTATTTCTTCGATGGAAAATTATATATTGGGTCTTATATGATACTCCAACGAATCAACTGTATAAGGAAACAAACACATTTTCTTTGGAAGAGCACTTTTTAATCAATACTCTAGAAATTTACTATTATATCATCAACAAAAAGTTTAAATCAAATTTTATATTAATCAGGAATGCCGAAATTCATGATCATCACACTAGACAATATAACTTGTTTCATCTTGAAGCTGCAAATTCTAAACTTGGGCAAAAAAAGTTTACACATGAGGCGATTTCGAAATTCAATAAATCACCAGATGATATCAAGAACAGCCCAAATATTATGCATTTCAAAAATAAAGTGAAGAAATATATGTATATGCAAAGGAATGATCAAAGCTGAAAGACTATGAATTTCCTTTTTTTTTTTTCACTGTTTTTATTTTTCCCCTTCTTATTCACTATAATATGACTGTTATTTTGAGATATCTTAATGATATGTAAGTTTTGTTCACTATTTGTAATTTCAATTATACAACAGTCGATAATACTTCATGAATGATCTTATACCAGGAATTACTGTCTGATCATTCATGTCATTCCTACTAGAAAATTAATTATACTTTATATATTATTTGTATGAAATGTATCAATGAAGAAGAGAATGTAATGCAATAACTGAAATAAATAAATAAATAAATAAGATTGGAGTATAGCCATTCTTCCATTTTTTTCAAATCCTCATTATGTTGTTTTCTATCGTGTAATGACCATGAATTTCTGGGTTTCTTATCAAAGCAAAATTGGATTTCAGATTATTGTTTATGATATTATCTTCGTTAATAATATTTTCTAGAATGATGGGGTTTTTGTTTTCGTATAAAAGCACAGTGCCATCTGCATATACAGGGTGTTTCGAAATTCGACCGACAACGCTTGACAGGTGATAGCCCTCGTGATTTCATAATCACTGAGATAGGGACATACGATCTTCAAGTGTTCAGTTCTCGAGATACAGGGCGTTGAAGTTGAGAAATTTAAATAGGTTTTTCGCTATATCTCAGGAAAAACTGAATTTGATGCATTCAAATTCGGTATATGGTTTCATCTTTCAATGGTTGATTTTTTGACCAGAAAGACATTCCGAGAATTTTACCCAGAGGTGCGCTACAGGGGGTTGTGATAACTTTTCCTCCCATATTTTCTACGCCACTGATGAAATTTCGATTATTTCAAATTTCTCGAATTGATTGTTCAATTATATTGAAAAACTGCATCACCTTCAACTAAGCTAAAATGAACAGTTATCGAGATATTTGACCCAAAATAGAAGTTTGCATTGTAATTTTTCATCTTCTTCAGTAGTAGAAGATTACAAAAATTTTTGTTTTCTCTTTATGAGTGGAATAACTGTTTCTGTTCAGCTACAGAATGAGATCTGAATAGTATGTGATCTACTCAACACCAGAAAAATATTTTTGCAATTTTCTACTACTGAAAATGATGAAATATTACTATGCAATCTTCTATTTTGGGTCGAATATCTCGAAAACTGTTTATTTCAGCTCAGTTGAAGGTGATGCATTTTCTGAACAAAATTGAACAATGAATTCGAGGAATTGGAAATAATCGAAATTCAATCAGTGGCGTAGAAAATATGGAAGGAAAAAATGCCACAACCCCCTGTAGGGCACCACTGGACAAAATGTCCGGAATGGCTTCCAGGTCAAAAAATGGCCCATTCAAAGATGAAACCATATACCGAAGTTGAATGCATTATATTCAATTATTCTTGAGATATTGCGAAACAACTATTTTCATTTCTCAACTTCAACGCCCTGTATCTCGAGAACTGAACACTTGAAGACCGAATGTTCCTATCTCAATGATTATGAAATCACGAGGGCTATCACCTGTCAAACGTTGTCGGTCGAATTTCGAAACACCCTGTATAGTATAATTACGTGAGAATCCAATTTTAGAAATATTCTGAATATATAATAGATACAAAATAGGCCCTAAAACAGATCCCTGTGGAACACCTTAACTCATTGGAAGTCTATTTGACTCTGACATATTACATTCAGTGCTGATTTTCCTATTCGCAAGATAAGATTCTAAACGATTTTCAACAATGCCTCTGAGTCCCATCGATTCCAAGTATTCTAAGAGATTGTTATGGTCAACTGTATCAAATGCCTTTTCAAGGTCAATGAAAATAGCCACAACGTAATTACCCGTATCAAGTCCTTCTTGATTTTTTTGTACTACTTGTAGTGCTGCTGCTTGTGTACCACTATTTTCTTGTTTTGACAGATGACATTATTTCAGGTCTTGTGAAACGCCTAAGCTCATCGAATTGCTGCAAGGCTACGAGGTGGTCGATATCGCGTGTGGTGGAGCCCATTCGGCAGCCATTACAGCTTCTGGCAATTTGTACACCTGGGGGAAAGGTCGATACGGAAGACTGGGTCACGGTGATAGTGAAGATCAACTGAAACCAAAATTAGTGAGTGGAAATGCTTAATATTTTTTTCATGTGGCTAGCCTTTGTCGTTCTGAATGAGAAACTTCGCTTTGACGTCACTTACATGTTCAGGGACTTTCAGGATTTGAGATTAATTTTTGGTTCTGACTTGGTTTCTATGCCTTTGTGTTATTGCCTGTTATTATATTAGGACACACGTAAATCAAGTGATCATATTACATTGGTAATACATTGGTAGAACATATGCCTCGATTGGGATGACTATACACAAAAGCTTATAGCGTTTTCCACTCGTCGACTCACAGAACGCTCTAGCACAGACGGAGTACAAGTGGCACTGGCTCGGTTTTTCCAAATAGTGCGTTTATAGCACAGAGCAGTGGAATAGAAATCGAGAATTGGTGCGATCTTTGAGTGCTTGTCAATGTCACAAATTTTAAATTATTGATAGTACAGGGTGGGCAAAATTGGGCGTTTTCACCGTCTATCTCAATAACTAGAGGAGTTATCGAAAAACCGATATACATGTTCCAAGTTCGATTTTGGAGAAACCTCGAATGGCACAATCAAAATTCCGATATCTTCATTCGTTTTAGAGATACAGGGGGAAATTGAAAATTTGCCGATTTCGATTTTATTTTCTGACTACTTTACGGTGACAGGTATCAAAAAATTTCGAACGTATATTTATACAGTATGATGCGTGGAATCCATTGGCATCATCACAAATTTTATACAGGGTGAAGTTGAAAAGATACGGCAGCCAATTATGTTTTTTCTAATGGAACACCCCGTATATTTTGGCACAGTTGAATAGTCCCAGGCGTTCTCATTACAAATATATATATAACCCTACCTTTTCCTTCCACAATTTCAGATATATTCGCAAAAATATATTCAGTGTGTCACATTTCTTATGGTTACACCACCGTATCTTCTGTAAAGATAATTCAGGTAGGATTCAAAAATTCGCAACTGTCAGAAAGATACAAATGATACACTCATGGAGTCATGGACCAAGTGGGATCATCTCCATTGATAACACTGCTCGCCAGCAGCTATGGAATCATCGATATTTCTGGATAATGCTATCAACAGGCAGAATCGAGGTTGAAAATGACACTCTGTATATATTCACCAAATGTGGAGAATAAATATCATAGGGAATGTAATTTCCAGATAAATGGATATTTGGTGAGAAATAAAATGGGAAATTATTCGATTTGATATCATTGTTATCAAGACATTTGAGATACAGAAATAAGACCAATAATTTACTCAATTAGGAAATCAGTAGGTTGCGTTGAAAAATATAGCCTTATAGAAGATGTCCAAATTCCAGATACAGAACAATTTTTTTTATGGAACACCCCGTATATTTTGGCAAAGCTGGAAAGTTCCCGTTTCAATTTCAAATATATATCTTATTTATTATCTCTTTGAACGCGAAAATATTAAGGCATACTAGAAATAATGGGTAAAGTATCATATTCAGGCATTCTGCCACAAAATATTATGATTGTTAATGTTTCCATCAATTATTCTTACAGAAGATACGGGGGTGTAACCATAAGAAATGTGACACACTGAATATATTTTTGCGAATATATCTGAAATTGTGGAAGAAAAATGTAGAGTTATATATATGTATATTTGTAATGAGAACGCCTGGGACTATTCAACTGTGCCAAAATATACGGGGTGTTCCATTAGAAAAAACATAATTGGCTGCCGTATTTTCTCAACGTCACCCTGTATAAAATTTCTGATGATGCCAATGGATTCCGCGCATTATACTGTATAAATATACGTTTGAAATTTTTTGATACCTCTCACCGTAAAGTAGTCAGAAAATAAAATCGAAATCGGCAAATTTTCAATTTTCCCCTGAATGAAGATATCGAAATTTTGATTGTACCATTCGAGGTTTCTCCACAATCGAACCCGGAACATGTATATCGGTTTTTCGATAACTCCTCTAGTTATTGAGATAGACGGTGAAAACGCCCAATTTTGCCCACACTGTACATGAAAACATGTTTTTAACTTTCAATCTACGCCAGGAATTACGACATTTTTCCCATAGTTTTGAATGTAATCGCAACGTTATCTCATGACATGTAAGTTTCGCTGGTCCACATGAAATGGATCGATCCACTTCTTGTAGTTTCTCTGTGAAAACACTGCCAGTAACAGTCTTATTTGAAGAAGACGTTTTGTTCATTATCAATGAAGTTTTGTTTACGAAGTTAGTATTTTTCATCATTACTGAATCAACAATTTAATGTTTTCAATACCTGCACATCTAAATAGCAGTGGCGGCTCGTGACTTTCATGACAGAGGAGGCTGAGTGATATGAGATTTATTGTGAAAAACAACTCCCTACTCACCCAAATCAATAGCTTTAATGATATTCTGTTTACCAGTTAACCTGAACTTAATACTTGAAGAGATGTGTTCCTGTGATTCGCAGTGTCTATCCAATCCGCGAGCCAAATTTTTCAAATCATTATATCCTAATCGCCCCCAACATGATGACATCGGTTGAGAATAATACGCAGTACCAACAAAATAGCTTATTCCTTACGTCAGATCCCGTCAGCCAGATATATTTTTTATAATTATCAGAATTGAACGAACGATTTTGTTTGTTACCTGTTACAATCAGATTTTGTAATTCCGGTGTCGGACGTTTGTTTTTCACAATCAATTCATCTCCATAAGACAAAGCACTGAATGGGTTCACCAAAAAGTATTCCACTAAATTGCAATCGTTTAAAACACTCATTTTTCAGAAATTCATAGAACCCCTAACCATTAACCCAACATAAACATAAACAATGCCCGCAATTCGCGACGCGACACGACAAACACGTGCTATTCGGGCGTATTGGGGCATTCCCATTGCGCGAGTGGGTTGCGCACAAGGTTGCGCTTGCGCATTGTGAAAGGAGTCTAGCCTCCTATAGATGTTGCCAAGTTGAATATTTTACGCGTGATTTGCAGACTTCAACGTGTGCAAGCACTGTTGCCAATTCAAAAATATTAACCTAAAAACAGGAAATAAAATCAAAATCCATGTATTTTGGTGTCTTTTTAATGAGAAAGTATAGATAATATCAGTTCAGGAAAAATCTCTGAGGAGGCTCGGCCTCCGTTGCCTCCTCTGAGGAGCCGCCACTGCTAAATAGCTTTCTATAACTTTTATGTAATTCCGAATTTTCGATAAATGCTGTTTCGTAAAGAAGTATTTCTGTATACCAGTCATAATTTCTTCATCATCGCTAGTATCCGAAGAATCTTTGATTTCGGAAATTATTGGAATAAACTTCAATGATAAATTCATATGAAATTTAAAAGAATTGCTGCTCCAAGATGGCGAACAAGATTTGGTCCGATTCCATTCAAAATTGGTAAGTGGGGGTTTCTGAGGTCGGAGATCATGATTTTTTTGTTAAAATTTATAAATTCAAGATGGCGACTTCCAAATAATGTTTTGTTTCTGTATAAATGACGATAACTCCGTTGTTATCAACACAAAACTATTACTGCGACATATCATCTGTAAGAGAAAAAAAGTTATTTGTAACTAAGTCATAGTGAGCTATGACCTACATTTGAAAAACTAAAGTTGGTGCTGATATCTCAAATTCTAGAAGAGTTGGTATAAATTTCATATTTTTTTCGAAATCACTTTGAAAAACTGCCATGACAATGTGAAATTCCTATTTGAATATTTTCATAGATAAAGAAGTTACGGAGGAGACATGAAAATGATCAAAATCTGTTTTTTGCGTATAAAACAAAAACGAATAGATTTTATCAAAATATTTTTTCACATTATAGTTGGCCTTGACAAACTCCACATTTGATGTTATTTAACCGACCTCGTATCTCTCACCGTTAAAAAGATACCCATGGTGAGCATGGTAAGTGGAACACACTGTATACCTACATATAAGAGACTTATTTCATAGAAATAGTATATGTATTTCTTTGGTATATACAGGGTGATCCACGGTGGATGGCCTATTAGAAGTATCTGGAGAACGAAAAGACAAAACATTCTGAAAATTGGGATGCACCCTGTATTTAATTGCATTTTTAAATCTCATACAAAAATCAAAGACAGAGAAAGATATATGGATGTACTCTACCCAGGACTTGTGGAAGAAGGAAGATGCGAGGATCCTTTATCTAAGCGAAAAACATAATCTTTTCCTTGTCTGGCAAAACATAATATGATTTGCTTCAAAATCGTTTGTGGTTGTTTGATTGTCACTGCTTGTCTAGTGTCCGTACTCTAATATACAAAAAACGTCAAAATAGCAGTGTCAAGTACATTTAGGAACTCTAGAAGTGAATACATAACCACCTATCAAGTAAATGATTCAATAAGAAGCAATAGGTCGCGTGCAAGAACTGTCAGATGACTAACCCTGGAGGCAAAACATATTTGTTTACAAGTGATCGAAATAGTTTTCCACAATTATTTTGGCATATGAATCGTATTTTTCCGCTATTCATCAATTCGCTAATGCCATCACATTGTGCTGTTGTAAAATGCACAAAAACTGCAGCGGAAGATGAAGAAATCCGGATGGTACATTATGATTCAAAAGTAAGTACCTACTATAGTCACTCGTCACTCACATAGTTTTCATTTTTGAAATTTGGTTATTTCTCTGATTTCTCATCGGAATTCCTTCTGCAATAGGATCAGCTAATAGAAATATACCTGAAATTTCTAGAATAATGCAAGAAGATTGGATTCATGCAATCAATCGGGAGGACTGGTCTGACATGCTGACGATCGTGTGTGTTGTAGACATTTCCAATCTATTAGCAGCATTAGCTTGTATTGCAGAAGTGGCAGAAGGCAGAAGGCATTTTAATAAGGAATGACAACATTTCATAATGCTAACTATGTGAGATTACTATTTACCTGAAAAATCATATTTCCTAGTCTCTTGCTGCATTTTTTGTGCATTGTACAACAGCACAATGCGAAGGCATGCTTGAATTAATGAATAACGCAAGAAACACGATTCGTATGCCAAAATATTGTGAAAAACTATTTCAACCTTTTGATTCCTCTGTAACCAAATAAAAAAGTGAGGTTGTGTTTCAATAATTCACAGAAGAATGAGGTTGTGTTTCAATATTTTGCCTCCAGGGTCGGTCTTCGTGCACGCGACCTATAACCAAGAAGTTAAGGGGGAGGACATTTCACGTCTTCACTGTATGTGTCTGTGGTTTCAACAGGTGGAGGCTCTGTTGGGGTACAAAGTGATCGACGTGGCGTGCGGTTCGGGCGACGCGCAAACTCTCTGCATCACCGACGACGACAACGTGTGGTCGTGGGGCGACGGAGATTACGGCAAATTGGGCAGAGGCGGCTCGGACGGCTGCAAAGTGCCGATGAAGATCGAGAGCTTGGCCGGCCTGGGGGTGGTCAAAGTGGAATGCGGCTCGCAGTTCTCCGTCGCGTTGACCAGGTCTGGAAGCGTGTATACGTGGTGAGTTAATGGTTCCATGTGTTTTTGGGTGTCCTGAATTTTTTCGATTTTTTGCCCGTAACTCGGAAATTATACGTTTTATCCTTGTGGTATCAGACGATACTCCGTCCCCCACCACATGGAACGATCTGCCTGAAAGAAAACTCGATAAAAGATGGCATAGCTGGGGTAGTAAGCCATATGATGGTAGTTCGTGGAGGCGTGGAGGAGTCTTTCATTCCGAAACATAAATTTGATTCAGTCGTAAATTCACCAGAATAGGACAAGAATAAAGAAAGATACAGGGCGATCAATTTCGCAAATTTTTTGTGTACTTTTTTTGACGTTGAGTATACACTACACAACAGACAGTGGGGTAGTTTCCTTCAGATCAATTTTCATAAAATGAGTTCGGAACTCTCCAGTTTTATGTCCACGCTGTACACAATGGCGACCGATAAAGTCCAAGTCGTTTTCATTTTCAAATTAAGGCAATTTCTTATTTTCGTGGCGGCAAACTGTGCGGTTCATTCTGAACCTAGTCTGAAAATAGCTAACGAATGAAATACGAATGAAAAAAATAGAAGAAGTATAACTGGTAAACAAAACATACCTAACCACAAATACACTAGGAGCAGGAATGCAGAGGGTAGTTGCCTTCACTTTGACAGGTTATGGTTTTGTTATTTATGCATTGAAATATCTCGAGTAGAGCTTGATCCTAAACGAAAATATCATTGAATCCAGGAATCACTATCGGCTACATTCAATGATACTATTGTAGCACGCCCACCCTAAATCATTGTTCAAAGTATAAATATTACATTAATGTATCATTTTCCGTTACATTTGAATTGTGCCGCGCCGCGTGTGATACCCTGATTGGTGCGCCGGATTTGACTTTATTCGCAAGAGAGTACGAAGGGAGGGAAGCGAGGATTCGCTTGAGAAAGGTGGGAGAGAGATAGGGGACGGCGGCCTGAAGGGAGGTCGGGAATTTGAGACTGTGAGTTTGCCAGGGTTTTGGTGAACGAGTTGCTTGGAATGTTTGGTTAAAGTGCCGCTGTGGACGAGCAAGTCGTCATCACTAGTTACCAACTGTGGACGGTCGGTGAGAAGCACGATACATTCATTGTATCAGGGGTGAGAAGTATAATTTAAGAATTGAAGCGAGCTGTTTTCCTTTGCCGATTGCCAAGAAGAGCCATCGTGCAGCCGCGTGACTTCAGTAGCGGATGTTGTTGCTGTACCGATCGTTTTCATCTTTAAACAATCAACCCTCGTTATCCTTCCTAGACTGTTATAATCGTGTGACCTGGTACTCATTGTTGATATTCGTGACATTAACCATTTTTCGTTTACTATTATACGGTTTGCAAATTTAATCTTGTTTTCTTCCGCAAGTCTGTCCCCCCTTGAGAACCTTGAGAGTCTCGTATTTAAATAATGTTCACGACTGAGCTGGTCGACTACACTATCCTTCCTAATTTACTGCCATCGGTCAGAACAGAATGAAGCCGACACCCATGGCTCGTACCTCTTGTTGTGCCTGCCAGTATTTTGAGTGGTGTGGACGGACTCGAAGTATTAGGCGCTGTTGCAAGATATCATCTGCAACTTTCCTAGAAAATAGATCCGTTTTATTAAGAAACGAATTCATTAGCAAAAAAGTGACAAGTCATGAATAACATATTGTAATATAACGAAAGTGTGAAATTATAGATACTATCGCAAAATATCATAATTTACCTTTATTAGTAATCAACTTCATTCAGCCAATGAGAGATTTATAGGAATTATTCATAATACTTGACAAAATAGGATTGAAGAACCTATTATATCCCATTGCTGTTATGATTTAGTTATTATGCATTCAAACAACAATTTCCGCAAATCTAGACATGCTGATGATGTCGGCAACGTGGCACAGGGAATCGTATTATAACTGTGTGAATGTGGATTTTCAGAAAGTACGTCATAGGAATGGTGGAGGAGCCAAGTTCCTCTTTTTTTATTTTTTTCAGAAGTGAAGTTTGATCTTACGAAAAAAAGAAAAAATACGTATATACAGGGTGGCCCACGGTCAATGGTACCTTAGACGTATACGGAAAACGGTACATTGGATCATCCTGAAAATTTGGTGACTCTAATAAGCGTTTGTGATCTAACGATTCAAAATATTTTCAGCGAAGCAGCGTTGCCATTTTTACCAAAAAGTAGCATCATCTTTGTTATTTCAAATGGAACACCCTGTATTTTATTGCGTTTTTAGATCCTTCTCGAAGAGCTGATTTCATCAATGCATCACACTTGGGGTCTAGCAGGAATTATTACAGAGATATAGGGTGTTCAAAATCGAGATTTTTCAACTTTAGGATTTTTTTGTGTCGAAACTATTCATCATTGGTCAAAATGGCTTACATGTCCTTATATTACCTTTTGATTAACGTTCTACCGACATTTAATTGGAAAAAATACAGGATGGTCCAAGATTCAGAATTTTGATCACCCTGTATCTGTTCCAATTAAATGTCAGTAGATAGTGAATCAAAAGTTAAGATAGGGAGATGTAAGCCGTTTTGATCGATAATGAATAGTTTCGACACAAAGAATTCCTGAAATTGAAAAATCTCGATTTTGAACACCCTATATCCTGTAATAATTCCTGCTAGACCCCAAGTATGATACATTGATGAAATCAGCTCTTCGAGAAGAATATAAAAACGCAATGAAATACAGGGTGTTCCATTCGAAATAACAAAGATGATACTACTTTTTGGTAAAAGTGGTAACGCTGCATTGCTGAAAATATTTTGAATCGTTAGATCACAAACGCTTATTAGAGTAACCTAATTTTCAGGATAATCCAATGTACCGTTTTCCGTATACGTCTAAGGTACCATCGACCGTGGGCCACCCTGTATTATTTTTTTGCAAACTTCACAGTGAGATAAAAACCTCAACATAGGAAACTTCCCCATGGATAAAAAATCTCGACTTCCATGTTTTTAGGGGAAAGGGAGATTACCATAGATTGGGTCACGGTACTGGCGACCACGTAAGGAGGCCCAAGAAGGTAGCCGCCCTCCAGGGCAAGATCATCAGCATCGCCACCGGTTCCCTCCACTGCGTCGCGTGCTCCGATGAGGGGGAGGTTTTCACGTGGGGTGATAACGACGAGGGGCAGCTGGGAGATGGAACGACGAACGCCATCCAGAGGCCGCGGCTCGTCACTCATTTACAGGTAATACGAGGGTGGTATTTCTCCTTTACACGCTCATATCAATTTTGGTTTGAGAAGCTACTGCAAACTGACATTGGATCGGTAAACTGGATTCGTCTCTCAACCAGCTTTACAATGAGGGGTCACAAGCCACAAGGCTGCATTTGAAGAAATAAACATGTTGTTGAGGCTAGAGTCACTTGATGTATAAGTTAAATAAGAGTTCGGACACAGAAATGACAACTGTTAGTGTTTTTGGGTGTATGATAAATTGATATTCATCATACAGGGCGTGGAAAGAAATTCTGAATTGAGACTTTATCACGAATCTTTGATTAGAGGTCTATAAAAATGACAAGTTTCCATCGATCAAGTTTGAACCCCTTGATTGGGTATGAAAGTGTTGAAAAAGAATATTCTCAGATAAATTATGAACATAAAAAAATGGATATATACACTCACCGGCACAAAATTCCGCCACCCTGAAATTTTGTCCAAGTTTGAAGTTTTATAACTTATTAATTTTTTATCCGATTTCCATGATTTTGTTATCAGTTTGTAGATCCATTTATCATGTTTTTCCTCAATCATTTTATAAAGTATCATTTATCGATTAGGCTATATTATACAGGAGGAAATCAAAATGTTGTTTTTTGTCGTAATTTCAAAACACCCTGTAGGGAAACTGAGATGGATAATTTTGTTTACATACTGTTTCTTGTAATCTCTGATGTATTCTAAACATTTATTTTTTTGATTCATTCCATTATCTCATTTGTGCTGAGAGTTGCAAAATTTTAAATGAAACGCTGATTTGAAGCCTATTTTTATTAAGAAAAAGAAACACCAGGTATATCATGAAGTTAATCAACAAAAACAATTCAATAACGTGTATTTCCTCCTCTCGCAGCAATGACAGCTTGCAGTCTTCGCGGCATCGAATGAATAAGGTCACTTATTCTTTCTTGAGGAATAGCTTCATATTCTTCGGTCAGCGCCAGTCGTAAGTTTTGCAAGGTTTGTGGTTGTACAGGACGTTGACGAACGGCTCTTTTAAGTTGGTCCCAAAGATGTTCGATTGGGTTGAGATCCGGGCTACATGCAGGCCATTCCAATCTTGGAAGTCCAACTTCATCCAGGTATTCGCTCACTACATGTGCAACGTGAGGTCTAGCATTATCATGCATTAATGTGAATTCGTTCCCAATAAAAGGAGCAAATGGAACAACAACTTCTTGGAGGATTTCCTCAATGTAACGGTGGGCGGTTAGGGCTCCATTTTCAATAAATACAAGATTGGTACGTGCTTCGGTAGAAATACCCGCCCAAATCATGACTGAACCGCCATGATATGAGATTCGTTCTGATATGGTGCAGTCAGCATATCTTTCGTTTCTACGTCTGTATACCTGCTCACGACCATCCGGCGACCTTAAACAAACCCTGGATTCATCTGTGAATAGTACGTTTCCCCACTGTTCTAGAGTCCAGTCAGAATGCGATCTTGCAAATCTCAGTCGGTGTTGTCGATGGCGAGGAAGTAATCGTGGACATATTGTTGGCCTTCGTGAATAAAGCCCAGCTTCTGCCAATCTTCTACGTATCGTTCTTTCACTTACGTTTACTCCACGAATAATTTGCAAGTCATTTTTTATACACACAGCAGTAGATCTTCGATCTCTTAAAGAATTAATGGAGACAAAGTGATCATCAGCTGCACTGGTCATTCTCCTTCTGCCAGAGCCTTGCCGTCTAGTAAAAATTCCCGTCTGTAAATACCTACTCCAGGCATTTCGAACTGTTGACCGCGGAATTCTCAGAGTGCGGGCGACATAACTTTTGCTACGGCCATCCTCTATTAACGCAACAATTCTACCCACGTCTGCTGGAGTTAATACCATATTGACACACAACAAATTATAATTTTCTCACTGTCAAACATTCTGCCACAATAATCGCGTCCAAAGCCAACGTCGATAATTTTTAACCGAAATCTTGACATAGGTACATTTTCAAAAAATAACATCGTTTCATTTAAAATTTTGCAGCTCTCAGCACAAATGAGATAATGGAATGAATCAAAAAAATAAATGTTTAGAATACATCAGAGATTACAAGAAACAGTATGTAAACAGAATTATCCATCTCAGTTTCCCTACAGGGTGTTTTGAAATTACGACAAAAAACAACATTTTGATTTCCTCCTGTATAATATAGCCTAATCGAAAAATGATACTTTATAAAATGATTGAAGAAAAACATAATAAATGGATCTACAAACTGATAACAAAATCATGAAAATCGGATGAAAAATAAATAAGTTATAGAACATCAAACTTGGACAAAATTTCAGGGTGGCGGAATTTTGTGCCGGTGAGTGTATATATAAAGCAATACATTGAGAATTCGCATTCTCTATGTGATGAGAATATCTCAACTCTTTTTCAGTTTTATTTATTTTCGAACTCTTATCGTGTGTGTTCTATATAAAGCAATACATTGAGAATTCGCATTCTCTATGTGATGAGAATATCAACTCTTTTTCAGTTTTATTTATTTTCGAACTCTTATCGTGTGTGTTCAATAGATATAATTCAATGTTCGTCGTGGCATATAGTCAGGAAAGTAGTTATTTTCTGTTGAATAAATCGAGAAAGAATTAATATTTTCATCACATGGGGAATGCGAATTCTCGATGTATTTCTTTATTTATATATCCATTTTTCTGTGTTCATAAATATATCTGAGAATATTCCTTCTATTGTTATTTGTTTTATAATAGTGATGAAGATACTGATAACTTCGATTGCACAGATCTTATAGGTATATTGACGCCAAAGGATGCATGCTGAAGCCAATTCATTTTACCTCCCTCGGGAGTCAATTTTTTTTTTCTCCCGTAGGAGTAAATTGACAACTTTGTTTCCTTGAATGAGGGAGAGAATGCCTTCTTTCGATTCAGTGAGTAGATATAGTTATTTATTATACAAGGGAAAAAATTAGTAGATTTTAGCTCCAGGTTGTGAGCTAAAATCTAATATTTTTCCCGTGTACAATACGCTATTTTTTTCTGTGACAGAAGAAAGGACGAATCAATATCGAGAAGATATTACATTATTTCGAAATTTGAAAATTATCGACGTGAAATTTTAAGTTTTTAACAGTAAGGACACCTGCGTTGTAGGCATCTTTATCATTCTTTTGAAATACTCAAATATTTTATGTCACTTCTGTCAGTCTAATTCTGTGATTTGATTTAAAAAAATTGCGAATTTGGTTGTTTAGTAATATACGTAACCGCGAAGTCGAATGGAAGATAAAAGGACTTGTAGTTCTTTCTCGGAGACGGTATTGTTGACTCATTTTTCGGAACTATATAGCAGAACAAAAGCCATCAACAGTGTATATATATGTGATATATATACCCGGGAAAAAAGTACTCACTTTTTTTCCCACGGGAAAAAAGTAATTTATGAAAAGTGACATTTTATAACCTGCCAACAGAGATGAAATGGCAAACTTTTTCCCGTCACAGAAATAGTTATTTGTTTAACTAGGCAGCAAAGTAGTAGGTTGACTGCCGAGGCTGAATTCATAGCCGAGCGTAGCGAGTTGAACAACATATAATTTTTTCTCCGATTGTTCATAATGATATAGGAGGATATTGTAGTTGCAAATTATTACAATTCCCACAATCTCTTTATTTTTCCTGTAGTGTTCAATTAAAATGAAATTTGATAGAAATCGCAGTTGTCCATGATAATTATTATAGTTTGACAATTCATGAAAATTCTGACAGTTGTGCGAAAAAATATCGGTATATTTGAATTATTATATAATGGACTGTGATAGCGACCTGAAAGAACTTACACCTCCAGAAATAACGGAGGTGGCAAAAAACATAGAGTTGTTGAATTTGTTGCCGGAGAAGTCTCGAATGAAATATGAAGAAAATTATAAACGACTTATGGATTATTAATTTTGCTGATACATATCAATCACCAAAGTACCCACTTTGCTGCCTAGGCAGGAAGAGTAATACTTTGCTGATTGATATGTGTCAGCAAAATTAATATTTGCTGCCAATCGGAGAAAAAAATAGTTGTATCTATTTATCTTTCCTTCTCTCAGGCTAACGCGAAGAAAATCACCAACGTCGCCTGCGGTTCCGCCCACACCCTAGCCTGGTCCACTAGCAGCGCCAGTTCGGCGTGCGCCCGCCTGCCCGCCGTGGCGCCACTGGAGTACGACCTGCTGCAGGACATCCCCTCGATGATCCTGCACTGTCGGCTCGTCCTGCTGCACCACTTCGCCGAGTCGATTTGCCCGTGCATCGCCATGTTCCCGATCACGGGGCCCGATTCGCTGCACGAGCTGCGCAGCATCTTGGTGTATTCGATCAAGGAGGCGACGTTCAGGAAAGTCGTGCAAGCGACGATGGTGCGCGACAAGCACCACGGGCCTGTCATCGAGTTGAACAGGATACAGGTATGTTGCAGATCATGGAACCATATTCACACTGTATTAGTTGTAGTTCAGTCATTTGGTGCTCAAAAAAGGGGTTACCTGGAAATTTTTGAATATTGGTATTTCAGTAGATTTCGACGTCCTCTTTTCGAAATTTTCACTTTGCCACCTCGTATCTTCGCCGCTCGCGCCGCCATATTGGAAATATGGCGCCCAAAAACAGTTTTTCGACGATATCTATTAGATAACTAGAGAAGATTTCCCACCATTTATGTAGTAACCTTTTTTTAGCTCTACCATGACTTATGCAATTTTGAACTGGGGTCACTCCCCAAACTCTGCTCAAATTTTCAAGTTGCAACGACGTTGTGTTAGAATTATTGCAGGTATCAAATACCGCGAATGCTGTAGAGATGGCTATGTTAGGCTGAGGCTGCTCACCCTTCCGTGCGTTTTAATTTTTCACTGTCTAGTATATGTGAAACAAAATCGGGAAAACTTCAGAACACACAGTGATTTTCATTCATATTCGACTAGGGGGGGAGGGAATCTGGTGCCCGGCTACCACAGGCTGCAACGTACTAGAAGGGGAACCGATTATTATGGCATCAAATTTTTCAATGCTCTACCGACAGATGTTAAACAGCTAAATCTAAATAGCTTCAAATCTAGAGTCAAAAACTATCTCCTAAGAAACGCCTTCTATTCCCTCGAGGAGTACCTCGAGAGTGACTTAAGGACATTTTAGTTTTATATGTAAGACCTATTTCAATATGTAACACCTATTTTAATATGTAAAACCAATTTTAATATGTAAAATGTGCGTCCTTAAATCCACTTTTTAATTTTCAAGTATTTCTTACTATATTATTATCATTCAAACAAGTTCTATACTTTATATACCCTATTGACCTGTAAAAGCACTATGTGTTATACTTTACCAATAAATAAACTAAACTAAACTTTGTGAAATTAATAGTTTCAGCGTACGAGTAATAATAATAATAATAATAATAAACTTCTTTATTTGATTTAATGTTTATACAAACATTTGGCAGAGCCAAGTTTAGCCATCATGGCTACTCTTACACCTAACCCTGCACATTTATAATACATAATACATAAACTTAACATACTTTAATCACTAAGTGCAGATGACTTGCAATTATTCAATTTTTCTATAATGAATGAATGTAAATAAATATAGTTTTTTCTGTGACGGGAAAAAAGTTTGGCATTTCATCTCTGTTGGCAGGTTATAAAATGTCACTTTTCATAAATTACTTTTTTCCCGTGGGAAAAAAGTGAGTACTTTTTTCCGGGATATATATCACATATACAGTGTGTCCCTAGACCAGTGGGACAGTTGAATATCTCCTGAACCAATAGGAATTTTCAAAATATTATAATTGCACATCATATCGCATCATGAGTGCTAACTTCAGGAATGACTAAAATTTATACGAGGGGCGCAAGAAAGGCTCACAAAATCGAACATCAATTTTTTCAAATGGAACACCCCATATATTTCAACATATCTGAATTCTCATCCCTCTAGGCTAATTATCAGTTTTTTATTTTTGAAAATCCGACAAGGCGTTGCCAAGTTATACTAGTGTTTCATGAAATGCAGACATTTTTTTAGACAAACCAATCATTCATACTACTAAGAATTTATGGAATCATTCAAGACTGTTGGTAGTCGGTAGCATATTCTATCATATGGAATACTCATCTTCTTCGAAAGTTGTACAGGGTGGTCAGAAATATTATATGATTTTCACGAAATTCAAACTTTCTTCACATCAATTTTTCAAATAGTGCACCCTACAACTCAATCCACTGTAAGATGGATCGCCTCAGATGTTTCAGCTGTCATTGTTTGAACACTTTGCAGGTTAAAAGATCTAGGGCTCATGGCGGTTTAGCTGGAGTAGATGGTATGAAATCTGTTTTCGGCCAAATGGTGAGCAAGCTGCCGCTCCTAACATCCGAAACTTTGGCCTTGCCGCACAGAGTTTGGAAGGTGGAATTCGTAGGTATGTGACATTTGATACTACAATAATCTATTCCTTTAAAGAATTCAATAATATAGTTGATGATAAAGAAATTGACTTGAAAATGATATCATCTTGGGAACAAATTCATAAGCTGACTCTTAACTATGACAAATCTACGTATATGTATATTTCAAAAAGAAAACTGATACATCGAAAACAACAATATTTTTCGACCAGAAAGCCATACAATATTTAGATGTTACAAAATTTTTAGGTCTTTATATTGATGAACAATTATCGTTTTATACAAAATTCGAAATTTTGTTCCTCTTATATATTTGAAGAATATATATTTCTGTCTGATTTACTCAAAATTACAATATTTAATATCAATTTGGGGAAGCACAAGTATATCACATTTGAAACCATTAATGAAATTACAAAATAAAACAATTAAGTGCATTTACAATTTACATCACCTGGAACCAACTATTAATCTTTACAAACCAAAAAATCTGATGAATTTATCATCTTTATATAAAATGAAAATTTGACCTTCCATTCATTTTGTGAAAAAAAAAATAAAAATATCTAATTTGATCTTTACTGAAGTGAATACAATTCATTCATGAAACGAGACCAATCCTGTTAATTCGGAATTAGGTGATTTTTTGCATATGGAGGCTCGAAAGCATGAGGAACAATAATATGAGGTTAGATTTCCTGTAAAAAAAATGCCTAATATGATTTTATGAAAAATCGACCCCTTTTTAGTTCAATTAAAACGCATGGCACTGCCCAAAATAATGTGCACACATTGATGGTTATTCATACCACACCAAATTTGGTTGGAATCGCTTGACTACTAACTGAGATATAGAGGGGGGGCCGTTTGGAGTGAGACACGCTGTATATACAGGCTGATTCACGGTGGATGGCACATTAGACGTTTCTGGTGAACCAGACAACGGATCATTTTGAAAATTCAATGGAGGGCATATTCGGACATTATCTAGCCAACTAAAATATTTTCGACAATGCGGTGTTGCCGCTTCTATTAGAAAGCAGTAGCAACTTTTATTTTTCAAATGGAACCCCCTGAAGAGCTGATTTCATCGATTTATCACACTTGGGGTCTAACGGAAATGATTACAGAGATATATGGTGTGAAAAATCAACATTTTTCAACTTTAGGATTTTTTTGTGTCGAAACTATTCATCATTGGTCAAAACGGCTCACATGTCCCTATCTCAACTGTTGATTAACTATCTACTGATATTTAATTGGGACATATACCGGGTGATCAAGATTCTGAATTCTGCACCACCCTGTATTTGTTTCAATTAAATGTTAGTAGATAGTTGATCAAAAGTTGAGATAGGGACATGTGAGCCGTTTTGACCAATAATGAAAAGTTTCGACAAAAAAAATTCCTAAAGTTGAAAAATGTCGATTTTTCACACCCTATATCTCTGTAATTATTTCCGCTAGACCCCAAGTGTGATACATCGATGAAATCTGCTCTTTAGGGAGAATCTAAAAATGCAATAAAATACAGTGTTCCATTTGAAAAATCATAGTTGCTACTGCTTTCTAATAGAAGCGGCAACACCGCATTGTCGAAAATATTTTAGTTGGCTAGAAAATGTCCGAATATGCCCTCCATTGAATTTTCAAAATGATCCGTTGTCTGGTTCACCAGAAACGTCTAATGTGTTTATTAGGGATATATAAACATATATCCCTATTACAAACAAAAATGTTTCTTGGGAAAATAAAGAAAAACAACAACAAAAAATCGACCGGGATGCCAGCGTGCTTTGGCGAAGAACAAAAAAATGTGAAGAGACTTTCGAATCGCTGGAGCCGATCTAAATTGATTCACGGTGTGATCTCAGGTGAAAGTGTCGACGATTGCGGCGGCGGCTACAGCGAGAGCATCGCGGAGATGTGCGACGAACTGCAAAACGGATCTTTGCCGCTGCTTATACCGACGCCGAACGGCAGAGACGAATCGGGGGCCAACAGGGACTGCTTCATCTTGAATCCGCTGGCGAAGACGTGCCTCAACCTGAACATGTTCAGGTACGTATACGGAACCGGTATGGTGAGGGGGGGGGGAGATTCGTTTTGTCCAATGAACTCTATAATAGGTATTATCAAATACTTCGATGAATCTTAGATATGAGTTATATTCCTCAACTCGAAGATTTATTATTTTTATTAATAATATTCACATCTCATTATTTTTTTTTTTTTTTTTTTTTTTTTTATCGATTGGAGCGCACGAAAGGGAATCCCTATAATGTTCAAAGAACATCGTGCGTTCCTAGGGATGATAGGGACAGGAGGTAGGTATTGGAATTTTTTTTGAATTTTTGGAGATTATATGTTGTTGGGAATACTTCCACAGGCAATGAATTCCAGAGCCTAGCCGTTCTATGGATGAAGGAGTCTTGATAAAGTGCTGTTCGACATCTTTCGAGGTTGACGACGAAAGGATGTGCTGACTGGGCTTGTCTAGTTCGTCTGATTGGTATTGCTAGTGAAGGGATGATTGTAGAGATTTCCGAAGAACATTTCCCGTGGAAGTATCGATAGAAAAGTGAAAGGTCGCATAGCAACATAACTCAAAATGAAAGATACAGAGTTGAATCCTACAAAGCTGTTTCCCATTTAGATATAGTTTCTTCATCAAAAGTTGATATAAAACTATTTCTCCACTCTTGCAAATCCATATTATTCAAAATCGTTTTGAATCTATCTTCATTCCATTTCAATGCGATTCCGTTTAAATGCGATCCTAAATTGAATATCTTGTCCGCATTTGACTCCCATTTATTAGAAAAAAAATAAAAATATCCAACTTGAACTTTACTGAAGTAAATACAATTCATACTCATGCAACGAGACAGTTGAATTCATTAATAGCAAACCCATATAACTCCATCATTGGCAAACAATCAGTATTCTACAACGGAATCATTTTATATAATTCATTACCTTATGATTTGAAACATATTGATGATGAAACAAGATTCAAAGTCAATATGAAAAAATATATACTCATGACACAATAAAGGGAGCAATTTATTCTCATTTGAATACTTGGAATGGTTTTATTTTAATTATTATGTTATATTGACATAACTTGTTAATTAGTGTTTTTTATTATTGTTTTATATATATATATATATCATATGTTTATGTATCCCTATTATAAACAATAATGTTTCTTGGGGTAATAAAGAACAAAAATCTTGCAGCAAACTCATATGAATTGATCCATGAACACGGGTCTTCATTTATGTCGGTGAAGGGAGTTATCTTCATTTGATGTCTACCTGTTGTGGTCATATTCAAGTCGTTTTTGTCTATTCTGATATGGTTATCAGTGTCATGTTGGATGTCATTTTGATGTTCAGAATTCCTGATATTTAGAGTTTGGTCACATTCAAAATCTACGCGTATAAAATCTCCTGTTGCCGACTGCGCCATTTATAATATTTATAATAGATATCAAATACTTCGATGAATCTTAGATATGAATTATATTCCTCAACTCGAAGATTCATTATTTTTATCAATAATATTTACATCCCACTATAGAAACTCAACTTATTCAAAATAAAAGATAAACTAATATGGATAATACAGAGTCGTATCCTACAAACTCAATATAAACACCTGGAAGGGATCCTCTGTGAAGGACGAGTGCGGCAAAAATATTGTTCAGGCAACCTGCAGTGGTTACGGATACCTATCTCTTTCTATCTTATGTTGGCTAATGGAAAGCGGTCGATTTATTTGAAATATTTTCTTGTTTTTTGCTTTTATTTAAGAGTATACGTGATTAAATACAAATATTCATTCAGGAAAAACGATAAAGTTGCATTCAATTATTATTTGAAAATAATTATTGATTTTTTTATTGACTCAAAAGTGAAATTCCATTTTTATTCTCACAGGATTAGAAAGACAAATGAATACAAAATTGAAATTATATATTAATGTCACGATATATCGTACAGGGTGAGCGAAGCTCAATGTCTCAGCACTATCAGAAGAAATAGAAAAACAATAGGAAAAATTTAAAAAGAGGTTCTTGAGTGGTATCAAGTACCTAAGGTCTATTTTAAGCCTAATTTTTTTTAGAGTACCTATTTTTCCATAAACATTTCACTATCAGAAGGTGAATGAAAGGTGAACAAAAAGTGAAAAGTACAATGCTAGGACGATTTGTTTCATTAAAGATGAATATCTGCGTCGTCCAGAATGTACACTTTCATTTTTTCCTTTCTGGAGAAGGAGAAGCTCCAAAGGCAAATCTGAAAAGACAATATTTTATGATGTAGCTCTTGAGTTCAAAAATTTCAACTAGTTTTTACCTTCAAAATGTTTTTGTAGTAACTCATCAAGATTGTCATTTTCGTTTTTACTTTTAGTTTTAGTGTTTTCACTTTTCTTTGCAATATGATAGGCCTTCTCGAATGAACCAGTTTGTGGGTTTCATTATCAATAAACTCTGAAACTTACATGGGAACTGGAAATTGTAAGGAAATCAATGTCCATATGAAAAACATCGTCCTTAGAATCCAAGTTATGAACAACCACAGACACATCCTGAAAATAAATTACTATAGTTATATACTGAACAGTGTCAAGACAAATACGAATTTGCTATTCAAATATCCATTTTTTATGTTGGAAACGGGAGCCGATGCGTTCCCGAAACGTCCAAAGCTAAGCGAAAATTTGATATTTTTTCTATATACCTTTATTTCTCTTCTCCAAACCTTTTTCAATACAAATTGTCACTGACAAGCTAGTGAATTTTTCTTTTAGGCTCTCTGATAGGAAAATTCTTTAAATGCAATGACACTTTGGGGTAAATCATCTGATTTGTTCTTACTACACGTATATTGAAATGATATTCATATTTTTATTTTATAGAAATCCCAAAAAATCTGGAATAATGCGAATAGATTTCTGTGTTACAATTTATGAGTTTTGATTTCTATTTCAATATGTTTCCATCAATTATATCGGGGCAACACTTCCAGTGCACGCAATACTATCAGAAATTCTGTCAGAAATCTTGATCAAATTACTTCGAGGTAACACGATGAGTCTGCATCAGGACAAATGCCAGAAACTTGAATGTGCCAATATAAACTCGTGATCAAAATGACATATTTACCCTCCGATTTTCCAGGTATCTCGGCGTATTGATGGGCATCGCCATACGAACGGGCTCCCCTTTGAGCTTGAATCTGGCAGAGCCCGTGTGGAAACAGCTGGCCGGCATCGAGCTAACTCCCGCTGATCTCACCGAAATCGACAGGTAGAGTAATGATCCAAATGTGAAGTTATCCACCTTGTTTCAATATTTGTAATCATCTTTGTCGCATATTTTCCCTCGATATTTCATTATTATCATTCCTTTCACTGGATCAGTTATGTGGGAAATATTGATTTGTCTCTATACTTATCACTAATAATTTTTCGCTTTTCACTTGACAAACTACCTATGTAGCTGTGCTTTTCAGAGAGCTGGCAAAGTTATCAATAATATAATGATAGCTTGCATAATAGTCCGTATAATATTTCTTTGCATGCGAAGATCTACGCTCAACTTGTTGTCCTCTATTAGAGTTCAGAGTACTATATGGAGCAGTAATTTATATCATGACGTTTGTTGACATAAGTTACGACATCATCCTCGAACGCAACAGATCAAACGATTGCATACAAAGGTGTACGTATGTCGGGACGCATTCGAGTCTGCTATTGCAGGGGCGTGCAGTACTGGAATACTTGCATTTCAACTCTATCTCCAATACTTCACGCCACTACTTCGCTGAAACATCAGACTTTGAATTTGTTTGATACATTTATTCACATTAATTGAGACCCGCTCGCAAAGAAATATTATACGGACATACCTTCATTTGAAAAAAGTGCAAACAGTAACATCTCCTGCTAAATCTCATAGCTAAGAGATCTAGGATGAACAGACTTGCCCCAATTGTCAGCAGGAGCGAGACAGTACTGTTTCGACCCACCAGGTCTCATCAGCCGCTCTCGGTCTGCTGACAACTGGGACAACTCTACGCTACGGGTATATCACCCATTTCGAAGACGCAGGGTATAACATGAAGTTGTAGTCATGTTGTAGCCATCCTGTAGCGAAGCTCTGAGGTAGGATACAGAGATATCGCGACATACACTGTATGGCGCTGCCATCTATAGTCACACGTACAGACCCCTACGTCTATACGCTACAGAGTGGTACAACAAGTATCACTCTGCTGACAGATGGCACTACCTGACATACTTGAGTGGAATTTTTCCACCACCTATTCAACTGCTAAATCTCATAACTAAGAGATCTAGGATGAACAGAGTTGCCGCACTCTGTAGCGTATAGACGTAGGGGTCTGTACGTGTGACTATAGATGGCAGCGCCATACAGTGTATGTCGCGATATCTCTGTATCCTACCTCAGAGCTTTGCCACAAGATAGCTACAGCACAGCACTGTAGAGTTTCCAGTTCCAACTCAAATTCATGTCGCATTTGTTATGCTGCAACTACTCCAGTTGCAGCATAACAAATACCACATGCTGTATAGTTTGGTATTTCCGAGATATTTTTGTTGTGAAGTGGGCCTGATGGCTATTTCTATGATGAAACAATATCTTGTTTGCGAGTGATTGTCAAGCTCGCAAGATTCCCGCAAATTTATTATTTACATCACTGGAAGCTTCCTGGTGTTATCCTGTTATTATATTAATGAACCATATTCCTGCCTTTAGGTAAGCAATCGAATATCATGATTCAGAAACTCCTTCGACTCTAGAAAGCACCCTGCTTATCTTTGTATTTATTTCACTGTGAAAATCATTAATATCTGAATAAACCGTTTGAAACTATGATTGAACCATAATTCACAGTAATAAAATAAAATGCGTTACTTCAATCATTGTCGATCTAAATGTAAACCTAGTTGGCGACCTAGTACGCGAGGAGGTATTATAGCTGTTGCCTACTAACTATACCTAACTAGGTTGTCATCATCATCAAGCTTCCAGTCTGTTTTGTAACAGTATCAATAGATCGAGTTATTTTATCATTGCATTAACATGTTTGTTTCGCTATGACCCGCTTTCATTAAATTTGGGATGTGTCAAGTCTGGTTTGATCGGACACATACGTTAAGTTTGAAGTCTGACCATCAGTCTGACCAACCAGCTGTTTGGGAAAATCGGTACGTCACTTCCAAACCTGGATCACGTTAACTTTTAATGGGAGTCGAGTCAAACATTGACCATTCTGGTATCACCACTGTGGTTGAACGACAGACTTGACACAGCCTGTATGTGTTTCATTAAATATCTAAACCTAACATCAGGTGGGCGTAACTTCATTACTGCATGGGAGATACCCTTCAGATTCTTAGCTATTCAGTGACTTGACCACGAATGACATTCCGGAAGCGGCAGCCATTTGGAGGTCTATAGTCTTCACTATTTAATCTACTCACTCTAGTTTGAACAATGTTCATACTTGAATTTTGTCAACATGAGAAATTTTTATTTGCCTTTGCCTGACTTTCATCTTGACAGGAATACGAAAAACTTTAGCCTTAGGATAAGTAATGAATAACTTGGTCCGAAATATCGGAAAATGGCCTAGTGAAAATATCGTGAATAAGAATAATTTTTGCATATTTCTTTCACATACAATATTATTCCTCGTACAATTATCCACGATCCACTGGCATAATGGGAAAGTTTCCTATATTGAGGTTTTTATCTCACTGTAAAGTTTGTAAAAAATTAATACGTATTTTTTCTTTTTTTCGTAAGATCAAATTTCAGAAAAAAATTAATAAGGAGGAACTTGGCTCCTCCACGATTCCTATGACTTACTTTCTGAAAATCCACATTAACACAGAGTTAAAATACGATTTCCTGTGCAGGTACGACGTTGCAGACATCATCAATATGTCTAGATTTCCGGAAATTGTTCTTTGAATGCATAATAACTATATCATAACAGCAATGGGATATAATAGGTTCTTCAATCCTACTTTGTCTAGTATTATGCTGAATGAACTTGATTGCTAGAGTTGATTACAAAGATAAATTATGATATCTTGCGATTGTATCTATAATTTTTCACAATCGTTATATTACAATATGTTATTCATAACTTTTCAGTTATTTTTTTGCTAATGAATTCGTTCCTTGATAAAACGGATCTATCTTCTAGGAAGGCTGCAGATTATATCTTGTAAGCCGTGGGTGTCGGCTCCATTCTGTTCTGACCGATGGCAGTAAATTAGGAACGATACTATAATTGAATGTAGCCGATAGTGATTCATTGATTCAATGATATTTTCGTTTAGGATCGAGCTCTATTCGAGATATTTCAATGCATAAATAACAAAACCATAACCTGTCAGAATGAAGCCAACTACCCTCTGTATTCCTGCTCCGAGTGAATTTGTGGTTATGTATGTTTTTGTTTACCAGTTTTACTTCTTCTATTCTTTCATTCGTTAGCTATTCGTTAACTATTCATTAGCTATTCGCTAGCTATATTCTTCACCATCAGTTATTTTCAGACTAATAGATTCAGAATGGACGTCAGTGGTTGCCGCCCCGAAAACTAGAAATTGCTTTAATTTGAAAATGAAAACGACTTGGACTTTATCGGTCGCCATTCTCTACAGCGTGGAAATAAAACTGAAGAATTCCGAACTTATTTTATGAAAATTCATCTCAAGGAAACTTTCCCCTTATGTATTAAGAATATTCAAAAGGCAAATATGTAGCAAGTCATCAACAACTATCGATGAGCATCTAACCTATAAAAAACTCGATATTATCCAACAGGGACTACGTGCCGGGGCTGCTGTGCATCCGGGATATGGGGGCTGAGGAGCCGCTGTTCCGGAACTTGGAGATGCCGTTTTCGACGCCCTCGGCGTCGGGCAGCGACGTCTGTCTGAGCACGAGGTACAAGCGGATCGCGTACGAGAATCGACTCGAGTACGTGAGGCTCGCGCTCAATTTTAGGTGAGTTTCTACGCGAAATAAAAATAAAACCTTTATTATGTATTCAAAAATATGTTTTTTGCTCAATTTTCCTAGATAGGGTCCTAATAGACGGAAGAGGAAACTTCATTCATAGCAAAGTGTTCATAGCCTGTGGTACCACAAGTATATTTTTCTACTCACATAACTAAATTGGCATTTATCGTACGGATATATACCACGCTAAATGATCGATTAATCACGGATTGTCGATCTGTGATTTATTCATAATATTAAACACGTTACCATGGCAACACGATTTCTTAAACACATTACCATGGCAACGCAGTTCATTAAACACAGCTTCAGTAATTCGAGACATGTCTGGCCTGTCAATTGTATTAACTGTCAACTGTTATTTTCATATTTTGTATCAGAATTATTCAAACAATAGTCGTTTGTATCGGAATTCTTCATTAAAAATATATGCGAAAAGTAGGCGAGAGTGAAATCGAAGAGAATGTTCAGGTCTTTACATACCTCCAAGAAGTGTAAAAATGAAGCATCCATCTTTGAGAACAATGTATTTATTCAGCGTTAAGCATGACAATAAACGTGAAACAAAGGTTAGTAAGCAATGGACTGGACAGATCTACAACCAATATCACTTATACGTGTCTCGCTGGTTGCATGCAGTTGTATGTATTATGTTCTCAATTCCCATTCCTTTCGAATTATTTTGTAGGTTAGCAGGAATAGCAGGTATGTTAATGTAATTTTTGGAGTTCGTAGAAAAATCATAGTATGTAACGCGTTTATAAACTCTTCTAGACACTCGTTTATTAAACACTCGCTCCGCTCTGCTCCGCTCGTGCTTAAACTAGTCGTTACTAAAAGGACGTTTATAACACTTGTTTCATAATATACTATATTGATGGCAAAGGCTTCATTTATTGTTTCGATTTTCCACCATTTTCTGCAATCACATTTCACTGATACATTTTGAATTGGATCGGTATTGAAAACGCCATTCAATGATAAATCACGTTGCAATTTACTTGATTTCCTCCGGTTTCGTTCTTGAATTTTCATTAATTTCATTACGTAGGTAGTTTTGCAATACATTTCTCTTTCTTCATGATGATTTTGTTTTGCATTTCGTGTGATGATAATAATGTTATTTTTTGATAGTTTGTTTTGTAAATCAATGGAACAGCAGATTCTCTCAAACGGATCTTATAAATTTTCTGTTTGAAATTGGGCCTACAAGATAGTTTCATTTCAATCTTCTGTTATAAGAAGTGAATTTCAATGTATGTATAGGGTGATTCACCATAAATGTCCCCCCCTCTAGCTCAGTTATTTTTGAACCGATTTTAAAATTTGAAATATCATCTTGAATGCTTTTCGATAAAGTTTTTTTGCGCTAGATCAGAAAATACAGAGTGCTCGGAACAAACGATCTACAGGGTACGATTGATTTTTTTAAATGAAACACCCTATTTTTCATTGTATTTTTAGATTCTTCCTGAAGAGCTGACTTGATCAATGCATCACACTTGGGGTCTAGCGGGACTGATTACAGAGATATAAGGTGTTCAAAATCGAGATTTTTAACTTAAGGATTTTTTTTTGTGTCGAAACTATTCATTATCGGTCACGCGGTTTTCATGTCCGTATCTTAACTTTTGATTTACTATCTACTGACATTTAATAATTGGAACAGTTACAGGGTGACCAGAATTCTGAATCTTGAACCACCCTGTAAATGTTCCAATTAAATTTAACTAGATAGTAAATCAAAAGTTGGAAAATCTCGATTTTAAACACCCTATATCTCTGTAATCATTCCCGCTAAACCCCAAGTGTGATACATTGATGAAATCAGCTCTTCAGGAAGAATCTAAAAATACAATAAAATACAGGGTGTTCCATTTTAAAAAATCAATTAGTACTCTGCAGATCGTTTGTTCCGAGCACCCTGTATTTTCTGATGCAACGGGAAAAAAAATTCTGAAAAATCATTTCAGATTATCTTTCAAATTTTCAAAACGGTTCAAAAATAAGTGAGCTAGAGGGGGGGACATTTATGATGAATCACCCTGTACTTAACTAACAAATCTTGCTTGTCTTCAAATGAATGTTCCATCCAGGCCGTTTCATACATTCCTTCTATAAGTGAATGGTTGATATATCCTTTAGAAAATTAAAGAAATGAAATCGCCATTTCCTTCAGAATTCCCGCTATTCATTACACAGCAGGACATTATTTTCATTTATGCTTTTTTCTCAATAGTTAATGAAATTATATTTCAATTCTGAAGTTCATAAAATTTGTTGTCAAATTCAAACATTTTTGAATGAAAATGCGCGGTACGACTATGATGCTGTTGTCACAATGCAAGTTGTGTAACTTAATAATTCTGAATATTCAAAAACACTTTCAGTTGTCATTTCTATGCCATAACTTTTTTTTTTATCGCTTGGAGCGCACGAAAGGGAATCCCTATAATGTTCATAGAACATCGTGCGTTCCTAGGGAGGATAGGGACAGGTGGTAGGTATTGGAATTTTTTTTTAACTTTTGGAGATTATATGTTGTTGGGAATACTTCCACTGGCAATGAATTCCAGAGCCTAGCCGTTCTATGGATGAAGGAGTCCTGATAAAGTGCTGTTCGACATCTTTCGAGGTTGACAACGAAAGGATGTGCTGACTGGGTTTGTCTAGTTCGTCTGATTGGTATTGCTAGTGAAGGGATGATAGCAGAGATTTCCGAAGAACATTTCCCGTGGAAGTATCGATAGAAAAGTGAAAGGTCGCCGACCTTTCTACGGTGTTCCAATGATGTCAAAGAGTGAGTGAGTGTGGCGTCACCCACCAGGCGAATGGCTCGTTTCTGGATGGAATCTAAGAGCATCAGCGTATGTTTTGGTGCTGAACCCCATATGTGGGAACAGTATTCCAGAACAGGCCGTATCTGCGCTTTGTAGATCATGAGAAGCTGTTGAGGTGTAAAGTAGCTTTTCGCACGGAACAAGAATGCGAGTTTTTGTGAAGCAGCTTTTGCGATGGATTACAGACATTACAATATCGGGCATACTGAGTTCCGCCTTTCTAGAGAAGATGCAGGCTTGAGTTTTGGTGGCGTTGAATTCAACTAGGTTGTTCGTTCCCCAGGCTGTGATTTCAGCAAGATCTTCATTGACAGCATCGACCTGCCTGCGCCGTGAGTTCTCAGTTTCCTGGGAAGAAATGGGAATTCTGGAAGAGAACGCAGTATGGAGGGTACTATCATCTGCAAAGCTGTGGATGGGGCAAGTTGTTACTCCCAACAGATCATTGATATGAAGCAGGAATAATGTTGGTGCCAAAATTGATCCTTGTGGAACGCCGGAATTGATGCCAATGGTATCAGACGATACACCGTCCACCACCACGTGAAGCGATCTGCCTGAAAGAAAACTCGATAAGAGATGGCATAGCTGAGGTGGTAAGCCGTATGATGGTAGTTTGTGGAGGAGTCCTTCGTGCCAAACACGGTCGAATGCTTTCGATATGTCCAACGCGACAGCTAGAGACTCCCCGTGTTTTTCTATTGAAGATTGCCATAAATGGGTGACGTAGGCAAGTAGATCTCCAGTAGATCTTCGGTATCTAACTGATACCATCCAGTGACTCTAGGCGTAACCACATATTTCGACGTTGCCAAATTTGTAACTAGGAATCACCTTATGAAATTCAATGTGACCAATGACAACAGTATTCACATTTATGTGCAGAAGACAAATATCCTTTGTTGCAGGTTACATGAGTTCGATGAGCAAGTTAAAGCTGTACGTGATGGAATGTCTAGGGTAGTGCCAGTACCCTTGTTATCTCTATTCAGTGGATACGAGTTGGAGACCATGGTGTGCGGATCGCCCGATATACCACTCTCACTTCTGAAGTCGGTAGCTACGTACAAAGGTAATTATTCGCGATAAAACGCCACCTATCGAAGTTCTTGAAAACTTTCAGAGCGGCATATTTACTTCACTTTCATTGGTCCACAAACAATGATATCAAAACAAACCGCTCAGAAGTGTTCAAGTTTCTTCCGTCAGGTGGGGCGACATGTTATTTTCTATGGCGAATATAATTCAATCAGTCATAGCTTATATTTCGAAAGCATAACTTGCTCACTTTTTACTCGATCTATATTTATCACTGTGTAATGTATATGAGAAGAAACCTACACAAGTTTCAAAAAAATTCATATAATAATGATTATTTTACGCGCAATAGAAATCTCTTGCGTATACCTAGACACCGCACAAGCCTATATGAAAAGAGCCCTTTCTATATGGGTATAAAGTTTTTCAATCATCTGTCCATGTATATAACTATGAATGAAAATCTCAACAAGTTCAAGAATGATCTCAAAAATTTTCTCATTCAGGGTTGTTTTTACAATACCTCTGAGTTTTTCAATGCAAATAACTGTATCGCTACCTGTTCTGTGTGAAATGTATTATACTCTTTTATCTATTTTTTTGTTATATGTATCAACGTTGATTTATTTGACCTGTCCAATATTACTTTGTAATCTGAAGGATTAATAAATTATTATTATTATTATTATGATCTTGTACAGTGGGGTATATCTGCCAAAGCTCCCGAGGTATTTATTGCACAGAAAAAAATGAAATAAGAATTATGGCAGGTGCATCATCCAGAGATCATTGCAGGCCATCATTCATGCATTATAATCTTTCAACAATGCCCACTTTGTATATCTACCTAACTTTAATATACAGGGTGAGTCAGAATAAGATCGGCAAACTTCGTACACGGATTCCTAACCTCATTTTGAGGTCAAAAGTTCCCATCAATGTATGTCCTACAACCTAACCTAACCTTACTTTGATATACTAGGTGAGATTTCGTATCATCAACTGAAAAATTAGCTTCATTTCTACATAAACAGGATTTAATAGTAGCATATAGAACAAATTGAATAACACGTCGGGAAGGTTTATAAAAAATGATAAAGACAAAACTTCTAAATTCGAAAAATCAGGGGTATACAAACTCAACTGTGATGAATTTTTTGAAGAAGAAAACCATAGTTTTGATGATAATTTCGGAATTTTACACGTAGAAAATAAAGGAATGAAGTTCAAGTTCAATTTTATTTCGTCATTTTTAATACAAATTGTATATGTGACACGTCGAAAACAAAAAAAACAAATATACAAACAAAGTACTCATGAATAGTACAGCAAATACATCATATTAAGAAACGTTCTCATACTCTTTGAGGGAGTAAAATCAACTTGTTAGAAGATATTATTAGATAGGAGCTTTTTAAATTTCACATGGTTTGGAGAAGTATATTGAAATATTTTGTTCCTGAGTAATTTGGGGATTTTTTTTACCCGGAATAGTTACATTTGGTCAAATGGAAATCATTTCTGTTCCTTGTAAAATGATGATGAATTTCTTTATTCTGCATGAAAGATATGGAATTAAAATGAACATAACGCTTAGCGTTTTTTAGGTAAATGCATGGTAGTGTAAGAATACGGTTATTTTTAGATGTTTCTTTGCAAAGATTCTCCATATTTGACATAAAAAATCAGACGCAAAAAACGTTTTTGCATAATGAAGATCCGATTTACATCTGATGCTGGTCCCCAAATGGAAATATTTATACTTATTTTGGAATATACCAATGCATAGTCAATGTCCGGTAGACTATGATTCGTGAAATTCGACTTCCATGTTAGGAAAGCGTAATAAGTTTTCATCAGTGTTGTGCATAGGTATTCAATATGATTGCTAAAAGATAATTTACAATCCAGTTGTGTTCCAAGGAATTTTGTACAGTCTGATAATTCTAATCGCGGATCAATATAAAGTGGACGATAGTATTTGTTTGAAAATTGAATGAACGTTGTTTAATCCAAGTTGTTTATCAAATGGTTACATCTACACCATACTTCGAATTCATCAATGACTGTTTTCATATTATTATTCTTTTCGTCTGGACTTGGGGAAGCCATAATGATGGTAGTATCATCGGCGTACATAAAAACTCGGCCTTCTGTTATATTTTCTGGAAGATCGTTTACGTATAATAAAAACAGCAGTGGTCCAAGTACTCCCCCTTGCGGTGTTCCCAAGTCCACATCAAATGGATCTGATATGTGGTCATTTACGTTGACTACCACTTTTCTATTACTCACATATGACTTGAACCATTGGTTTAGTGATCCCTGATGCCCATTTTGAAAAGTTTCTTACCTGAATAATGTGGGTTTATAGTTTCGAATGCTCGGCTAAGATCGAAGAAGATCCCCATTGCATAATAATTTTCGTTGGTATTTTCATAGATATATTGGATCATATCGGTTGCAGCAGTTTCAATGGAAAAATTGCTCCTGAAACCGTGTTGGGAAGATGCTATCAATTTATGGTTGTCCAAAAAGCTTACCGTTCTGTCATACACTGCTTTTTCCATTATTTTTTATATGGAGTTCAAGACACATATCTCAATCATTTTGAATCATTAGAAATCAACAAACTAAAAAATTCTGACATTCTACTTAACGACCAATTAGACCTCAATAGTTCACCACTGCTGAATTTGTTTTCTTAGTAGGTAATAATATGTATTTGCTATCAACTCTTTCAAGTTAATCTGGTACACCGTAATTTAATGTAGATATTGTGCCTAATTTCCGAAAATGGAGGTTTATCGTACTTGTCCACAGGTAACTAATCCTTCAGGTTGGGAAAGTAAGATATATAAAACTTGAGCAAGCCAAGGTTATTTTATTTCATCGTACCAGAATATCACCTGACGAAGAAACTGTGTTAGCGAAACATGTCGTGTGGAAATCTTATCATTAGTGAAGTTTTTACATTTGCCATGAATTCAAGTAACGGCCGAGCCAATTGAAAAAAAATCAATAAATATCGTCACCGTTATCAAACAAGTGCATTTTGTTGGCTTTTTTGTTGTTTTTATCCTAGTGATTTTCGGTTTTAGGAGTTGACAGTGGTGCTCCGCTGATACAGTGGTTCTGGGAAGTCATGGAAGAATTCACCAATCAGGAGCGCTCTTTATTTTTGCGATTCGTATGGGGAAGGACTCGTCTGCCAAGGACGATACCGGATTTCCGCGGCAGAGATTTCGTCATACAGATCCTCGACAAGTACTCGCCTCCGGATCATTTCTTGCCTGAAAGCTATACGTGTTTCTTTTTGCTTAAAATGCCGAGGTATTCCTGCAAGGTAAGAGATATTATGTGGCTTCATTTTATTTCAGTAGGACTGCAAGTTTGCCATAGCCCAAATACAGGATGTTTTCAAAGGTCGAACATCATTTTGTACAGGATGAAGATGTCATTTTTTTACTTTCTAACGGTACTAGATTGCAGACCTATTAGTCTAACGCCTTTTCGATCGTCCGTGGGCAACTTGCCTTCCGATTGAGGTTCAATGGCACTTTCCGCGGCCAAATTTTGCGTGGGTTAACGCATTTCAAAATATCGTCTATACCCCAGAAAACATCGAGATAGTTGAAATTGCTTCAGTTGCACGCCTATCTCACGTCGATCTCGTATTAACGACTAAGTTTAATGTATATGAAATCGTTCATTAATGACCCCTATTAATGATCGATTTGTCTATTAATGCACGATTGTTTTATAGGCAACCAAACATACACCGCGTGCATTCATTGTTTATGCTATAACTTAAGGAATCTGCATTTAAATCGGAATTATGGATTTCATCGAAGATTTTCCGTTAACGGGTTCGCCTTTCCAAGTTTCTGACACGATTTCAATCCCTGTTTTCTAACACAAGGAATTTATTTTCTATGTTGATCATTTCGACAAATGTCAAATGTCACTAATGTCAGTAACAAGGCTACTGATGGGTGATTCTTAGCAGTTTCCGGATGAATACAGTGTGTCCCACTTACCATGCTCACCATGGGTATCTTTTTAACGGTGAGAGATACGAGGTCGGTTAAATGACACCAAATGTGGAGTTTGTCAAGGCCAACTGTAATGTGAAAAAATATTTTGAAAAAATCTATTCGTTTTTGTTTTATACACAAAAAACAGATTTTGATCATTTTATTGTCTCCTCCGTAACTTCTTTATCTATGAAAATATTCAAATAGGAATTTCACATTCTCATGGCAGTTTTTCAAAGTGATTTCGAAAAAAATATGAAATTTATACCAACTCTTCTAGAATTTGAGATATCAGCACCAACTTTAGTCTTTCTAATGTAGGTCATAGCTCACCATGACTTAGTTGCAAATAACTTTTTTTTCTCTCAAAGATGATATGTCGCAGTAATAGTTTTGTGTTGATAACGATGGAGTTATCGTCATTTATACAAAAACAAAAAATTATTTGGAAGCCGCTATCTTGAATTCATGAATTTTAACAAAAAAATCATGATCTCCGACCTCAAAAACCCCCACTTACCAATTTTGAATGGCATCGGACCAAATCTTGTCCGCCATCTTGGAACAGCCATTTTTTTTAATCTCAACAGAAATTCCGATTAACTTGAAATTTGGCAGGTGTTCATAATTTCGGTGACAATACATTATGGGATATTTGTTAAATAAAAAAAATGGCTGCTCCAAGATGGCAGACAAGATTTGGTCCGATTCCATTCAAAATTGGTGAGTGGGGGTTTTTGAGGTCGGAGATCATGATTTTTTTGTTAAAATTTATGAATTCAAGATAGCGGCTTCCAAATAATTTTTTGTTTTTGTATAAATGACGATAACTCCGTCGTTATCAACACAAAACTATTACAGCGACATATCATCTTTGAGAGAAAAAAAAGTTATTTGCAACTAAGTCATGGTGAGCTATGACCTACATTAGAAAAACTAAAGTTGGTGCTGATATCTCAAATTCTAGAAGAGTTGGTATAAATTTCATATTTTTTTCGAAATCACTTTGAAAAACTGCCATGAGAATGTGAAATTCCTATTTGAATATTTTCATAGATAAAGAAGTTACGGAGGAGACAATAAAATGATCAAAATCTGTTTTTTGGTTATAAAACAAAAACGAATAGATTTTATCAAGATATTTTTTCACATTATAGTTGGCCTTGACAAACTCCACATTTGGTGTCATTTAACCGACCTCGTATCTCTCCGTTAAAAAGATACCCATGGTGAGCATGGTAAGTGGGACACACGACTGTATAGTGAGAAATATAGTCGACGGAAAAATTTTCTAACCAACTTGTATATTAAAAGGCGATTAATGATCTCGAACATTAACGCGCTCGCTTCGCTCGTACGTTAAAATATCTCGATCATTAATCGCCCCCATTGATACACTAGTTGGTTAAATAACTATTATTATACAACAATCATGGATAAATATCAATATTGTTGACTGATATATCTATTTCTTTTTTCCAGCATGTTCTGCAGCAAAAACTAAAATACGCCATTCATTTCTGTAAATCAATCGATAAAGATGAATACGCTAGGGTTGCTATGGCAGGAGATTTAGCTATTAGTTCTAGTTCCGATGCCGAAAGCGATCCTGAAATGGACAGTAGCAACTGAAACCCTCTTACCTCCCGTCCATTTTTTTGTATATATTTATTTATAACTGAAGCATTGAATTTTCCGAATAAAATCTATTATATTATTCAACATTCTGATATTGTGTGCAAATGCTTGGGCTTTGCAATCATTATTATTGGTATGTACTGTTGATTTTTCGAAATATTTATCATTTATTTCTTCCAACATTCCTCGAATTTGTCAATTTATTAAGTGTCGATTTTTATACCACGTATCGATCAAGCTTTTCAAATATTATATTGCTACATATTTAGGTGTAAATCATGACAGATCATCATCATGGAACCTATAAATTATTATTATCACTCCCTCATACCCCTTTTTTAGGTGTTGTATTTTTCAATGTATTGATCTAGTCAAATATATAGTAAAAACACAATGAAAAATATGTTTTGTTTGATTGTTTGATTTCAGGCGCGTATACAAGGGGGGGTAATAGGGGTAATTACCCCCCCCCCCTCAGACTCCTAGACGACATTGAGATTTACAAAATGAATCTTATTTCATTCAATGCCTACCCAACATAAGTATCTAATCTATTTCTTCCTAAAATTTGAAAAATGACAAAACTCCCTGTTTTATATAGAGTTGGGACACCCGATATACAGGGTGGGTCACGGTGGATGGCCTATTAGAAGTATCTTTTGAGATATCTGGACTCGGCTTTATGAATAAGATGTCTTACGATGACCTTTTAATAAATGGATTTTTATTCTAATCTTTTCTTTTTCTTTACTACAATCTTTACACGTGAAGAATTTATGTGCAACAACCTTAACCTTCTGTTTTAACTACTGACTTCGACAGTGAAATATGATGTGACAGATGACAGATTACAAAATGACACTTATGACAGTCTTGCATAGAATGTAGAAATGCATCATAGGCACCACAAAAAACAACAGTATCTGGAGAACGAAAAGGCAGAACATTCTGAAAATTGGGATGCTTTGATAATTGAATACTCTCTATCCGTCTAAAATATTTTCATCGATACAGTGTTGCCACTTCTATCAGAAACAACTAGCAACTTCGTTATTTTAAATGGAGCACCCTGTATTTTATTGCATTTTTAGATTCTTCCTGAGGAGCTGATTTCATCAATACATATCATACTCGGGGCCTAGCAGAAATGATTACAGAGATATAGGGTATTCAAAATCGAGATTTTTCAATTTTAGGATTTTTTTTCTGTCGAAACTATTTATTATTGGTCAAAACGGTTTGCATGTCCCTATCCTAACTTTTGATTCATTATCTACTGGAATTTAATTGGAAAAAATACAGGGTGCTTCATGATTCAGAATTCTGATCACCCTGTATCTGTTCCAATTAAATGTCAGTAGATAGTGAATCGAAAGTTGAGATAGGGACATGTAAACCATTTTGATCGATAATGAATATAGTTCCAACACAAAAAAATCCCAGAATTGAAAAATCTCGATTTTGAACACCCTATAATATATCTCTGTAATCATTCCCGCTAGTCCCCAAATGTGATGAATTGATAAAATCAGCTCTGTAGGAAGAATCTAAAAATGCGATAAAATACAGGGTGCGCCATTTAAAATAACAAAGTTGCTAGTTGTTTCTGATAGAAGTGGCAACACTGTATCGATGAAAATATTTTAGAGGGTTAGAGAATATTCAATTATCAAAGCATCCCAATTTTCGGAATGTTCTGTCTTTTCGTTCTCCAGATACTTCTAACCCTAACAACACAGGGATGTCCTAGGTGCGTCCCTTTTTTGTCCCGCGGTACAAGGAAATGATTGGGACATCCAGGGGATGTCCCGCCAGTAGTTGTCCAGTGGACATCCCACCCGGTACATCCCTAGGTTATCCCATTCGTGTCCCTGGAATATCTGATATCCATTCTTCACATCAGAGAGTCATTCAATATCATCAAAATATTGAGTCGAATTTTTTCGAAAATGTATTTCTTCCGGAAAATAATTGTGATGAAAATAAAGAATATAGTCTCAAAACTTCTCAAGAAATGACCATTTTTCGCAAACAGAGATCGTAAATGCATAATGTCCCTCATTTTCAAACACCCAAGAATGATAATAATTATACTCGAATCCTAACAGTTTTATTTATCCAGGTTTCTGTAGTTGTCCTGTTTATAAATCTGTTCAATACATGAATCTTCAGAAGGCATATTGGCCAATGGAGTAAGGTGCGTGCCTGATAAGCTGAAGGTCCCGGGTTCAATCCCAACTAGACCTACATTTTTTTTCTTTTGTCGAAGGGATGTCCCTGGGATATCCTTGGGACGTCCTAGGGATATCCCTTCTTTGTACTCGGTACATCCCAGGGACGTACCAGGAGGGACATCCCTTGGATGTCCTTTTTGTCTGAAAGCGGATGTCCCTGGGACGTCCCTAGTATGTACTTTGTCCCAGAAAAGATATCCCTGGGATGTCCTTATTTGAAATTAGGGACGTCCCTGGGAAGTCCCTAGGATGTACTCGTGTTGTTAGGGAATACGCCATCCACCGTGAGCCACCCTGTAGAATAATCCCTTTGTATGATAAAAGTTTGAATTAATCAGCTTTCATGGAGATTCCAAAATTGAATAACTTGAAAAAATTCTTGCTGATGTTATAACTCAAACGTGGATCACGACCCTCTGTATATTCAATTTTCCGTTATAAATGTGGCAAATTGAAAACAAAAATCAACGTGTTTCAGAAGATTTCTCAGAAATAGATAGAAGACTAAAAATGAATTTATACTGAACTTTATCCACAGTGTATACAAACCCTATGTATATCTAATCGAAGTTAGAACTATGGAGATTTCAAAAATTCAATATATTTATATATACACAGGGTGAGTCATTAGTGTGGCAAAGTGAGATAACGGGTTTACAGTTTGAGATAGATAGACAAAAGTTCCAGAGATGATCTAGGATCATGATCAGCACATTTCCAAATTATTTCGCTACATACAGGGTGACTCAGAAATGCGTGGCGTATCAAAGTTATACTTTTTCTTATGGGACACCCTGTATTTCATTGCATTTTTGCAATCTCCTTTGTGAGCTGATTTCATCAATGCATCACACTTGGGGTCTAGCGAGAATGATTACAGAGATATAGGGTGTTCAAAATCGAGATTTTTCAATTTTAGGATTTTTTGCCTATAAACTATTCATTTGTTCCAATTAAATGTCAGTAGATAGTAAATCAAAAGTTGGGATAGGGACATGAAAGCCGTTTTGACCAATAATGAATAGTTTCGGCGCAAAAAAAATCCTAAAGTTGTGATGCAATGATGAAATCAGCTCACAAAGGGGAATGCGAAAATACAATGAAATACAGGGTGTCCCATAAGAAAAAGTATAACTTTGATACGCCACGCATTTCTGAGTTACCCTGTATAAATCGAAATAATTTGGATATGTGCTGCTCATGATCCGAGATCATCTCTGGAATTTTTATTCGTCTATCTCAAATAGTAAAACAGATATGTCCCAGCCAAAATGTTACACTGCATTTGAAAAAGTCGATATATCAGAGAAACTAGAAGAAAAATTAAATTGATAGTGTTTGATTAACTTATATCATGCATACAGTGTGACCCATTTTTAATGGGAACACCCCCCCCCCCCCCTGAAAATGGAAGTTGTGAACCGATTTTAATAACTTTTTTTTGAAATGTCAAGTACCTACTAAATGGTTACCTTGGGACAAAATTTGAAATGTTTATTCCAATTTTCAGGACATACTACGATTTTTTTCTTAGTCGAAAATCGGGATTTTTCATTAGCGATTTTTTCATTGAAAAAATCACTACGCCACTAGATTCAGAGTGCCTCTTAACAGGTGTGACCAAAGTTGCATGAAAAAATATTCATTAATAACAAAGTTAACTCAAAAATTCGAAAACTCACACAGCTAACAGTCACAAAAAACACCCAATATCAACAGATATAGGCATGAGGATATTTTGTTTCATGATTTCAACAATAAAGTGCCACCAGATGGAAAAAAATGATAGCGTAATTTTTTTTTGATTTGTTGTTTCATTATTAGTTGAATTGTGAATGTAATTCCGTTATTCAGATTAAAAAAATTTACGCTATCAATTTTTTTTCATCTGGTAGCACTTTATTGTTGAAATCATAAAAAAAAATATTCTCATGGCTATATCTGTTGATATAGGGTGTTTTTTGCTACTGTTAATTAGCTGGGTGAGTTTTCGAATTTTTGAATTGTCATAACTTTGTTATTATAATGAATATGTTTTCATGAAATTTTGGCCACACCTCTTTAGAGACACTCTGAATCCAGTGGCGTAGTGATATTTTCAATAAAAAAATCGCTATTAAAAAATCCAGATTTTCGACTAAGAAAAAATATCCTAGTATGCCCTAGAAATTGGAATAAACATTTCAAATTTAGTACTTGACATTGAAAAAAAAATATTTAAATTGGTTCACAACTTCAAATTTTAAGGGGGGTGTTTCCATTAAAAATGGGTCACACTGTATATGAATTTATATATAGTTGCTGTTGGTCATGCTGTATATATGTCTTCATGGTCAACTTTACATACAAATATCATTTCTGAGTTTCAATTTCTCATGAAAAAATTAAATAAAACACTCAAAATGGAAAAAAAATTAATTAGGTATATTCATTGTACATTGAGAAACAGGAGGATATAGACACACTAAGGGATATAACATCTACTTCTTGGATTTTGGTTTCAATACAAAGTAGGCAATAACCAAACCTACAGTAGCATAAGTAGCCATTGCAACCTGAAACAAAAAATTAATGAATGTAATTTGAAAATATCAGGATTCATGGCAATGGCAATTATAAGAATGATTTAATTGATTCATGCAACTTGAAATCAAATTCTGTCATTATGAAATATCAGGAGATCCCTACATCATTTGAAATTATTGTATTTTTGTCACATTGGTAGGCAGGTAGTAGGTAAGTGATCTGTGAAAAATATAA